TCTAGGCTACGGACTGCGGTGAGACGGCAGTATTATATGCCATATGGACAGTGGGCTTGTTCGAATTCTATTAAGATTGATGAGGCTACTTCGGTCTGAGCCGTGTAAACTTAGATACCGCTTGACCGTGTAAAACATGCCAGGAACAGCCTTACCGGCTCTATTCTCCAAGGCCATTCTCAGCTCACCGTATCTATACTGAATCTGACAATAATCATTCGTACGCCAATCAAAGCCCAGGCCGGTGACCCTAGTTATCGTCATTATCACTCATGGATCTCTACTACGAGGGTTACGCATCTAACTTGTATACTCAGATTCGCCAACTGACTAACCATCTCAACCGAATTCGGAGCTCTTCGGATCTCATGCCTATTCATCACAGGGTTCCGGCGGCGTGACTTAGCGCCGTTCTGTAAGTTGGATATGAACGTTGTAACTTTTTTTCATCTCTTTCTTCACGATATTATATCCCGGATGGATAATTCGCTACGCCTTCATGTCGATCCTAAAGGGTGGCTTGCAGTGGAAGTAATTTGATCTTTATATTTTGCAGTTTATCACCTCAGTACTACAATTCCATACGAAGACGCAAAAGAAGGCTTTTTGTGTGGACCCTGCTCGAAGGCTCGTTCAGGCAGTAAAGCACTCCCCCGTCGATGCTCATCTGGTATTCTGGTAGGCCAGAGTTTACTTACTAGACGCTATCTGGGTTGAAGTAGATGAGTCTGTGTGAAAACTTGAATATTTGAAGTTCTTGTAAAGTACAAGGACCGAAGTACTTCCGAGGGCCTGCTAAGAAAGAAGAACATTCTCTAGGTCCCATCGTATAGACGCCGACTACGTGGACTATAGTACGTTCCTTCCCTTTTACCCTCTGTCCACGACTACATTCGAAACTCTGACTCCCTCTCGTATTTTGGGATACTTGGAATTTTCATGTCTGTAGCTTGGTCGAGCTCGAGCAAATTGGTATTGCATTGTGAGAGACTTGAAGCTGACGGATGATCAAATTTTTCGTTATGATAGTCGTTCTACTCATGCCCATAAATTTTGTGAAGGGTGTTTAGTATCCAAGTCGGATTGAGATAATGTTAACTGGTCCGGCTATTTGGATTTGAGTATCGAATAGGTTCTTGCTTCCCCTGATACATTTGCATCAGAGAGCTCTTCAGGATGAAAGGCGATTCAATCAAGAAGGCCATTGGATGTTGGGGTACAGGGTTCAATTCTCATAGAGAAAATGACAAGTTGATGGATAACTCTGACCGTAGACTGACCATTCTTGGCTGGCTCATTTGCTTCAAAATAATTATTTGGTTAATTTTGGCAGCTGATGGAACCTCCAATCCGAAGGTCTCCCTCAAATCATACTTGGCTATGAGTTTTAGCAGTGAATTAAAGAGAAAAGCCATATGATGTTCGTGGAAACATGAACAGTTGCGCGCCTCCAATCCTGATGAAAGATTGCTCATGCCTTGTTCGATCTCCGAGTAGTCATCTAACATAGTAAGAGCTCCCCTTCCTGCTTGTGGGGCTTTTCTCTTTCCCTAGTCCTCTGTGTATAGCCCAAAAGCACTTACAAACGAACGTGATTTTTCGAAGGTCTGCAACATGCCCAACCTCGAGAGACTACTGCTGATGGCAAGCCAGAAAGAGAAGCTGAAGCAAGAAAGAGCCTTGACTCTCTACTAAAACGGGAAATCTATGGGCGCTAGCCATATGAAGCTAGAAACGGAAGCTTCCAGGAAGGAAGGAAAGCGTCTGGAGGGAAAATCCCAACAACTGCATCAGGACTAAGTATCAAGACGATGCATTGAAAAGATCTATTTAAAGTCCATCTTCAGAAGTTCTTCAAAGTGTCGGTAGAGCTAGGATATGGCCAACTCAAGAAATCGTGCGATGTATTTTTCTCTCGAGACTGCAGTCTCCCGTTCTGACGGGATGAGAAGGGTCGTCGAAAGGTCTCATTGCCTTCCAATACTGACGCTAGAATGTTTGAGAACAAGTTTCGAACGGGATGGTAGGAACATGGACCTAAACGCGGCAGCAGCTGCCTCAACTTGCGATTTGGGGAAGTGGTGCTCAGGGGACCACTAGTGCTTATGTAGTAATTACTGACCAAGTCTGAAGCTGGATTTGAATTCGTATATAGAATTCATGGAGTTTCCTTCTTGATGACAACGTAGCTTTCTTTGAGCGTGGATGTCATCAATGATTCATCTGACCCGGAGAGAAACAATGTAGTTGGTGTTCGTCATAGTCGCGATAACAGGGTCTTACGTCTCAGGAGCCAGAATTAACCCCGGATTTGGTCCTGAAACAAGTACATACCGTATTGTACCACAACCAAATTACCAACAACCCCCAGACATCTCCGGGTTCTCCGCCTCAATGGTTCTGGATCTAGAAGACCTTCCCCGGACGCCCTAGAAGCCAGAGAAGCTTCAAGGCGGCCCCTGAAACAGTAGGCCTGCAACATCCGAACCTCCTTCCTTCTCGAAGGCTGGAAGCCTCATTCTTATCCACAAACGCGCTAGTCGAGTAGGTCCGCCTCACTTCAGGATCCACCCCCTTGATCTTGGGGCGATTCATCCGGGCGGGCGTTTTTAGGCGCCCATGAATACGACTGTAAAAGTGGGAGTGTAGAGTGCAGAGTCAGACACTTCCGCACGTCATTCAAACACGAATGCAGACGAGGTCGAGCTGTTGCAGACATTGAATGACGCTTCCTGTCTTCTACCTGAAAGTCTTCGCTCGTTAGTGCTGAGTAGACATACGGAGCGAGGGTGATAGGCGAAAGGAGCGATAGATCGAATGGATCGAGTGTGAGAACCCCTTCTTGACGCGTCAGACAACTTGTTTGCGCTAACAGTACAGTAGTATTGACTCCTTGAGTATTCGGCTTTTGATGGATATCTTGTCTACAGCCCGATCCGGTATCTTGTCTTGTGCCCTATGTTTCATCAGACCGCTTTATGATTGGAGAAGGTATATACCTCCTTTGCACCATCGCCCGACTCTTTTTTTCAATGTGAGACTCTCAGGGGATAATCATACACGTCACCGATGGCCGATGAGCTATCGACGTCAACTGTCATGGAGACTCATTCCGCATGCCCCGAGTCCATGTTTGACAGGTCGTCGACCAGTTCAGCACTGTAGCATCTTTCGCTTGGATGGACACCTGTATTTTCGATTTATCCAATCGATAAATAGCCGATCGAGCGGGATGTGCCTCCACTTGAGCACTGCTCTTGTTGGGTTTGTCTGTGTAGATTGCTCGGCATACTGTAAATACTGCAGTACACCTTGCTGTTTTGATTCGCGGCGATCAGGGTGTTTTATTGGCTCCTATCAGTGGCAAATGAACATGTCATCAAGCGTAGTATTCGGTACCTCATGGACTCGGGTTTTCTTTGGTTCTCCACCTGGACTGGGCCAAAAGATCGTCAGGGCAGTGAGGCGTTCTGGATGAAGGGATCAACCCTCCTTTGCGCTAGAAGCAGGGTCGGTCGCCCTTCCGAGGCTTCGCCAGAGCATGGAGAGTCTATTTTTCCAAGAAGAACGACTGTCCTTCAGTGAGTTTACCGTCTGTCATGGTCAGTCTCGAAGAAGTTGCTCTGTGTGATCTTGTTGACATAGCATGAAAATGGGGAAATCTCCAAACTTATATCCTATGGCATGTATGGCTGGTTCATGTCCAAATGACTTTCCGGAGCTGAAAGAGCAACAACGTGTCCTGCATCTTGATCTCGGTCGCCAATAATGACTAGTGGAAGATTTATGGCTGGCGGGATTCCTTTTACCCCGGAGCCACAGCAACTTCAGTGGTAACTCTCTTCCCCATATGTTGATCCAGATTACAGGCTCGAATCCCCGGCATTTACCCCAGCATGGAAGGAGGCCTGGGGCAGGACTCCACAACGGAAATTCCTTCCCACTTCCCCGGACACTCTCCGGAGTACAGGACTAGCTTTTGAAGACGCCCTCGCGCTGATTTCGGTCTGATCAAGTGAGCTACTAGCCTTACGATCCTCGTGTTGTGTATGCTTATCCTCCCAATTGGTCGATCTGAAAGGGATAGTTTGTTCGATCCGACCGGGCGATTTATCCGTGTCGCTCAAGAGTCAAACAGAAAAGGGTAGCTCATAGCTACGGGGCGTCTACATGGAGTCGCATCCCCGGGGTTTCTTTCGGGATGGAAATTATATCTGTTCTAGTTTCCCCAGACTCTCCTTCCCTTCCTTACCTTGTTCATTCCCTCTTGTCAATTGATTTCCATCCTCTTTTCAACAGCTCCATCATTCGTAACAACAAGCAACTTGCTCATCACATCGACCTCTGATCTCATTCCAGATCACACCCACATGACCTCACTGGACGAAAGCTACCGAAACTTACCTGACACAAATCTCACTCGTCGCTAACGCCGAGAGTCACTCACTTCCAACTCAGCTCGTTCATTCGCTAGCATCGGGACCTGGCCCTTGCTCTCTTCTTCACACACACCGTGTCACCGCACATCATCCAGTATCCAACGACTTTCAAACACATCTCGCCTCATTTCTGACCGCCTCTTTTGGTCAGCACTTGGCAAGCACTCTCGCCTTCATGTGAGTACGGCAGAGCTTCTCCCTGTTTTTGCTCATGATGATCTTCTTTACATCATCTTCTCTTGCCACATGCGGCAACATCCGAGAGCTCCCTTCTGACTTTCGGGCGGGTTCCAAAAAAAGCTCTTGTGATTATCTATCACACAACCCCAACCTAGAGCTTTGACTGACACATGAGATTAAGCAATCGAACTGCCCCCCAACTTTTGATTTGAAGCGTTGCCCGAAGATCGCGCACTCGCTCGTGGACCGACACCAGCATCCGGCGCCAATCTTACACACGATACACTTGCAAGTGTGCGCTTCATAAAACGTGCCGAGGCTGTGAACCCGCTGTACCACCCCGATCTCTCGCCCACCACTCTCTCTACCTACCCATACAAAATGTCTACCCAGTCATCCTCCATCGTTCCTCCCACCACGGGAAACTCCTTCACGGCCTTCTCACAGAACATTTCTCGCAATACGACAAGCTCGTTCCAGCCCTCCGCGTCTTGGCGCCCCAGCACCACTCTGAAGATCTCCACCCATCTCGTTGACGGAATGCCTCCTGCGCCGCCACCATCGCCAGTCAGCTTTGCTATCGACAGCAATAGTGGCCAATTCATAGACCAGTGGGACGAAATCCATCGTCTGAGTCTCGAGGGATAAGCCCGAACACTGGACAAGAATGACCCGAATGCCGGTGTGACATGATCACTCGAATGAGGTTCATGAATGTCGATATTCATGGCTCTTCAACCATCACCTTTGAAGCTCGAGCGACTGCGTGCTTGGACTCGTACATTGTCTTGTCTCTCTGGACAATAGTTACTTCCTTTGTCTTTTTCTTTTTTTTTGTGGCCAGTCTCATTCGGTTCTGACTAAGTTTTTTGCATGGCCACTGGGACAAGACTAGACCTTGAACTTGCCTTGGTCTTTCTCTCGGCGTCTGTGTTTCCAAAAGGCCTTCGCAACTGCCATTGGAAGGCATATCTGGTGCACGATTTCCAAATTCAATTAGGCAGGAAGGGCAGGCGTTTCTGTACGATTTTCTCACTTCTTCTCGCTTGGAATTTCTGTTGGGGGAAAGATAGGGGTGTTCAATTGCTATTTTTGGTTGTATCTCCAGTTCCATTCCGGTTTATCTTTGAGAAATACCGCTACAGCCGTACTTGGTCCAGGTTCTTGAATGAAGGATCGGGCAGGGTTGCGGGGAGATAAACTAGACGGCGTTTGTCTGCGTTTTTACACAGTCAATATAGATTTTTCTTTTTTTTTTTTGATTTGGGAGATGTTACTGATCGTGTAATATGCTGGTGGGAAGGAGTAGGAAGATCAGTGGAACGATCAGTACGAAAATCAGTAGACCATAAATACCACTATATAGTACAAACTACAAACACGCTCGATACCTAGACACGCTCCATCCTTGAAATTCTCAGACCAGCACGCCACTAAACGAACCATCAATTCAAACTTGATATAGCCGAAGAGAGCGTATATCTGTCAGCCTGTCGTCCCCGGCCCATATACTCTAATAAGGCACACCTGTAAAGGTAGATACGCTACGTACTCTTATTAATAACAATTACGAGATTATCGATATACCGGAATAATAATAATTTGCATCGCTGATCAATTCCCCTCTTCACTCAACTCCCTTCACTCAAGAGTATAAAGAGAACAAGTGGGACTATTTAGAGATCATAGATGCAAATGATCTCGTGTCCCTCCATGTATGAGCCTAGCCTCGAGCTGTCAATCACATAGCTAGGCGATGCCAGCGGGAGCTGATCTCTGACGGTTTCTTAAGGGAGATGGGATGCCCTCTCCTGGGTTTGTGCGGTAGCTGCGTGGCTGTGTGGCTGTGTGGCTTGAGAAAGAATGACAGATGGTGAGCGACCCTGGGTAAGCTAGTATCGAAGCCGGTGTTTGACTTTGTCCTGGAGTGGATCGGTTGAATTTCGCCAATCGAGTGATAACCCACTCAAAGATGAAGTCTACATCGATGTTGGGGCTTTTTTCTAAGACGCAGAGAGATAGAGACTGAGATGAAGTTGTATTCAGGAAAAGGGTCTTGGTCGGTGGGTACTTTGATTTTGAGGTCAGCTTTTTGGGTCTATGTACATTCATGTGTCCTGGTCACAGTCTGTCATGGGACTTGATATCCCCGGGGTGATGAGGAGTACGTAGGAGAGTAGGAGAAAAGCCACTGCTCGTGAGCCGTGATCATAGACAGGGAACATACCGTGAGAGTGGAGGTGGAAACCCTCGATGAACAAAGGATGGACCCCAGGGGAAGACACACGCTCCTGGGCATGAAAGCCGGGATGAGAGCCAGCATGCTTGAGAACAAACCCCCATACATGATGAACAAGTGAAGTTGGCGAGGCAAGCGTCGGATGGCAAGCCCGCACGGTAATCTTCAGCTCCCCTAACCTCACTCGAGGTCTCCAATGGCTATTGTGTGCCAACTGGTGGTGGACGACCCGCGGAAGATTTTTGTTTCATGAAGGGACAGCAGGTCATGAGACCATACACGTGATACGGCCATCTTAAGTCCGTTGCATCCACAGCCGAAGGTCGGTTTGGGGGAGCAAGGGTTCAGACTAGATAAGCCGAAAATCGAAGCGAATAAGCACACTCTCGTTTCTTGATTGAGCCTTCGCCAGACCCGGAACACTTGACACCATGGCTGACATTCTTCCCATCGGATGAGCTCGCGCATTTTCCGGTCCACTGAATGGAGATAATGCTAACTCTGGGCTGTTTTACATGAGTTGTGGGTCAATGGGGAGAACCTCCTCCGCGTCTGATTGTGCGGAGCCTTGTTGCGATGAAATCTGTGTTTGAGCCTCTTGGTTCTGCGGCTGCTGTTGTTGCTGTTGCTGCTGCTGCTGCTGCTGCTGCTGCTGCTGCTGCTGCTGCTGCTGCTGCTGTTGGACAATATCTCGCATCATCTGCTCCAAAGCCGAAATAGCTGCCTGGTCTCCCTTATGTGCGCGTTCATTTAATGCATGAATCTCCGCCAGTTGGGCTTCAGTCCTGGCCCACGCGCCTAACCTCTCTGCGACAGTCACATTGCGCTTGGTGCTAAAAGTTGTCCGAACAGTGTCGGTCTCCCCTCTGGCGGTCTTGATATTCTGCAGACGCGCAAGGAAAGTCGCCTGATGGGATGGTTGAATGCCGCGACGGGGCACGTTTAGGGATGCCGACGATGCATGGACATCGGTCGTGGACGTTGAAGAAGCTGTGTTGGACGTTGAGCCTCCTTGTTGGGTATCGCTTGCCCCGCCAGAGTTACTGCTCGAGGTGATGTTGGCCTTGTGGCCGAGGATCTTCACGCTGTTAGCGGCAAGGAGCTCAAAGGACGGACCCTGCAGGAGCGACGGCAAGGATTGAGGGCTCGGGTTATTCGAGTCGGTATATGCATCTGGGTGCGCAAAGATGAGTTCTGTTCCGATTTGATCTGCCCATGTACAGCTGAAGAGTTGGTTGCAGTATGAGACGATTGGGTTGCGCGTGTGCAGCCCCAGGATCTGGATTCGTTCACTGGCTAGCGCTTCTGGCTCGGTGGATTCGGGTACGGGATAGGATTCATTGGGGTCGGAAGGATCTGTGGGATCGCCACCTGGCTCGACGGATGCCAGTGTACCTTCCTCTGGATTGTTGGTGGTGGTCGCTGTATCTGTGGCGTCTTGTTGCTGGCGTCGCCGCGGTGGGCGGATAGGACCGTGAACCGAGGAGAGGTCCAGGTTTAGGTAAAAGGACTACGCGAGAGATGTTAGTCCTGTGTATGTGTGTGTGTGTGACAAAGGCTAGTTTTCACTGCAGTAATCTACCTCAGTTTCTGTCTCATGATATTCATACTCCCATTCCTCGCCAACTGAGTCAATCGGTTGATCCATCTTGATGCAATGCTCGTGTTGGGTTTACATATTTTCCTGCGGCGCGATCGCGATATGGATACTTTGAGTACAGTGCGATAAGATAAGGTCACTGATAACAAAGTGCGACACGGGGCAGATCAGGGCGGTGATTCTGGCGGTGAGACGGCTCGAATAGCAGGCAGTCGCGATACGGAGTCTCGGTCTCGTGATGTCAGATTGTATACAGTTGGTACCTAGAGGGGCAGCTCAGTTCGACGATACTAGTCGATCAATTGCCCGGCGGGAATCACGCCATCCCACTGTCCTCACGGAATCTACAAGTTTGAAATTAGATGGGGCATCATCCACGCGCTTGCTGACAAGTACGGTCTGGAGGCTGATTATGTGGATAGCTCACTTTTGCGTTCGCTGTCCCCAACGAGACTTTGGGGGAGCCTGTCACGCCCAAGCCTATGCAGATACTTCAGATCACGGATCGCTACCTTCCTAAACATTGGATGGATTTTGGGTGCATATAGACGATAGGGTACTCTCGTGCGACGCCCGATGAGTTATATTGGTGCAACTGGACTTGGAGATCGGTCTCCAAAAGAACCTGCATACTTCTGCATCTCGCCGCAGCAAGCAGACGATTAGGCACCTTCATTACAGTCCAATCAAGCTTTACAGTAGTTCGAATGATTGGCCACTGGACCCTCGAAACGCAGCAGTGTTGTCTTGGTCTCGTAAGTCTATCCAACTCCGGGCGCAATGGCGCGAAGAGAACCAGCCACCTAGAGGTATGTACGACTACGTTGTAGTTGTACATTGTACAAGACTGCAAGTGTAGTAGTGTAAAGTCTGGAACTTTCAGTTGGCACCGGTACTGATTTCGTCGAGTCCTGCGCTTCAGAGTTTAGGCACCCGTGTAAATCGTTGCATTCCACTTCTTGGCTTCTTCGCGGACAGATGGTGATCGTGCTCTGACCCCTCGCCAGGTGGATGAACTCGGGGATTATTGGTGAGAATGAAGACGATCAAAAGTCAATTGTCTGTATGTTGTGGAAATATCGGCAGTGTATATCAAGTAAGCAGATGTTGATTCTTGTCTAAATAGATGAGGAGAAAAAAGTCTTATCATAGCAAGGTTCTGAGTGTGCTATGAGCTACATGCCGACAGCCAAGACCACGATCTATCGGATCTGGTAGTTTGATTGTTAGCATCGGAGTACTTTCTTGAGAGGCAAGCGGTTGTCAAAGGCCCGGACAGGCGGTGAAAACTCGGGCGATGTGATTGTGCCGACCTTCCGGATGTGCCGAAAGCGGCGGGGGTGGTGGGGCCGAACTGGATCCCTTCATCGACAAACCGGGAGACCAACAAGCACACACAGAGGATTCAACTCCTGGTAGTGAGGAAGCTGGACCTTAAAAATGAAGTCATACTAGACCACGATCCAAAGCTCGAGTCATGCTGCAATTCGCTCTGACGTGGCCGGGGTGCTCTATGATAGAATGTCTCGGTAATCGGAACCGGGATTTCTTCTTTTTCGATACCTGGAGTTCACGCTGCACAAGAAGGGAGCCTAGATCATGCAGGTCTTCCGCGGCTCGTTGGAGGTGAGGTATTGTAGAAATAGGTGCCGAGCTGAACACACGGTCATGCATCGAGAAAGAGGATATTCATTGCTCTCATGTGGAGGGTACTTGGAAATCTCTGGCAGACAGGGGATCCTTCACTCCGTGCTGTAGTAGCGACTGTCAGTATCAAGTACCTCTACTTGGTCTGACGGGTGTCTAGAGAGTCTAGGATGGTCACCCTACTTAGTGACCCTACTGAGGTACCTTACTTACGGTCCTTCCCCTCACCCTGCCAATGTGTCGTAGTTGGAAGGTTTATCGCCGTCTTTCTCTGAATGTACCAGTACCTCCACAGCCCCCCACAGACATGACATCAGAGCGGTCCCCCCATGTACTACTGCACCTCCAACAATCTCAGCCTTACGGGTCAGCTGCCCTCAATCAAAGGCGTCATCTCTCAAGTCCGACCGCCATCTCCCACATCCATCCTATACCATCCGTAGTTCCGTACTACTGCCATCGCCTATTTTTGCGGTTGTCCACACTCCTGTTGACAGATTCTTTCAACCTTCTTTGTGTCACCTCAATTGTTCTCTCCTCTCGCACGAACACCCTCTTACCTGTTCGCTTCTCTCTCCCTCGTGGCTCAGTGCCGCCAGAAACCATGGCCCCGTCCGCAAGCTGGACTGGTAAGTCCAAGTCTCGAGTTCCGACTCTTCCGTTGATCCCGTTCATCCCGTCTGGGCCCTCAATGCGTCCTGACCCTGCAGGAGAGTCATCACAATGATCAATTCCTCAATTCAGGGCTGTCCCCACTTCCCATATTCCACCTCTGCGCCGTTCATGCTTTGGAAAGACAGAAGAAGCAACGGAAGGGCCCCGCCTCTGTTGCGCGATGAGCGCATCCGGCTTGGCTCCCTGCCATGCAGTTCCAATTTTCCGCACGTTCCCGGATGGTCACTCGGACTTGGTCGAGATCGTCCGTCATGCTTGTATAGACCTGCGCTTATGTCTTCATTTGGGGAATATACTTGCATTTGTCATAGTGGACTGGTCTCTGTTGTTGCCCTCTTTTTTGTCACTTCCCAAATCGGGGTTCTTGGGGGTTCTGATAATACTTCTCATTATTTCTTGTTTTTTTGTTTTCTTTCTTTTTTTTCAGGCCTTCCACTGTCTTTCTAAGCTGGTGCCAATATGTACAATCGATGGGCTTTTGGGTCATTGTTTTTCATGAATTTTCTTTTTTTTTCCCTTGCCCATGCCTATTCGCCCGCGAGTCCATCTGCTGGGCTCGGAAGTGTCGGTTCATACGGGCAAGATAAGACCAACTGACTTGTCCGATTCTTGAATATTTTTATAGTACTGTCCTCCCCGCGTTTCTGGCCTCTCGTGGCTGCATTTTTACTCGTGTCGCTCGTTGCCTCTCGTCCAACTCGACAACTCCGAGATTCCTCCTCCGCGGTATGCTCGCCGCTGACCACTAATCCACTCGCTCTTCCTTGCCTTGAAGTCGACGAGAACAACGGTCGTTTGGTGTTGTCTGGTCACATTGAGACGTCCACTCTTGCAATCGCTCACCATTCCGACTTGGCTCCCCCCTCGACGAGCTCAGCGTGGGAAGTCGCTGCTCGTTCGATACAGCAAATGGGGCGAAAGGCGAAGGCGACGATTGCCGCCCTCACGACGTTGGTTCTCTATATCTCAATCAATAGTATCGCGCGAACGGTGAATCCAGACGCTTGGATTTGGTACGAGGAGGACAAGGAAGAGGCGAGTTGGCTGGCGAGCTCAAAGTCGTGGTTCGACCGAAAGGCATGCCGCTGGCTCGGCGTGTGCGGCGCATCGCATTTCTACGTGGCCCAAGGCTTCTATGGCTCGCACGATCCCAGTCGCTGGTCAAATACAACAGATGATCAAGTGGAGCAAAAACCTTGGCTCAATTTCTGGACCGGCGGGGCTGATAAGAACGACCAGGCCGCCTGGAACGCCGACGAGCGGGCGCGACGGGAGATCCCCGAATACGTCTTTGAATATGCCCCGCTTGTGCATCTGTATTCTGGTGAACAGTTCTGGCCAGGCGATATTGCCGAGCACATTTACCACACGACACCGACACTCAACTATACTCCCATCCAGGCTCAATGGGATCACCCCACACTGGAGGATCTGGATCAACTCAATCAGTGGCAGGGTGGTCGCAATGTGTTTTTGACTAGTGACGATGACCCCACTTCCCGCCCGCCGTGGCTTGAGGGTGAGAAGAACATTCCCGAGGAGCCGCAAGATGGCCAAGATGGCGGCGACGACGACAACGAGAACTATCAACACATCCCGGTTTCAAAGGAGAAAATTTGGGATGGTTATGACCACCCCTTCGAAGAAGCTGTTGCGGATCACAGTGACGACGCCGAGTGGGACGATTTGAGGCGATGGACCCCAGCAGGACGAGCGCGCCTCGAACAAGAGCAGCTTGCGCGCGAATCGAGACAGGCGCATCGCCAATTCAAGCAGGAGCTGAGGAAGCGTTATGGGGGACATGCGCCCACTCAAGACCACCTTGGCGAGGACTCCTTCCAAAGCCCTGGCGGCCGCAGCGAAGCGCCCGCCATTCTCCTTGTAATGGACAAAGGAAATGGAGTTGTGGACGCATTCTGGTTCTATTTTTACAGCTTTAACCTGGGCAACACCGTCGTCAATGTTCGCTTTGGAAATCATGTGGGTGACTGGGAGCATTGCTTGGTGCGCTTCCACAATGGTCAGCCAAAAGCTCTGTTCTTCAGCGCGCATACTGCTGGCGAAGCCTTTCGTTACGAGGCTGTCGAGAAGATTGGCAAGAGGGTAAGTATCTCACGTTGGCCCGGTATGGAGTTTACCGAGGGCTGGAATCTCATTGTGCTGACTTCATTTCTTTTTTCCCTCAAAGCCCGTCATCTACTCGGCTAGTGGCAGTCATGCAATGTACGCTCATCCGGGCATCCACGAATACGTTCTGCCTTGGGGCCTCCTCCATGATGTCACCGATCAGGGTCCTCTCTGGGATCCAGTCCTCAATTCCAAGAGCTATACTTATGATGTTGACAACGACAAACTCCGCTCCTCAACCGCCAACCCCGAAGCGCCAACGGAGTGGTTCTACTTCCGAGGCCGCTGGGGTGATAAATTCTACCCACTGGATGATCCCCGGCAATACCGCTTTGCTGGTCAATATCACTGGGTTAACGGACCGACAGGTCCTAGATTCAAGCATCTTGATCGCAACAAGGTATGCCAGGGTCCTGATCGGGCCACCTGTGTGATTCGAGACTTTGCCGATGAGCCGAAGAAAACTCCGAAATGGAAAAGAACTGGAGATGGTGATTGATGCACTATAACAGCTGCCTCGGAGACGATCCCCAGCACACTGGTCCAGACTGACTCTTTGTCTTTTTGGAATCTCGACACACCCCACTTCCCTCTCCATCTTTGATGCTCGCATGCCTTACACTCTCATGTCACTACCCCTTTGCCTTGTTTCCCAAGTATACCCTTGCGATATACCCATTGTTTTCTTTTTACTTCCTCCCATCAACTTGTCCATGAATCATCCTTAAGGCTCCCTGCCACATCCTTATCACGTTATACCCTCAAAAGACATACTTTGGCCTGGCGCCATGATGAAAACGCAACACCCACTTACATATGACCCGCGATCCTTTGCTGATGAACCACAAAGAAAACAACTTTTTGTCTGTGAATGTATTGAAATGACCTTATCTGATCTAGTATATCTTCAACTTGAATATTTTTGTCATCTTTGCGCCGGTATAGTGGTATCTACATATATTTCGAAGACATTTCCCGGGCTTGTTTTCTCTCGTCGGCTAGTTTCCGTTTTATCTCCGAGCGAGAATACAGAAATACTACAGGCATGGCATCATTCTCAAGAAGAGCAAGAACAACTTCGAATATCGATCCTGGTCTAACCCCAACCTCGTCACTCGATGGTGATACACCTACAGCTCTTTCAAGGTTCCTTCCAAACCGAAACAAAGATTACCTCGCAATCTACGCTTCACAGTTCCTATCAAACACCTACCTAGATGACATGTGTGTTTGACTGTTTGCACCCAGTCCAACTTCCAAACCCCGGCCTCGTCTGAGATCTACTTAAGGTAGGTTCTTCATCCCTCCCGAGGTAAGTCGTAGGTAGTAGGTAGGTAGTACATGCCATGGAGTTTCCAGCTGGACTCGACGCCCCGAAGAATGAGCTCCACTTTTTCTCGAGTATCGGGTGTGACGTGCATGTTCTCTTGGGCCCTGGTATAATGGGGGCCTGGAGGATGAATACGGCCGGGAAGAATAGTGGTTGCCGTGGCATTTTGAAAATATACGGGGTTAGGTATTATCTTGTTCTCTCCGGTATGGAGGTATGCCCGGCCCATTGATGGAAGTACAGAGTAGAGTAGAGTAGAGTAGAGTAGTGCGCTAGGGGAGGTACGAGGCTGCCTTAATGTTCACATTATATGCGTCAGTCACAAGTTATTTAAATCTAGGGACCCTGCCCGCCAGACACATGCTGATCTAAAATTACAATGGCACCTAGCTGTCATGGACGGACCAGCCAAGCATCGCCTACGGCACTTTTCTTTCGAAAATTCTCGACGTTGACCTCTATACCCAGTACTGTATTGTTGGTGTGAATCACCTAATCAATGTACATTTCCAGTTCGTCTCATTGCTCGTCTAACCCCTGATTTCAAACAAACGGATACGGCCTTGCTCGTTGGCCACGGCCAATTGCTCGTTATTGGGAGAAATGGCGACGGATGAGATACGGCCCAGTGGTGTGCTCGACGTGGGCCAGTTGCGGTAGACGGTACATGAGGGGAGATGCACTGGCATTGATGAATGGAAAGGTTAGTTGGGGGTTGTGCTTTTAAATTTTCTGATCCTAAGGTGGTATAGTAATGGCTGGAGAAGGGAAGATGGAGGAAGATTTGTACATACCAAGACGAAGAGCGTCCTTTTTCCATCGGCTGGCCATGACCATCATCTGGCCGTCTGGTGCGAATACCAAATGGCTCACGGGTGTGGTGAGCTGATCGAATACTCGGATAGGTGTCGGGCTTCGCGGCACACCCGCCTGTGTCGAGTCATCGCCTTGTGCAGACGAGGCCGCGGCGGCCCAGTCGCGACGATCGTAGATGTTGACGATGCCGCTGGTGCTACCGATAGCTACCCAGCGATCTCCGCCGAGCTCAGTCCGGCCGCTACGACCACCCAGTGCAATAACCGTGTTGCCAACTGCGCCGGCATCCAGCCAACGGGCGATGATTCTCCGCTGGCGGCCGTCCCATTCGGACACTTCGCCGTTCTTGCTGGCCACCGTCATACCCTCGCCGTCCGACCACCAGGCGAAATCCGCTACACCGCCACGACCATCGACGCGAACTTGGGCAATCCATTGTGCGGTGCCCGAGTCGAGGACGTTGATCAAACCACCACCCTTGCGAGATGTACCGACCAAGCCGACGTAGCGTCCGCAGGGAGATCTTGAAACGTTCCATCGATTTTTGCTCTGCCTTGCGGTCTGCGGAGCCGTTGACTTTGTCGACTTTGCCGGTGTCAAGATCCCAAATGTGGAAATATCGGCGACGGCCGGAGGCGAAGATTCGATTTCCGCCGGAAGGCGCAAACGCCGACGTGTGGAGAGGAGTGCGCTTGATGTGGAGGGATGTAAGGAGGGGGTTAGGCGAGGGTGCAGAAGGGGAGATGTGATGCAGGAAGAGCGTAGAGGCGGGTCCCGAGGAGAGAAGAAGGGGATAGTGTGGGTGGAACATGAGAGAGTCGATGGACGACTGTGAAGATTGAAGAATATATTAGTATCTGCCATTTGCGGTCTTTTGAGTCGTAGCGTGCGGCCTTACCGGTTGCGCCTTGCCAACGTCTTTCAATCGCTGGATATTGACCACCTCCTGTCGGAGTCTGCGCTTACTGCCAGGCTTGTTATCCTCAATTCGAGTCAGATCAGAGGTATTCTGGAGGAGCTTGGCGAGCGGCTGGGCGGCCAATGACTCATCCTCATCAGAATCCATTTCCTCGTCTCTCTCCATGTCCGAATCGTCCGAGTCGACCCTGCGACGCTTAGCGGCAAGTTCAGGGTCCGCCCACTCCGGCAGTGGGTTCATGCGCTGAAACTGTCTGCGCAGTCGTCGTGTATATTCGGTACCGCTAATAATGTCCTCTGATTCGAAATTGCGAAGCTTGCGCAGCTTGGACTGGCTCGCAAGAGATACCGCAATGCGCTCGTCATCGCTGTCGTGCCAGACCGCAGGCACAACATCATCATCATCTTCTTCATCCGCTTCCTCGTCAGAGGGCGTCTCCGCCATTTCGTCAAGATCGGTAGAGGTCTGCACATTGCCAGAGTCGAGGAAGAAAAGCTAGAACACAATGCATCGTTAGTCGCTTCTGATCAAGAGCCTCGCACAGAATGGTCATCGAGCGATTATACGTACATCCTCATCGGCCATGTTAGTCAGATCAACTTCCTCGTCCTCTCCCTCCTCGTCGGCACTCTCATCGCTCAGGACGGCAAGTCGCATTCCATTTTCCCGTTGCTGCTGGGCCTTGAGTGCACCCATGAATCCATCGTCGTCACCGAAAAGCATCTTTTCCAGCTTCAATTCATCCTCGTCCTTTTCAGGAACACTTTCCTCGTCGGAGCTCGTTTCATCATCCATGTCGATATCCTCGTCCGCGGAATGGGTCGCGGCGGCGGTGTTTTCGAACGGTGACCGAGCGGAAACCCGCTTGGTCTTGGTTTTGAGCCCTGTGCTGGGCATAATTGTGACAGACCAGGTGTGACTTGATGAATGATACCCGAAGAATTTCAATCGCAACAACTCGCGATCCAAGCTTGCTTCGGCGGGATCAGAATTAATTCTCGGGTTGGTTTTTTTTTGCGTATATGCGGGCAGAAAGAGGCGGTGTGTAGAGCGGTTCTAGCTACTCAGTAGCATCCTTCACCATCACCTGCAGGGCTGTTTAGTGTTTACCCGTTTCCGACGAGGCAGTGATTGACGGCCTGAGGCACGGGATTTTCTTCTCTACTATATACGCATTTTAGCCCGAACCTTTGAATGGCCCTGGTCTAGACTCATGCGAGATACTCTTACGCATATGCTCTGATGCTTTGAACCCCCGGGTGAAATCATGCCTTTCGTGCCAGTTGCAACTCAGCCTCAGGAAGCCTGAAAGGTCTTTATCCTGCAGCCCTTCATAGAAACTTGGAAAGACGGCTAAGAATCGCGTCGACTGCCTCATGTCTGATACAACACTCAAACTCGAGATCGAAGTGCAGATGGACGTTTCACACATGTCGCTCAAGAGAAAGGATCTGGCCTCGCCGAGAAGGAATTGGAGAATACTGAAGAGCTGACGTCAATACTGGAAGTGTCTTCCAAATGACAATTAAATGACAGCTCTGGACCGAATCATCAGTATCCGGATTTTGCATCCCTCTTTTTGAGTTCTTGTCTTTGCCCCTGGTTCATGTTCCATGTAACTATATGAAAGGTCCGAGCTTGCATCAAGTGCCGAGGACATCAGAACATGGACCACCTCTTGGAAGGACGGCACGCGAGGTACCTTGCGTCGCTTGTACCCGAACACGATCAATTCTGATTTCTCGGATCTTGAAATTCTCTTGGATGTCGTCATCAGTTGGTTAGGTAGGAAGTCACCGGCTCTGCACCCTAATCTCCAGTCGCGTGGGAGTCAAAAAGTCTAATCAGTTCCCGTCCACGTGCTGCTTGTCGGTATAACTATGCGGCCACGGTCGACCATTGTCGACGATAGATGGTAGGGTCCATGTGGTACTCGACGAAGAAAGCCATCAAATCAGCGTGTTGGGAACTGCAACCCATGGTGTGGTCAGCATCAAACAAAATTAAGGTTGCTCTGGAAAACCAAACTCTTGGTAGAAATCTCAAGTATCAAGTATTAATTGTGTCCTAGTAAGTTGGGTAAAAGGGTGACATTCATTTAATGTCCTTCCTACGGTGTCCTACACTCTTTTCATTAAAGTGTTTGTACGTTGTAATACAATCCAAGATTATCCTCTTTGAATGTTGATGTTTTCGAAACATTTGCCCTTTTTTCCCTATGTACTCAAGCGCGCTTACATATGCCCTTGAATCAACCGTATTTTTAGGTGACCGACATGAATCAGGCACAAGACTTGAAGACACACGTGACACAACTGCTCATTCCCGTCAAGTCTCGATATGCAGTCCGGTGAAATATCAGCGCTCAAGTCTTTACATCTGACGGCTCGATGCCGTATTGATCAACTTTGTTTCGAAAGTATTTGTACAAAAGTAACAACGAGAATGTGGAAGGCAATGAGCCGCGTAGTCCAGGCTAGAAAGTTCCAATTTGAGACATATTGAAGTTTGTGGAAGCTGTGGATCACAATCTGGGCCGTATTCGAAAATAAGATAGTACGCGCGCAATGACCTTCCGCAGGTCCAGTTCCAGTAGTACTTGTGTACTTGTACTTGGAATGGCAAGGTAGGACGTGCGTGGGCACGATTGCCTCAGTTGCCTTTTTCTCTTTATCCGCGAGGATGATCGGATCTGCCGATTTCTAGCAGAGCACAATCAGGCACACGAGCTCGGTATCATACTTTTTCATGAGGTGTCGGAGAGACAAGACAAGACGCTGAACCGTGGGTGAGCGCGGGCTAGCGGCCCAGAAACACGTGCGATTTACCGATCGGGTAAAGCCGCCGGCCTTGCACTACTGAGTACTGACCCTTCCTTGGTTACCCTGCGACCGAAGGCCATGTGCAGCGGGGCGACAGTCTCAGCAATTCTGAGATTCTCAGTCGGCCGGAATTTGAGATCATCCCAAGCCTTCGTGCTGAAACTGAGTGGCCAGGAAACTCGATCAGGTATTGGGCTTTGGTCTATGCTCAATTGCTCACACAAGCTCTTCCAAGTTCCGGGAGTCCACAGTGCGTCCACATACAGGGACCGCAAACTATCAAGTTCTCGGTATTGGTCTGTTAGTCCTGGACGGTGTTGTCTCCTACCTTACTTACTCTCCCACCAGCTTCTCTGAATGTGACTGTCGGTCGTTACTTTGACTCCGAGCAAGTTCCCACCCGAATGGCCACACAACGCCTGTCAACGAGATTCTACCGCAACCCCGTCTACAAAAAGTCTAACTCGGTCAAAGTGGAACCTTCCAGCGATTCTGGACTGCCGATTAAGAGCCGCCAATCGTCGGGGTCTCCCACAGCGGGTCAGGACCTCTGTAACCTAGCGTGGTCTCTAGCGCCGTTTGTCGAACCTCGGATGACAATCGGGTGCCAGGTTGGGTCTCTACTCTCTAGTCTCTGCCATTTCTCATCTCAAGCCGCAGCTGGAGACAGGCGTGCGCCAGTGTGGCCGCGTGTCTACTGCCCTTTTTTTCGGCAATCATGCATGGAGCTGGGAGGGCGTGGCTGGAAGAAACACGCAAGCCACTGTGGATTGGAAAAGATTGATGCACTAGTGTTACAGATCTACATCTTGTGCAGAGGAGAAGACTGGACGATCGATTTGCAACCAGAGCCGACGGCACAACGGGCTTGATTCCTATATAGGCATGCGCGAAGCTGGAGGCTTGGGGTCTAGTGACGCCCAAATCGGCCTCGGTAGCTTAATTCCATGGTGGCGCCCAACCTGGAGTGAGGCTCGTCGGATGGTCCCCCGCTTCGTGTAGATGGTTCTCAGTCCCATGCGGGAGATCCGGTAGTACTTGACTATCGTCTAATTGATGGCGGGTTTTGTCTTCTGATTCATCTTGTACGTGCACTGCTGCAGGCACAGTGCTCTAGAAGACAAGCAAGAAAATACTGTACTGTCTTCGTCCACTCGTTTGACGGCGTATACCCCTTCGAAGGCCGTTCCGAATGTATTAGCCAGCCACGAAAAGACCACATCCATCTGGCAAGATCAGAGAGCCAAGATCAACGGCAATGTCAATATCACCCTGGTCGAAAACACATATCGCTGCACCATGCTTCCGACATTACCTTTGATTGGGCCGAGTCTGGCGATTTTCGTCGTCTCGCTGGTCATGTTGATTCTTGCCCTCATTGCCGTCTCCTTGCGGATCTTCGTCCGGGTTCACGTAGTTCGTGCCTTTGGCTGGGATGATACGCTTATGCTCTTTGCCCTGGTATGTCCTATGGCAAAAAAAAACCCTCATTCCACATATAGCTTGCTTATTCCAACACCAGGCCTTTTTCGTCGCATTCATCGCATGCAGCTTTGTAGGCGCGCTCTATGGAGGCGGTCGTTCAGCAAGCGAATACCCAAATTTCGCATACTACAGAGTCTCACTACTCGTACGAATTTGCCTGCCCTCAAGTCACGATGCCGTTCTCATCGAGCTAACCTGCAAATGCCACTAACTCAGTATTGGTGGCTCTGCGAAATCTTCTATACCTGGTCCTCCGCCCTCGCCAAACTATCCATCGCCGTTGCGCTTCTCCGTCTGACCATCAACCGAGTTCACCGCATCATCATCTTCCTCGTCATGGGCTTCACCGTCGCCGTGAGCCTCATGTTCTGGATCACCCTTCTTCTCAATTGTCAACCTGTCTCGTTTTTCTGGAACTTTGCGGATCCCAACAGCTCCGGGGAGTGCATGTCCTTGCATGAATTGGCCAAGGTCGTGTATGTGTATAGCAGCTTCACGATCGTTTCTGACTTGACGCTGGCGATCCTGCCGATCTTCCTGGTGTGGAAATTGCAGATGAGTCCCCGGACGAAAGTGGCCGTTGTGGTGATTTTGAGTATGGGTGGAATGTAAGTCTATACTTCTAGATTGTGGTTGCAAGTCTCTGTCTGCTTGTCCCCCTTTTCGTTTTATCGCTCGTCAGAAGTACTTTGCTCACACGGTCTGCATTTTTGAACAGCGCAAGTATTGCCGTGATTGTTCGGATTCCATATTTGCATTTTCACGCCGACACGAGTTTCCTCCGTAAGTCCTTACAAAGATGTTTCACCAGATCGCTTCTTCAAGCATGGAATCTCCCCAATACCCTCCCGCCAATACTCATACCCAAATCCAAACCAACGCAGGGTCCACATTTCAAATCGCCATCTGGTCCGTCATCGAAACAGCCCTCGGTATAACAGCCAGCAGCCTCTTCACCCTCCGCCCCCTTTTCCGCTGGCTCCTCGATGAGAAATTCTCCAGCGGCCGCGCAACACGCAGCAACGCACCTGGATACAGCAATTACCCCCTCGGCACCCTGGACCGAGATGGACTGAAGGCAATGCGCGACACCCCGAGCTCAACGACGCCTAGATTCGGAACTGCAAGTGAACATGGACACCGGATGTCCGGGGGTAGCGCGGTGACTATTCCGGCGTCGAGGAATTTCATCATGTTGAATAATAGCGAGGAGGCGTTCATTAATCCTGAGTCGCCGGGGGTGATTGCGTCTGAGGGGGGCAGGATTACAGTGCAGAAGACGTTTATGCGGTCTTCTGTTTCGGAAAGGGATCAGTAGTCTTGGGGTTGTAACGGTGTGATTGATTTGGTGTGTGTTTGACCTACAGGCCTCGGGCACATAGCGGGTTCGGGAGTTAATGTGTCAATGAGGAATGAATCGGTGTTAGGGCTTTACTATTGTTTGAACTTTTTGATTGTCTTGTCTTGGCTGAGCAGCCCCTTCCCCTTCTAATCTGTAGAGGTATGTATCCTAGCCAACGCTTGCTTTCATTCTAAATTTCTATTCTCGCCGACCTCAGGTACCGGATGGATGAATAAACTTGTTCAGTGGTGACTGTTCTGCAGTTAGTGTTTAACCGATCTGTTGCCATTCGCAGTGCCTCTATACCAATTGAACCCCATGCCCGGACAATGAATATAACCTTCATTTCCTCACCATCTCACTGTTTCTACCCAGGCTGGACACTGTTGACCACCTAGGTTGCAGTATCTGTATACTACCCGACGGTTTTGGGAGTCCTCAAGCATTAAACCTATGTAGGTAGGCAGGTAGGATTCCGATCCCTCGTTCAGATACCCCACCGATTCGGGATGCATATCTACCTCGGGCTTCCACGATTTGGGAGTACAATTTGACCTGAGCAATGGGCAAAAAACCCCAAAGGCCGTCGTACAGTGGTTTCCTTGCAACGACAAACCCATTGGAGGCTCGTCAATGGATAGCAGATTTTATTACGTGCTGCATGAAGTATTCTATAATACCGGGATACTTTGAATTCTAGGCTGTCCTGAACCTAAGTCGTGCACGAATCAAGTCATTCAGGCGCAAATTGGCAGGGATCCACGACACCAAGTTAGGGTAGAGCCTTGCTTTTTGCTCACAGTCTTCCAATCTGTCGGTAGAGGTGAATAGTGTTTCAATTCTTTGGTAGCTAGGTCGAGGTTTTTGAGTCCTTCATGTTTGCAGCTGGAGGTTCCATCTGTGAAAGCTCGCACGTGTCTGGGCGGTGTAGATGGTTCTTAAAAAGTGTCGCATGCTCTGATCCTTCCCGTCTACTCCCCTGTATGAATGGATGGATGTGGAAAGAGTTTTCTTTCTATGGAGCTGTCAATTCGGAGGCTGAAATTGTCGGGTCAAGCCAGAAACAAGGCGGACGGAATCTCGTACTCAGGACATAAGTGCCGAGATTGAGACTCACCGATCACACTCCCATTGGACTTCGACTTCCAAGTCGGCGGTATGACACGTACTTCACGTTGGACATCATTGATGTATTTGTCTTCCATTTAATGCCGTCGAGATCCCTCGTCCTTTCCGATCGAAGGCGAGCTTCGTGGTATGTATAGGCACCTATCCACTTAGCCACTCAGCAGCCGGTCTGCGCACCCCATTTTGCCGCGGGTCATATATAATGTATGTTTGCGGGTGGTTTCGAAGATACGGCTGGGGTGTGGAATTTCGAGTGACGTGACGTGATCAGATCAGCGTGTGATGGTAAGAACTTAGAAGTATACACCCGGGAGATCCAGTCGGTATGACTGTGTTTGGAAATGAAGTATATCCAATCTTTGCGAATGGTGACGGGCGACCAGGGCTGTTGTCTGCTGCGCATCAAGTATCATACATCATGACTCACAAGTTCCAACAACATCAGTATTTAGAATTTGATATTGCTCCCAACGCAAGATATACATCGATAGCGAAACGAATATGCACCACATGCCCCTGGCGCATCATACTGAGAACCAGAAACAAAGATGGAAGAACAGAAATGAAGCGTATAACTCAATAAGCAACCCAGACGCCTTGATTCGTGACAAACACTCGTGTCGCATAAACCGATCGTAACATGTTGTCTCGTGTGCATATACAAAAGACTGTCGGCCCCTCGCTTCCTTCCTCGTCACGCTCACTTCCGCTCACTGCGGCTACTGCTCGAACTTGGGGGTTCATAAGGCGGCACCGGTGAAAAATCCTCCGTTAGCATTTCCTCCGAGCCAGGAAGCTCGCTCGCCTTGGTCTTGGGGTTTGCCTCGGATACCGTTACGGTGGGTTTCGAGCCCGACTCTTCGGTTTCGGAGTCGCTGGAGTAGGCATCGTCATAGCCATCTAACAGGGCTGCGCGGCGCTGAGCATCATCCTCGTCATCTGGCATGTTGGGAGCCGTGTAGGCGTCGGGAGAGCCGTGCTTCTTGATAAAGTGATCGATGATGTAGTATTGGAGGGCGTTCATGATGACGGGGAAGAGCAGCATGACAAAGGCGATTTGAAGTGCGGTGTTGCCCTCGGTCCAGCCTAGAGCCCAGTCGCCGACTTTGATGATAAATGGGAAGAGTGAGATGAGGAAGAAGACGCAGACTTTCATGCCGAGAAGACCGACGAAGTAGATCATGGACTGTTTCAGCCACCAGATGGCCCGGGGTGGCTGGCCATAGTTGCCCGATTCGATGGATTCGGGCGGATTGGCCAGTGGAGTATAAAATGCGATGTAGTTGAGTAGTCGGAGAATGAGAATGAGGATTGGAATACCGAGAGTTGTCTAATCGTGTGTCAGAAATTCAGTTATCAGCGCGGTTTTGAGGAGAAATCGCCTTCAAAGAGTCTCACTCACATCGATACCCAAGTTCAGCAGGTAGATCGAACAAGGGTTGGGTTTGTACGACTTTCGGACCTGCATTTCACCCGCCGAGAACATGGACATCAAGAGATTCGCCAAGTGGAGCAACCCCGATCCAAAGACTTGCTTGGACGCATCAAAAGCCCAGACTTTGAGTGGTCGCTGAGGACGTTCCCTCCACCGCTTGTAGACCAGTGACGACAGTGCCAAAGCCCCAAGAGCAGCCTGCACTAGCAAAGAGAACGGCCCGAGCAGTTTGCACTCTCCGTCGTCTTCCCCATTTGAATCGTCGCCCGACGCCGTCGCGTTATACGAGTAGAGCATAGTAGAAGTTGGTGACGACGACACAGACGCGGCGAAGTAAGGTGATGAGCTGGGCGCCGGCGTAGCGATAGCCAAGTTGGTGGCCGCCGATGCGACGAGCGATAGAACGGTGGTCGCTGCGTCCATCGTTGCAGTATGAGACTTTCAAGAAGTCCAGAGGCTTGGTGGTTGAGTTTTGTGTCTCGACCTGATCCGTGAGAAGGCAAGAAGCGGCCGGCGCTTCGGTGAATGCGTTGTAGTAGTCGTTTCTTGGTGACTGATCAGACGCCGGGGGCGGGGGCCGAACGGGCCTATTTGCAGCCGAGACAAGACCGGATCAGCACGTGGCTGATCGTGTCAAATATGAAAAGAGGTCCAAGTGGGAGGAGAATGAAGATGAACGGAGAAGAGAAAGTTCACGAGCTCTGGTTTATTTTGGAGCGAAGAACCGCCCAAAGCTGGGAAGTTGGAACTGGCTGACCAAGTAACTTACTAGCACTAACTTAGTCTCATCCAGTGAGGAGCAGCTGCCGCTTGCTTAGTCGGCGAGTCGTTCATGTGGCGGGTTGTCCCAAAGGGCTGGGCCCCCGCAAATGTCCCAAACAGTCTGACAGTGCTGGAACTGCCGTACTATGGCTCATTCTCTCCTTCACCATACGATGCAATCTATATGACCCACGAGGTACACACACTTAAGCCTTAAAAGCCAAAGAGTCAAAGCCTGAGTCTATTGGAATGTTAGAGTAGAATTCTCTCCTTGCAATTCATGTATCGTCAGAGTCGCGGCCGAATGTGAAGAATCGCCAAGGCGAGCGATCCCGCCGTGTTGCAGTAAAGTGGAGACTGGGCGGTCATTCTGTGACGCATTTGCTGCCTCGATTGCCGCCGTCTTCCATTGCTGCGGCAGGTGGGTAATCATTGATGGAGACTGAGCGTGAGGAGTATTTTAGATATAGTGGGACTAAGTGCTGCTCTAAGAGGTCGCTCCAAATAGAACTTGACTCCCTCTCTGTGGTCGCAAGGAGTCTGTCTCTTCACTGCTATAGTGCACTCGTGACCAACAGAGTCACGCGGGCGCTACACCCGGAGGGAGAAAATCATGTCCAGATCGTTTTTCGTTCTTTTTGTGAGATGTGTACAGGGTACGCATCTGTCAGGTAAGATCTCCATTTTACGAGATGGAGATCCTATGTTCGTTGACAATCCAATTGATCAGGTAGACGCTGGCGTCAAACGTACCCAGCAATCTATGCGATCTCGAGGAAGCCCTCCAGCGAAAAGAGATCCTGCTACTCGCAAAATACTGGAAAGTGGAGTATGAATGTCTCGCGTGGCAAGGCAGAACGGTTGATAATCATAATCATAGACGAAGAAGGATGGCAAAGCCACCGATCGGCGTCTGGAAATAACATTCTGCAGCTCGTAGATGCTTCAAACGAACTCGACCGGACCACCATCCAGAGTACACGGGGTCGTCATAAAGAACAAAATATCCCGAAGGAATTCAAGAGCAAAGAAAAAGCACAAAAGAAACGCCGCGAACCTAGCCCATTCCCAGAATCAACGTGATAGCGGATCCGTCGCACAGCTCACTCCGATCACTCTATCCCATGCTGCTGTTTAAGTCTTTCCAAATTCTCCTGTCGTTCTTGGATATCCTCCTTGGAGCGGACCATTTTCTCTGGCTGGTGGTATAATACTACATTCAAAAACAACAGTCAGCTTTCCATCTCCGCAACAAACAACCAAGGCACGTGAGCAGTTGTGCGCAAGGAACCAATACATACCGACCAAGTATCTGCTCTGGAAGTTGAAGCCATTGAGCTTATCGCATGCCTGCTTGGCGTCGTGTACGTCTTCGTAGACCACGAATGCTGTGCCCTTGGAGTTGTTGGCAATGCCCTGGCGAATTTGTCTGCGAAAGAGCGAGCGCCCAGGATTAGCAAACACCGAGAACCGGAACATCGTTTGTAGACCACCGAGATCTTACCGGATGGGACCGAATTTCCCAAACAGGTCGAAAAGCTGCTCTGCTGTTACGTTGTAGCTGGCGTAAATACCGTCAGTTTGTAATTTTTTTTCGGGGCTTGTCACTTGCTGGCCGCTCGGAGATTCGAGATAACGAAAGAGAGGGAGGCGCATCCGCCGATGGTCGGAAAAAGACAAAGTATAAGCAAGCGTACCTGAGGTTCTTGACGAAGAGAATCCTGTAAGCAAGAGAAAGGAAACGAGTCAGTACAGATATTGTTGAAGGCAGAGCGACCACGCTTCACTCCGGTCTCGAGTGTCGTGTGAGACCCATGAGAGCGTAGAGCCCAATGGCGGGAGGGGCAGGAAAAGCGCGAAGACATACCGATTTGCTTCGGGGGCGAGCTTCCGGCTCATTCTTATGTTGAAAGTAGCTCTTAGTGCAGTTGGTTGGAATGGTGCAGATGGGTTGCAGGATACCGAGGGTATCAATGTCAAGTGAGGATTCCAAAGAGCAGAACGATTACGAGTCGACAGAGAGCCACGCAGAGAGAACCACGAGGGCGCCTTGGCATTACCCGTTGGGGCCTAGCGTCAGTCTAAGGCCGGACGGATGAGGTAAGCGTGCCTCTGTTGACAACCGTACGTGACCAGTGATACCGGACGGCCGTCGATCCTGCCAATATTATAAGCGGTCAGTTGACCGGATCGACGGTCACAGCTGGTACCGCTCAATACCGTATCAGCGCCGTCAGGTAGCTCGGCGAAGACGCTCTCGTCGCAAGTCGAAAGCTCGGAACCGCCTGCGAAACCCTTTGTCTCTTCTTTCTAGGCACTCTACCTCGCCAAAGGCATTCCAAGTCTCAAGCTCAACAATTGGGTCTGGTTAAGAACTGGAGAAAGTCCCTGCTCGGAGCGCATCCATTACCTCCAAGTCCACAAGCGGCTGCCGCCGTCCAGAGGCCGCATACTCTTCGAGCGGGCTCCCCGAGCGATCTGCCCTCCTCCCTCTCTCGTCTGCCGCGCTCCGTTCTCCCCTCCTCACTCTTTCAGATCACCCACCCATACCACTTCCATCCATTCGAATCTTCGCCGCTCAAATCCCAGTCTGCGGGATCTCATTCCTGCCGACTGGACTCGTATACCCTTCAGCTCTTCTTTTCGCCCGCGGGCTGCGGCGCGATTCATATCGCGCCTTGGTCAACCCGCCGCCACAACGCTCGCAAACCCCCTCAACCATCTCCGCCGCGACTGACTTTCGCGGACCCCCCCCCCCCCCCTCTTCGTCGGCTATCTCCTCCGCAATCGTCAATCGCTTCTCGAGAATCATCGGTTATCCGGAGGACTCACACGTATACATTCGGCTTCCAGGAATGACACCCACTCCCTCTGCGACGGCTTCTCGCTAGTCCGTGGTGATCTACCCATCCCCGCTTTGCACCCACTTCGCCGCAAAGTCGCATCCAGTCGCAGCTCCATTCCACCATCTTCGATTCCTTCCCCTCTCCGATCTCAACGAGCTCTCCGCCGAAGATGATGAGCGCAGCATCCTTCTCGTTGCCTCTGGGCGAGCGCCCGTCGTATTATCGCACTCCTTCTCCTCCGCGACGCGCCGTGGAGCCGATCACACCGTCGACAGCCGAATTTCGAGCATCCTGGGCTGAACGCGGCCCTCCGCCTACAGCCGTCCTCGAAAATGATCAAAATTCTCAAAATTCTGTTCAACCTATACCTGCGGATCCTGGGCGCCATCAACGGTCAGGTCATGGACGCTCAAATTCGACAATTGACACCCTTGCCACGATAGCTCTCGCAACAAGCCCTACTTTCGCACCTCCCCCCGCCCCCTCCTCTCCCGACTTTCGATCGACATTTCCTCTCTTTCCCAATGAGTCGCAAGACTCTGAGCGACCTCTCAAGCGATCTCGGTCGGAACGGCAATCGTCTCCGTATCAATCGCCTCCCTCTTCTTCCCACGCGCCGCCGCCACCAAGCGGAAGTTTACAACACTCCGCTCTGGACAGTATGAAGACTGATGCCGAGCTACTTCTCAACTTCGCTCGACCATCCAATTTCTGGCCAAGTGGACATCATACAAAACGGGTCAGCATTGACGAATCCTATCACAACCACAACCACAACCACAACCATGGCTGGGGCAGCGACATGGTACGCTACGATCGACTAGAATCCTCCCATGCTTCACAACCATTCCTGCCGGAGGATAGGAAAGCCTCATTCAATCACAGCGACAACCACATCCCTCCGTCCCGATTGCGATCACGATCCGATGGATCAACCTTCCTGTCCCGTCCCATGATCCGCGGGGTGCGACCTACGACAAGTACTGGGGCGCTACCGCCGGTTCTTTGGGAAGAAGAAGAAGATGATGCACATGCGGCAATGTTGGAAGACTCACGTTATGTAAGCTACGCCGATCAGAGACATGGCGAGTTTGATCACAACAATCATCACAATTCAACGAAAGTCCGTCCAAAGGTTGAAGAAGATATGAGAGGCGACACCACAAATCAAGCGAGCTGTGCCGCATGTTACATGGTCCGAATACCAGTCGACTCGGAAGAGCCGCTAGAAGAAGATACGTGGATTGGCTGCGATGGGTGCAAGCGTTGGTTCCACATCGTCTGCGCCGGGTTCAAGAATGATCGGGAGGTCCGCACAGTCGATAAGTTCATTTGTCGAGCCTGTCGAGCCGCTCACGGGCAAACGACGTTTGTTCGCAAATCATCCAGAGCTCGGACTGCTATTGATTACGCCGGTCTCAATCAAGGACTGGTCAAAGCTGCTTCGGACTCGGCGGAGCACCACTATCTTGAACCCATCCGCCAAGGAAAGATCCGATTCCTTCCTGAGTCTTTTCCCCGTATGAGGCCGGAGCTTGTCACTGCCGAATACTTTGAACGCGGGAACGGCTGGACTGAACCCGTCGTCATTCCTGCTGTCTGGAATCACCGAGAAGCCGTACCGGAGCTCGACGAAGACTTTGCTTCACTAGTGGAGAGTGCCTCGACCCGCGAAATGTTTGATGAATTACTTGAACATATCGACGAGCATCAAACGAGTGTCGAGGAGACTGTCGACTGCGGACAAGATCAACTGGATATGGTTGTTCCTCAAGGGTTAACAGTCCGGGCCGTCGCCGAGCTCTATGGCCCAGAAGAAAGGGTCGAGGTGATCGATGTCAAGTCACAGCAAGGTGAGGACAAGCGGTGGAACATGCAGAAATGGGCCGATTATTACGAGAGTAATGAGCCCGACAAGCCCGTGAGGAACGTGATCAGTTTGGAAGTCTCGCAGAGCAAATTAGGCAGACTGATCAGGCGGCCCAAAGTCGTACGCGACCTCGATTTGCAGGATGAAGTCTGGCCAGACGAGCTCAAAGCGATTGGCGACTACCCCAAAGTCCAGTTCTACTGCCTGATGTCTGTGGCTGACTGTTACACCGACTTTCACATCGACTTTGGAGGTTCCTCCGTCTACTACCACATTCTCAAAGGCAAGAAGACCTTCTTCTTCATTCCGCCCAAGGACAAACATCTCAAGAAGTATGAAGAATGGTGCAAGTCTCCTGCACAAGATTCGGTCTTCCTAGGTAATCAAACAAAGGAGTGCTATCGCGTGGATCTCTCTGCGGGCGATACCATGTTGATCCCATCAGGCTGGATACATGCGGTCTGGACGCCGGAAAACAGTCTGGTAATCGGCGGCAATTTTTTGACCCGGCTGAACTATGGCATGCAAATCAAAGTTCTCAACATTGAAAAAGAGACCAAGGTGCCCATGAAATTCCGCTATCCGTTCTTCCAGAAGATCCAGTGGTACACTGCCTTGCGTTATCTGGAGCAAGATCCAGTTCCTCAGAGCGTGATGGATGCATTCTTGCAGGATGAGAACTACAGGTTTCACAGACAGCAACCGATCTATTACGAATTTGGAGATCATGTTCACCGGGAACAGCCAGGGACTGCCTATTACAATGCCCGACTATATTCACAGGCTGAACTAGAGGGCTTGCCGGAGCTGACCAAGTACCTCCTGCGAACTGCACTTATCGCTAGCTCGTACAATGTTGAGGGAGTGACTGTCGAAAGTCGGAATGCGGTTAGACGGTCTATTCCCAAAGGCATCGCCGATCCTGTCGATATGATCCGAACGTTCGGTATATGGGTTGCATGGAAGCGCGGCAATGAGAAGGCGCCTCAATGGATACGACCAGGTGTCATTGAATCCAATCCCAAAGTTCCACTCAACGAGAAAAAGTCTGCCGGGCGCCCAAGCCGCCGATCGGAACGCAATGTTGACAACCAACGCACCTATGCTGAGAGACAGGCAGTTCAGCGGCCATCAGACGATATTTCCGATATGCCTGCACCTCAAATCAACAACGCTGCTGTCCTGGCAACCGATGAGAGTGAAGCGCCTGCGGCCCCTGCTTCCGCTGCCGCTCCCGCTCCCGCTTCTGCCGTGGAAGTGATCGTTCGAGAACCTCAATTTCCCTCAAAGCCTCGACCTGCTCAACGTGGTTCCGGACTAGGTCCGAAGCGAGTTGCATGTGATGCATGTCGTCGACGTCGAATTCGTTGTCGACACAAGGATGAGCCGAGCGATTCCGGCAATTTAGGCGCTCACGTGGGTATGAATGGTCTGGGTCTTGCGTCAGGTCTTAGCAATACGTCGTCATTAGCACAGGATGCTGTGTCGGCACTTAACTCATTGGCTGCCATTGCTTCCCAAGCTGGCTTTCAAAGTAATGGTGTTGTTGGGTTCGATAAATTTGACGGCCCTGGCAAATTTCATTCAACGGTACTGGGTGCCTCTGGTGTGGCGACCAACGGGCTTAGCGAGCTGAGTCCGGACGGTGCAAACGGCGGCAAGAAAGGTCGAAGCAAAGCTTGTGACGACTGTCGAAAGAGCAAGGTAAGCAATTTGGCGCTCCGTGGCATTCGATATTCCAGACCAACAGCTGATCTAATCTTACAGCGCCGATGTATACATGATGAATTTGGTCGTGTCGATCCTATCAAAGCACAAGAGAGGTCGAAACCCCGTGGGACAGCCGCGTCGAAACGACCCCGACCCAATGAAGATGAGGCCGTATCGGCACCTTCCAAGAAGGCCAAGCAGGAAAGCGTGTCCCCAAACATTCATCCCTTGCAATACGAAGATTATCAAGCTACTGCGGTTCTGCACGACGCGCAAAGCGCCTACGACGTACTGAGCCATTCCCACGTTCAATCAAGCCTGGTCGCGGATGTTGTAACCGTCGGTCAGGCTCTTTATGCATCCCCGCCTGTTGCCCACGTTGATTCGATGGACATAAAGGATACAAGTGCCTTGGCTGCCCCTGAAAACCCCACTTCTACATCCCTTGTCTCTCCACCAACGTCGCTGGTCGACGAGATGGACACGGTTCAGGATAGCGAGCCAGTGACATCGGTAGAGAGCGAAGCTCTTGGTGCGCTTCACACACCTAACTCGAGCTCACGCCATTCGTCTCGACAACCTCGCCATGTGGAACGCCTTGTTGGAGAAATGCCCTCATCTCGCTCCTTGCATTCTGCTACGCGCCCGGGTGCTTCACAGGTCATTCCTGGCCCCTCCACAGCTCGAAAATCATCTCCTCGCCCATCATCATCCCATGCCAAGAAGAGTTCACCCATGGTTGAAAAGCACTTTGATCGACACGCGACGACGTCCCTCTCGCCGCGTCAGTCCAAACACAACAAGAATCGTACAAAGGAAGATGCTGACGCTGAGAGTCTACGACTGATCCGTGAGCTTCAAGAAGAAGAATTCGGACTCAGGAGGAGACGCGGCTAGATCGGCACAACTTGGATACGACACCAAAGTTCTTGTTCTATTCTCTTCTTTCCGTTTCCCTTCACTTATGTTTCTCCTCTTCCTCTCAACCTTGCCAACCTCTTCTTCTCTACGAGCACATTCCAACTTTGTTTTTCCCTCTGGTCATTGCGATGGTTATTGCACGGGTGTTTCTTCTTGGATTTGGAATCGACAGATACGGAGTTCATATATCTCTCTTTGCTTACCTGTGGGCGTTGTCATCATTCTACGGAGATATTGCCGGTTTACCTACGGTGTTCTGATAGGGCTGCGTCAATTGACGACATATATTCCCTTTTGTTCTTCTCCTTCATCACTGCTGCGTCGCTCTTCCTGCTTTTCATGCTGCATGGCACAATTTTGTTCGTTTGCTTACTCCCCGTTGAATTTTTCTTCTCAACGCTTGGCTTCCTGTGCGGCTCCGTCCCAGGGACCATTGACCCATTCACCCAAACTGAGCAGTTTGCTTTGCTTATATTTTCCTCTGAGATTATGGACCTTTTCTTGTCTTTTTTGTAGACCTGGAGTAACTATAATTTGAAAGACAATAATGGATTGAATATCATTTTGAAGGTTGTTCCTTCTTTCTTGTTCTTGGTCTTGTAAAGACAGAGGCATTCCTATAATCGTCTCATCGCCAACCTCTGTAGATTCGAGGTCGCGATTGGGACGTGGGGTCTGGAAGTTAAAGACTGACGTTATCTAGAGTCCATGAAATGCGTTCATTAACACTCGCAACAGTATGTCTTAATGTATGTCCTCGGCATGTGGATGTCGTATGGAAAGGAGAGCTGCGGGTCTACGGGCTTCAGTGGATCCATTCATCAATGAGGCAAACCTGCGAACATATTGCCCTGATAGCCAATTTGCGTGCACTCAGTTGTTAAGGTGTTTCTTTTATTGAGCCAAGGGAGTGAGTTACATTTGAGACTTGGTAGTTGTGTTGTGTGTCATTGTCCTATGGCTGGCTGGGTTTGTTCCTTTTGTGATCACATTACGGGCGAAGGAGCTGGGATGGTAGAAGACAAATATTACCTGTTTGCATTTGTGTGCCCTTCATTGACTGGGAGCGAGACTCTAGTCTACTACCTATACTGGAGGCTAATTGAGGGAGAATTCGGCAGGGAAACATACAGGAAGACTCAGGCAAACTCAAATTGACTTTCAAACTATTCTATTCTGACTAGCTGCTCGTTTTTTTTGTTCTTCTTTTTCTTTGGGGAGGAAAGATTGGATGGAGCACAGTCTAGTTACCTTCCCACCAGGTATAGTTGTTTGTCTCAGCAGCAGTATCAAACACAAGCAGGGAGCTGCTGTTGCGAGGACGCTCAGGCCAAACATTCAACAGACCATCCCAGATCTCAATGTTCGAATACTCGACTTCAGCGCAAGGAGCCTTGTAGAATGCGATACCGGTGCTATCTTCACGGCTGGGATAGATGCGAGTAGTCAGAGCGAAGCGCTCGTTGACGTAGACCTCGAGAAGGGATCCGTCCACGAAGATGCTCATCTGGATGGACTCGGTTGTATTCTTGTTGCAGTCGCTGTCGTGGACGGTGTAAGGCTTGAAGTAGCCCTGGTGCGTGTCGTTCGCGAACATATTGATCTGGCTTGAGTGACTGCGGTCCACGGCGATACTGTAGTTGGATGGGTTGTAGTAGATGTTGGTGTATTCTTCGCGGTTGGGTGAAGCGGCAATGGTCAGGCCGGCGATTCCGGTGGTACTCTTGAGCTCCAGGTTGATTTGGTATGAGTGGGACAAGCTGGTGGGCAGTTTGATCTTCTCTGTGTCGCACTTTTGCTCGTGGCAGGGGAATTTGTGGTGTTTGGCCCCGCGGTGCAGACCTTCGACGACGTCTGGGACGGGCTTGGTGCCTAGGGTGCTGGCGGTCCAGGTGCCATTGGAGTGGGCGAAGAAGCGGGAGTTGCCAGGCATGCAGCTATCGGACATATTGTGGATCACGTTGTAAGTGTCTTTGACGAAAAGCTCGCGGGGGAGAGCGAAAGACCCCTGGTAGCCTTGTTGGGTGATACCAAAGTTGTTCATGTCCTCGGAGGCCCAGCCCCATTGAATACGGCGGTTGTTCTTGGTGTCGTTGAAAGTGGTCATCTGAGTTCAGACTTAGTATGTGGCATCAACGCAGGATCGGGGGGGGGGGGGGGGGGGCGGATTGTTTCCTGCCTTGATAAAACAAACTTACCGCATAAAGCAGACCCCAATCAGCTGCACCACCGGCAACAGGAGTGAACTCGACACTGCCATTCGCCCGGACAGACAGAGTTCCCTCGTTCCAGAGAGACCAACGGCGAGCGTGGAAGTCAGTGTCGCCGCCCTCAGCACCCATCGTGACGAAGTAGCGATCTCCGATTGAGAAGAAATTGGACACCTCAAAGTTGAATCCATACGAACCGGTCTCTGGCAAGGCACCCAGCGAGCTATTCATCTTCGGCTCAAACAAGGAACCAAGGAAGGTCCAGTTGGTCAAGTCCGACGCAGGGGCCTTGTAGAGAGGCATACGGGGGCCCACCTCCTTAATGCCTGAACCAAAGACAGCATAGTAGTAAGGCTCAGAAGCGTTCAAAAAGGCATCCATCTCAGGCCAAGCGTGGTAAAAAGGATCACGCCAACCTGTGACGTTCCAACCCTCGGGAGGGTTGGACATGACAGGATTGTTTTCATACTGCTGCCATGTCACTCCACCATCGGTAGAGTAGGCCAAACTTTGACTCTCGGTACCCTTGAAATAGGGTTTGCTCCAGGATGTGGGAAGTTCGGATACCGATGTGTAGAAGGCCAAGAGAGTTCCATCAGATCCACCGGTCAGATTGACTGGCTGGGCGGTTCCGGAGAAGATTCCCAGGTGATTATAAAGAGCTGGAGTATGGTGATCGCTGGTCAAATTGGTAGTGCCGATTGATTGGGCCTGTTGATTCTTCCACGCGGCAACCCCATCCTGTGGGTTGCTATCCACATCCTTCCAGGTGATGAGATCATCCGAGGTGGCATGTCCCCAGGAGATGTTGCCTAAGAAGTCGTTAGACAAACAATGAAAACTAACGAAAGGGTGCTGTAAAAGTGAACTCACCCCAATTGACGTGGTTAGGGTGGAATTGATAATGTAAGTGGTAGATCTTGTTGATGGGATCATACATGGGTCCACAGGGATCCTGGTGAGCGATCAGCATGTATCCTTATTCACAGCTCAAGAATTTCCAGATCATTCGAACGAGTGACATACGTTCATCCATCCCGACGGAGCAAGGAAATGAGAGGTCGGCCTCCATCTCGTGAAGAGAGTGTTGTTGGCCATGCTATTGATTTGGTCGACAGTGAGCGATTGGCTCAGTCCAGGCGCAGCCCCAGCACCGAGTGCCACCGCCGTAGCAAATGTATGCGTCTTCATGATGAGCAGCTGAAGCAATGCCTTGAAACTTTCAATCGAATTGTCGAAGCACTGAGAAGAGGTTGGATTGAAGGCTTCTTATAGTCGTCAAAAGACTGGAGAAGCCGTCGAGCATGTCTGTGACCCCGGCCTTTAGTCGCCACATCCTCGGTGGTTCAGTCATGGAAGCTCTCTCCACAAAGATTGTTCGACGAGCCTAGTTGGAAGACCGGGAAACCTAAAAGCGCCTCTTTTTGGGCTCGATCCCCAGGAGTCTGGGGTCATTGCCGCAAGCCCATGGGGAATGGTGGCTGGTCGGGGGGGTCACTGCAGCCAACGAGGGATAATGCAATAAGTCCGAGGTTTGTCCTCGAAACCCCCGATTTCTCCGCGACCACAGGCGTAACTCGCCGTGAATAAACAGGGTACAGTTGCACACCTCGGCATCCCGGGCATTCTCAAGCTTCAAAAGTCGCCTGCAGACAGAGGTCTCTGCCGTGAAAGTACACCCCGCCATTTTGAAAAATTTCTCCGAAGATGTTGGAGGATTGCCGAAGTTAATCCACCTTCCAAACCGGTTCAGCTTTCCAGATCCAAACCCAGCGAAACCGTTGGGAAGTCAAAATGTATGGCTAACAGTAACTAGAGATTCCACACAAGTTAGTCGCAGGTAGTTTTTGACTGAGATTCTGGCTCGGCAGTCGCGCGGAGACCTCATACATGACAAATGCTACCTCGTGTTGGCGACGGGTCCATGCCCGCCGTTGATCCTTCGAACGGCTCCAGGCCACTACAAAAGGGAAGAACCAGGTGATATTGGAAAAATCACAGCGGCCGTGGTGGTAGGAGACTCGTGCAAGGCCTTAATGCATTACCGAGGTACCAGGATGCGCAAGAATTGGGCTTCTCACCGAAGATCGCCGATGAGTCTCACGATTGCATGCGCCAAAATCGACGATAGAAAGGGAATGGCCAGAGTGAGAGAACGGAACGCTTGTCTCATTGAATAAGCAATTCACACGGCATTTTGGCAAAGATGGAATCAAATTGGAAGCTAGCTCCTATGAGGTGTCACCGAGGAGCTTGCACAGTAGATCAGGTGATCGTTTCGACAGCAAGTGAACGGAATTTTCATATTCCCTTCCTTCATATGCTCTTTACGCTCATGTTACAATGCTAATCTAAATCACGATGACTCGGTCTTCCATCTTTCCATCATGGCCTCCCAAGTCAGACGGCCCGACTCGTCGTGGAATTCTGGCTGGTCGATGAAAAAGAAGGCATCATGAGAAATATGCAGCGTCTTGGAGAACAGCTTGCTTGAAGGAACAGTACAGCCTTTCCCATCCGTCAGATCGTCGCCAGCGAGCAACTTTCGTACCAGACCGGTGACGTATTGGATCGGGATCTGTACTTCCTGGGGGGACAGCGCTTCTAGCTCGTCGGTCAAGAGCGCTGGCTTGACCACCCCAGGGCAGATGGCATTCACACGCACGCCTTCCTGCCAAAGTTTGTCTGCAATTGATCGTGTCAATCCGACAATACCATCTACGAGATGTCAGCGGAACTCATGTTGATCTGAAATCAATCGGCCCTTACGTTTCGTTGCTGAGTACACTGGTGTTCTAGCACACGGGTACAAGCCCCCAATGCTGGACGTCAGAATCAAATTTTTCATGCCGGACAAGGGCTTTGAGGATCGACGAAAGTAATGCATGGCTAGATAGACCGTGTTCACGGCGCCGTCCAGGTTAATTTGCATCAATCCCAGAGGTGGTTCAGGTGGGATGCCCGCGTCAGGCTGTGCAGCGAAGAAGTCTTCGAGCTCAGCAACTCCGGCATTTGCGAAGACAAAATCGATGCGGCCAAATTCGGCGAATATACTGTCGAACACCTTTGCCAAGTCTATGTACTTGGCCACATCAGCCTGGCAAAATTCTGCTTTCTGGATTGACCTTGCCGCTTCCTGGCCTCGTTGAGAGTTGCTGCCGATCAACTTGACTCGCCAGTCGCCGGACTCGGCTAAATCTTTTGCAACATCTAAGCCAATTCCACTGGCTACACGAAATGGGCACTTTCTATCAGCAACCCGACTTTGATCTCGCTTCCAAGTCGAGTACTTACTGCCCCCAGTTATCACTGCCACTTTGCTCATTGTGATTCTATTCCATCCGTTAGAGAAGCTGCTGACGCGAGGGATCTGAAAAACTGGGCGATTGTATGAAAAATTCCAATGATCGAGATAAAAAATAGGGACAAGCCTCCCGTAAGTTGGATGGAAACCTTGACCGCAGTTCCGGCCTTTAGGGATGAGGTGGCACATGCACGATGCGCTCACCTGAAGAGAGTGGAATAATCATCCACGGCATTTCATTTCTGGTCTAGGCCCTCGCTAATGCACGTCCATATCTATCACCATGCACCTACTCCTTAGCTCTGATACGACCATCTTGTCTGATTCGAGCAAAGGGTCGTGATAGCCCAATGCTATCCTGTTGTGATACGGAAACGGTTTGGAGACTGTCAAGCTATTTCATCGGCTAGATTTGAATTTACTACCCACTTGTTCAGCAGATCTCCCGGAGCCGAAGATGTCCGAAACGATCCCAAGAGTTCGCGGCTACTAAGTTCTACAGATACTGCTGCGAAGCCCATAGCTGGGAATGGACGAGAGAATTTCGGAGATTGATTATCAAGAACAGTATTCAATTAAAGCTCACTTTCAAGACTCTATGATGTCGCCCAGTTTTTATTGCTGTTATTGAAATGTTTGATTGATACATGACTCAAGAGGAGTCGCTTGTTTTATACACAGCTCTAGTGTTACAACATGTCGCCGTCGGCTTCTGTTATCAAAACTATCATAAACGAAGGTTGTGCGCAGCTCACCTTCTCTGTCATTTTGATTCTTCTGACTCTCTTGTGCATACCGCATCCTCTCCAATCCCTTGCAGATCCTATCAGACTGAATATCCGCTTTCGCGCTCACCCGCAAAGTAACACAAGACCTTATGAGCAGCCAATTCGAACGAAGCTTTTAATATAAAAAATGGCCCTTGTGATACAATGATCGTGTCCTTGCAGAGTTGTGTGCTTTCGCACATTCAGAGAACTCGAAGAAAGAATGAACATCAGCTAATGCCGAGAGCAAGATGAACTTCTTACAGCAGCAGCAGTAGCAGCATCAGTTTCATAGGCTTCGTCAACACGAGGCATCATGTCATCAATTCTTGAAGCGACACTCATCCCCCTTGTGTATTTGGGTAGAAACTTTTGCCACTAGCAGTCTGTTTCTATGTTTCATGATGAATGGGAATCGACCTAAATCGCATCCCTCGGCCCCTTGCAGTGATCAAGGCATTTATCCAGGCTGCACCGTGATATTCGAATGCATACCACATTGCGAACATGCGCTGACATACCATTCATCTTGTCGGCATCATTGAAAGCTTTCCTTACATTTGAATCCTCATATATAACCTACCCGTTGTCGAGTGGTCAACGAATCAATACTCAAAGCATCATATTTCACATCATATCATTCAATCCTGTACGCAGCCCGCAAGATGCCTGAACAAACACATTCTGTGATTTCTGCCAGTTTCCGAAGCTCTTTTGAGAATCAACACGTGACGATTCCAAGTATCTATAAATTGGTACCTGAATGGAAGCCGGACCTCCACAATGGCTACGAGATCGCACGGGACGAATCTCTGAACCCATGGATACGGAGGTAATGTGATGGAGTTTGTCTTACCTGCTACGATCGCTGATTTGTGTTCGCTGATGCGCTGCAAAGATGGGCCGTCAACCAGGATACGGCACGATCTCTTTGTGCGGCCGATTTCGGTCGTTTCGCTGCCCTTTTGGTCCCAAATTACCGATCATACAAGATTCTCTCTTCGGTATCGAAGTATTTCGCTTGGGTAAATTTGTGAATTCCATATAGCATTACTGCACGCATTTATTCGGACTGACCTCGCGCAGTACTTCTTATTCGATGATAGTATGTCCATACATCTGCTATATTTCTGAACTTGATGCTTAAAATCCTTTGACTCAGTATTTGACTGTGGGTCTCTGAAATATGATCAGCTCGGAGCTGAGCGCTATCGAGATGCAAGCTTGGAGTACTTCCGGTTCACCTTACTCGGGCAAGGAAGCATGCCCGACCTGTCCTCGTTTGATGTCCAGCTTCAAAATGCGCTGCATTCGTGGAATGAAATTGGAGAACATATCAGAGAGGCTTGTTCTCTAGGTAAGTCTCAACACGCAGATCAAACAATTTGGCATGTGCTGATTCAAGCCAATGACAAGGAACCCGGGAATTACTTTGTACGGAGATGCTCCGATATATCTCAAGCCTGACCAACGTGGACAGCCTGTTCAAAGACGACCAGGAGGTTCCATCAATCAAGAAATACTGGGAGAGGCGGGAAGCGACTGCAGGTGCTTTTTGTGTGATTGCCACTATCCCGTAAGTGAACGTTTTCAGCTACATTTTCTAGTTTCTCGTGCACCTAGCTCATGAACATTACAGTTTCGCCTACGGAGTTGACGTTGACAAATCAGTATATGACAACCCTGTCATGTACGAATTGTGGAGGCACGCTTCATCATTTGTGCATATGTGAGAGCAATGATAGTGTTACTTTGTTTGAAGACAGTGTTACTGACGAATCAACAGATCCAACGACATGTTCTCCTTCCGCAAAGAACTGGTACACAGCCGTTTACTATCACGATCCCAAGACAGAAGCTAATTGAAACCAGATGGACGATCAATACGAAAATCTCATTCCAGTCTTGATGCTCAACTACAATATCAATTGCAATGTCGCAATGCAAAAAGGCTACGACTTCCTTCGCAGCGAAGCCAGTGGGCTTCGTCTCTCAAGTGAGATGTTGCCGTCCAGCAGTGAAAATCTGTCACCTGCCGTTTCAGACGCATTCATCAGAGGCTGCTTTGATACAGCAATGGGCCTAGCACATTGGAGGTTAGTGGGAATCCTAGGGCCGTGAATGTTTTGACCAAGACTAACCCATCCTAAGTTATTCCGGCGCTCGCTACCTCAAAGGATGTAATCGTAATGATGACAATACGATTTCCTTCACGATCCACCGACAACGGCAACTCGAAGAGACCAAGACTCATTACGAGCCAGTTCAGAGCAAGCTGCCTTCAAATACCGGCGATCCCACTGTGCTCGACAAAATTCGTTCGATGGCACCAAAGCTGCAGGGAGTTGCTACATTATAAGAGTATTACCTGTGGACATTTCTCGCCTCTTAAATCTGAAATATGCATCGATTCACGCATGTCATCACTTTTGGGCAAATACCTCTGGTATAGCGCTCGAATCTCCAAGTCATGTGCTGGAAGAGTTTGTGAGGTGGTATCTCGTCTGATCGTTCTTTCAACTCAGTCTTGGCTCTGTCCTTCATGTATTCCATTTCGTATCCTAATTTTGCTTGGAAATAGGCTGTGATTTCTCGCCATTTATAGATGCTGTTGTTTTAATTTTTTCTTATAAACACAACGATGAAACAGTGTTAGTGCAGAATTTAGGTCAAACCAGTACCGCGAAAAATGCTGTAGCTTATCAGCATTGTCTGTAGAGAGTCAAGATCCGAGCCGTTGAAACTTCTATCTGGCTGTGAGTTGATAAAGCCACTGAACTGTATGTACAGTTCTGCCAGTCTATTACTGATTTCGGTACTCGCTGACGTGGGTCGAGTATTCTTGTCGGTGCGACGCTCACAGAGTAACACATCTATTTTGTTGGACTCTGACTCGACAGGGTCATTTCGCATCAATGAAGAGGGTTTGACATAAATGTCACACGGGACAGCATCTGAACTAGCTTGCTCATTGTAGTCAGCTGAGTTGGGTGAAGCATGAGGTGGATTTGTATGAGAAATTAAGACTGATGTCGTAGCACATTCCTAGAAAGAACGCCAAGCTTTTAAAGAGTTTCTCGTCCCAGCTAATGCACGATAGACACGAGTCTCAGAAAGCCTGTGTTCGCTGCCTACATCCTGTGATTATTAGTGAATCTACAAGTGGCTCCTCTCCCAGGGTTTCCGCTTCCTGCTCAAGCAAAAGTACGCACTTCTGTCAATCCTGAACGTGATGATCAGTCAAAAGTACACGGAACCGGAAAATGGTCCCCGCAGACGCCACGTCAGGTTTGCACAATATTTAATGGGGCATCAATTTCGACGGTCAAATAACCAATTCAGGTGTGCAGCTGAGCTATGAGACCCTGCTCGATGAGGATTGAGCAAGGTGACGGAGGTGAGGTACGATTTGGAAGGAGGTTGTCACGTGCGCGCGTTACTGTGAGGTGGGCAACTTGCCTCTTCTGCACTTCGATTTTTCTAATTTTTGATTAAGATGTGTATGGCATCACCAGGGGAGTGGGCTCAAATAAGGAGAATGATTTTGATAGTGCCATCCATTTTTTGCCTCGCTCTCACATCCGCACCTTTATCTTCTCAGCGAACACGGTGAATGAACCATGCGCTATGACCCTTTCGAGGTGCACGAGGTGATCAGCCCCTACCATTTGACTGATCGACGATGTCACACTAGCATGGACGGTTTTCCCCAATTTCGAACTCAGAGGACAAATGTACCATTCTTGGGCCCTTTCTATCGGGGTCGATGAGACGGGGAAGACTCAGTAGCTCCGGCGGTTCATGGTGGCGCAGAGGCGCCAAATCAACGAATCTGCACGATAGCACAATGTGCTGCCTGGTTGAGTTGACCGTACATCCAGTTCGCTAGCGCGGCCAAAAAAAATGCCCTGTGCATGGCCCAATGGGGTTCCTTCTACGCCCAGCCAACTCTCCAATTGGTGCTCCGTTTAGTTATGAAATCATGCAGCTAGCGATTCATTTCCACTGAAGCTCCATCACATTCTCACTGATAATGCCGAAAGTATGGCACGTAGTATGCGATCTATCGTCGTTGTTACCTGCGACACTAAGCTCATGAGCCTACCATTGTGAAACTTTGCGTTCAGACGTGGAGGATTTGGCACAGCTGGGACAGAATGGGAGATACGAATAGGCTGGCCAGATAGAGCAGGGCTCGCCATATGCTATGCATTTCCATGTTAGTAGTATCAGTCTATCAGATTAGACGACGACTCGGGCAATTAACAACCTCGAAGCCGATCCGAAAGGGGCGGCCCATGTTTCCCGACATTGCATTCCCTTTTGCTAAAACTGCGCCTGTCAAGCCGAGATCGACAGCCCTGCAGATAAGTAATTTCCGCCTCTTTTCATAATTTCGCACTTCGGATAAGGCCCTCCTCTCGAGTCTCCGCTGACATTGGGTTCAACTTAGTCATGTTTTGAGCTCTTCAATAAATGCTTGCTCGTTAACGGTGAGCGTCCGTCTAGGCCGGAGATCATCTAATTGTGTCTCGTCAGGGACGCAACAACAATAGTTTAGACTAACTTGTTTGGGACATAGGATATACGCTTAGGGGGGTGGGCCGTATAATAGTTGTCTTGTTTTCCCCTAGGGGGAGAGGCGCTCTGCCATAGCGGTCTGCAAAGTACAAATCATATGACTTATGGATCCTAGGTAGCCTTGGCTTTATGGCATCCATGCTAGCCTGTGACTGACTAGGCGCGACGGAGCTGGCTGCGAATCTGACTGCGAATCTGGCTACAATGCTGGCTACAATGCTGGTGTAAATCTGGCTTGGTATTCACCGTGTATAGGATTCAGAATGTTGTTGTGGCCTCTGACGAGGCACATTTTCAGTCCCGGGACCTCCTTTGGTCCTAGGATGGCTAGCCTAGAATGGATGAGGTTGAGTTCTTTAGGGCTTCGTGCCGGACTCCGCCTATTTTGGCGCTTAGTTTATTTGCGGTGTGGCAGCCTCCTGCTTTGACCGACCATTTGATTTCTCACACGGCTACTCTCAATGTTGGTGGCATCATGGCATGTACGGTCTTGATCGTATAAGTGCGTTTGAGGGCCTGATTTCTGGCTTCTAGATACTCAATCATTAAGGGTTGATTCCATATTCAAATGAGCATTATGTATTCGTAGATACCCATCTACGGAAGGGAAAAGAGGAAGGTGAAACACAACTTGATTGGTAGAAAGGAAAGGGAAGGAAGAGAGGCTATCAATCTAATAGTAATGTTGTGGATTTGGGGGTCCCTCGGTGGTGAGTCGGCAGAATCGTCCAAACATCATGAGCATTACTGGAGCTGGCCAACTTGTATTTAAGTCTATGCAATACTATACCTTACGGTCGAAACACAGGGGTATTCACAATTCAATTTAGAAAAGAATTCCAAATTCCTTGAATGAAAAAGTACGAACCCTAATATACATATTGTATAATGCATTATACATTGTACAATGTACAAACACTCGATGTAGTTCTCCACACGGCACTAACCCATCAACGGCCCCACATGTCAGATCAACCGGTAACTAGCTGGAGTGCTGGAGTTTGAACAGGTCTGTTCCTGACTGCGTGTTGACCTACAAAGCTCAAGCAGGCATCTCTTCCTGGACGTAGCGAGCGTAGCCGTCAATTGAAACCTGGGTGATCCTAATCATCCCCCCAAGAACTCAGCCTCGAAGGACCTTTCTCATCGCCCCACGATGTATATATTTTTTTCGTGTGGATTCCTGCCCCGGTTGCATCATTCACGATCAATGGACTTGAGCAGTCCAATAGCCTGCAGGTTCGATCCGCATCGTCCACTTAGTCGCCTAGCAGTATATAGGATATTCGTTAGCGAGCTTTTCTCCCCAAGAAAACAGCGACACCAGCATAGGGTGGAGGCAGGATTAGCACCAGGTGATAAGGTTATCTGACTTTCTTGACTATAAGGTTTCCTCTTTCGAAGGTGACCCTGTTCACATCCTAGGGGAGTAATATCGCGGGGGCTTCGAGCTGCCTCGTAACCTGTGAAATTTTTAGATTTTAGCATCCGGTCCACGATTCGTGATCAGGCGTATGTAAGGTAGCATTCACCTGCTGGCCGAGGCTGCGTATCGACCTCCGATTCGGCCATTATATTCACGGTATGGTTACTGCGCGCCGTGCCCGATGGAAATAACTTCGAGCACACGTCACGGACGGTTTTGATCAGTCCGTCCATTGATACAAGATTGTAATCGCGTTCACCTCTGTTGGTTTCAGAAACACAGGTTGTCATGAGAGACAGACTTGATATTGGAAAATCTATTTCTGGGAGCGACGGGGCCTTTAAATCAGGTCTTATCTGACACTTCGCTATCAAACGCCTTCAGGACTGTTTCTTTTTTTTTTTTTTTTTTTTTTTTTTGCGTCCAGGTCGAAATGAGTCTTCAGTCGTGGATAGACACTTAGGCGGTCATGAACGCGTGCCTTGTCTGAAGTATCGACAAGTGTCACTGGATGCGTACTGGATACACACTGGATTCGTACTGGATACACACTGGATTCGTACTGGATACACACTGGATTCGTACTGTTTTATTGGTGGCAGGTTCGCCATAGTCCATCAGTATTTTGCATTAATGTATGAATCGCTCTCTCTTGCCAGGACCATACTCGAAAGGGGACTCCAAGCTTCCACGACTTGGCGAGGTCCAAGCGCCGTGAGCAGCTGCACGCTTCAGAACACTGATCCTCGCTTTCCTGGAGATTAGTGGTCGCTGCTAGCCCACACTGCCGGGGTATACATGGACAGCAATCTCGACTGGAACCAGGAGCAGGCAAAAGGAGCTTAGGGTGGCCACAAAGTACGGTGACAAGGCCCATGGTTGAAGTCAGACGATCTCGGACTCGGGGGGGTCGGGTATGAGTGAAGAAAGTTCTTTCTCTTAAGGTTCCTAAGGCCATCGTCTCATCATTGCGGTCCGGGGTACTAGTCGCTGTGTACATGACTCGAGGACCTCTTCTCACTTGACTGGATGATTCAAGGTCCCCCACCTTGAGGCTGTCCGCCCTCCTCGGGGTTTTCTGGGTGAAGAGTTTGATTAATCAAGATTGCCAGGGGACAAACTCACTCTCACTGCAGGCGCTTAAAGAGGAAAGAAACAAATACGAAAAAAAAAAAAAAAAGTCAAAAATTGCACTGGCAGGCCTCCCATGTCTAAGATACTTGATGCTCGTTGCAATGACTGCGGGTGTCAGACCAGAAAATGTCCGATTCGAGTCGTACCTGGCCCGACTTCCTCTCTACAATTCCCGGATTGGCAACGGTTGGCACCGCATGGAAAAGAAGTACCATGCAGATTCAGAGACTTACGGTGCTGGATCAAGTTGCCCTGAAACATAAATCAAGAAACGGAAAAATCAGGAATAGATAAATCTCGTCCTTTCTCGTGCACGTTGATCACCACTGCCCAGTCCCACATACATATTGTAGTAGGGAATCCGATTGCATGTACGTAGAACAGATAGTCTGCCTGATGGTGGCCTTACAGTCGGGAGAGGCTATTTGGACATGACGAGAGGGGGTCAATCAACTTGACAACCAAGGAATCAAGGAACGAAGAGATTGAACGACTTCATGGGATCCGGGAGACCCATCGGAGAAGGGAATTGAGAGTTCAGTTCAGTACAGTCTTTACAGTCGGGTTCTTTTGCATTGCAATGACACACTTCTTTTGATCTTCACTTGTGCCTCTTGACATCCTACGGATAGGTATTGTACGGTCGGGCTGGGAGATCTCTGGACGTGCGTGCTGGTGGTTGTGGTTTGTTTCCTCTATGACTCGACCTACTTGGTGAGATCAGACTGCCTTGAGCATTCCCCTCTATAATATGTGGCTTTGTAGCGTCCCGGCTGTTGGGATTTATGTACTAGGTGAATCACTGTCTTCTAACTACAACATCTTGTCGCATAATCTACAATACTACTATCATTGCCGGGCCTATTTACTTGACATGAGAAGGTTGGTATATTTACCTCAAGCGCGTGGGCGAGCAGGGTGGTATCAAGCGTTTCGTAGACTCTTGCAGTAATTTTTTGTGTGTGGAGAGCTAATACTTGCGATGTCTCCTTTCCGCTCTTCCAACACCGTTGACGTACTGAATATAGACAATTGCTGACATTTGACTTGTGCCCTTACGGGGAGAAGCCTTCGCGCTACGCAAACTGGGTTTCCTGCAGAAAGATGGCTCGGGCTTGGCCTTTGGTGCCACGGGCCTCCAGCGCATGATGATGTGACAATTCTTTTTGTCTCGGGGAATTGGAATTCGAAGGGACGGTGTCTCCGTCTCATTGATATGTGGTGCCTCTCTGCTATCTCGCCCCGGTAGAGGACTAAGAAATAAATGAGCATCGCTATCGAGAATCAGATGGTAATATAGTTCCTAGAAAGCCATATATCTTATTAGGAGGATCTTGGGGCGTCAGGCGAGGCAGCTCGGGAGAGAGGCAAGAGAACCCGACCGTGTTGAGGGGACACGAGGGGAAAGGACATAGAAAAGAAGTAAAGGCAGTCTTTATCGGCAAGACGTCGGACGACTCAGGTTGGAGCCTTGAATGAGGGAGTTTAACGAGGATCTTGTCTTGCAGTGTGTGTCGACTCTGTCGAGTGACTCGAGCATTTTCTGCTAGGAGGAACACGAGTCGGCTTCTCCGTCATGTAGCTCGCGCTTGAATGGCGTAACGTCCAGGCTCCACAAACTGTTACTTTTAATCTGGTTTAACTTCTTAATTTAAGTTGCGTTGCAAGTGGATATGTGGAGAGCAATACCCACAAACTGCCGCTGTGCTTGGTTATCGTCATTTAGCTTGAACCTTTGGCTTGGATCGATCACACCCTTGAAAGGCATTACAGATGAACATCAGATGTTGAGAAATCGCGTCACGATTGACCTTCTTCGAACAGGACATTGAAGGGAACCAAGTCCAGTGATAAGATAGACCGAAGCAGAAAAGAAACGCAAAAAAAAACTCTCCCTCGGGGAATCGAACCCCGGTCTCCCGCGCTTATCAGTTTTAGTGACAAGCGGAAATCATGACCACTAGACCAAGGAAGATGAGTTGATCGAGTTACTGCTCGACCACTTGGTGCATTTATGCAATGGAAGCGTTTTTGCGAATTACAATCCAGCTTCATTATCAACATCCCGTTGATGTCGAACAGCGGCTTGCGGAGGATACTTGAAGATGAAAATTCCGCCGACATATCCCGGAGAAGTCGCGGAGTACTCTTATACAAATCTTGGAATATCACATTACGGGGTACTCTTGCAGTTTAAGGGTACTTGGACAGTGTGCAATATTTCCCTCTTTCGGCCGGCTGAGGTCGTCATGGACTAACGCCACCCAGCACCTAGCAGCGAGTCAAGAGTGCCCAACGGATATATTGCCATCGCATTCATCAAATGCTTGCGGGCAGGATGGAATGTCTATCACTTTGGTGCCACCCCGTCCTTATGCGAACCTAGGTATCTACGCAGTTGGCCTAATCCTCCGGGCATGACACCGTTTCCTGGTACACGAGCTACGATCCGACATGTCTTTTGATGCTCGTTGCCCACATGATATGTTCGACTGCTGCACTACAACTCTACTTCCGATGAGCGAGATGTATCAGTCATACCGTCCTTCTAACATGCAACTCATGCAGTGTCTATCATTCGCCAGGTGTCCATGGAAGAAAGGCCGTCTAGAGTAGATTCCAAGGCGTAGGCAGAGAAGGAGTGTTGGAAAATAAAGTAAAATGATAGTATCTGATCTCTACCTCCAGCTGGACTCAACCGAACCGTCTTGAAGTACTGACTCGATCAAGTCATCAGATACAAGTCTGTCTGTATTCCTATCCTGAACCAAAGCAAAGTTCGACTGACCTGTTCAGGAGAAAAATTTGTGATCGTGATGAACTTGAAAAATTATCAGAATTTCCATCATTGCCAAATTCGCCAGCTGGAGGGTCTTCATTCTTCAAATGACAAAATATCTATTTAAGGAAAAGATAACAGGACCGGGGGCACGGTCGCAGTGAGAACAAGAGGCACGGCAATGCCCAGAATTGTTCGAAATATGTCAGAACACCCGCTAAATGTACGAGGCTAGAGCTAACACGATAAAATTCTAACACGACATCGAGGATGGACAATCATTACTCTGGAGCGTGAGGAGCTCTCTGCTGTGGCTGATCAGGCACACCATCGGCCATTCGGGGCCGTTTAGTCTCGTTCGAGCTAGGAAGAGGTTGCGCATTGTTGAAACCTGGACCCGTGGCACTATCGGCATTGGTCACGTCGCTCAACGGGGGTCGTTTTCCGTTCACATTTTGCGGAGGAACGCTCCCCGCGCGATTGCCGTGCGCTGTACTTGCCGCGTTCCGAGAATCAATATTTGGACGAGTCAATGGTCGAAAGGACGAAACTGATTGCCCTCTTGATAATGGACTGCCGAAGCCTCCCGCAGGAGCCACAGCGGCCCCGTCGACACGGGATTTGAGATTGATTACCGGATTGATGGCGTCGCGAGAACGTCCCTTATCAGGCGCCGGAGAGACACCATTCCCACTTCTCACTAGCGCCACAGTCTTGGTATGGTCTATTCCAGCGGTCTTTCGAATTGATGGGCTTTCAGCATGCGGGTCAAATTGAGATCCGGGTATGGCGGCAGCATTGGGATTGTCCCGCAGCTGGTCCGCAGCCCTTGCTGAGAAGAACCCAACTGTTGGTGGTGGTTGATTCGAAGAGTCCTGGTTTGGTATAGACATGGGTTCTCGTTTGATCGGAGGGGGTGGATTTGGATTGTTGATCGACGGCGGAATGGCGTTGGGGTTGGCGTTTGCAGCAATGCGAGGGGCACCTTGTGCTTGGACCCCACGTTGCTGATCTGGAGGCGGGTGTGGTTGCTGTCGTGGATGAGGAGGTAAAATCTGTCTTGTACCAGAATTGTTCGCCCCGCTCCATCTCTCGGGCTTAGACGGAGTCACGGCATTCAAATCGAATCGGCCTCGCGCGGGCACGGCCTGAGGGTATGAACGATTTAAAGGCGTGGGGGGTTGTTGCGGTTGTTCTGGCTCGATCACAATTTCATCGGGATTCCCAGTGTGAGTCACAACGAAATCGGCTTCATCAAAAACATCGCCTGCTTGGATGTTAGCTCGGAATTGCAATGAACGGAGAGATGGTTGGAGCTCACTGCCAAACTCGCCGTCGCCATCAAAAGCAGTATGACTTGGAATGGCACTTCGTGCTGGTTCGCTCGGACGTGGCAAAGGTAAATCATCATCTTCTGATAGCCTGCTCTTTGGCACGATTTCTTTCTTTAAAGGCGCAAAGTCTGGATGACGATGAAGCTCGTTGACGTCCCATCGAGCCTATAACAAAAGTAAGCAAGGGTATTATGGGCCTAGAGACCGAGATGAACACTCACAGGAGCGGTCTTGATCTTCGTCACTTTCGACAGGTAGTCCTTGTCATAGACACAGTTGCCCAGTACATTTCCGAAGTTTCGCAGCGCACGTTTCAAAGCATCTGTGGTTCCCTCCTTCTTTGATTTTTCGAAGGCAGCCGCCTTGCCTTTGCAGTTCTCGATGTGTCCGTAACCAATATCCTATAAAATATGTGAGTTTGCATTGCACACAAGCTTGAAGCTATAGTGTGAAGCTTTGCCTTACCTCGTGAAATGACCCATCCTTCAAGGTGACCCGCACAATTACTGATAATCCAAGGCTGACCTTGCCCGTATTCTCATTCTCGTCAACCTAATCAAAACAATCCTGTCAGAATTCGCCATCTGAAGCCTTGAAATCCATACTCACATAATCAATATCCACTCTCTGAATCGAGCTGGACCAGCCATTGAACCCGAACACTTCATTCGCGAGATTGATACATTTGTCTGCCGAGAGGTAGTGCACCTTTTGCCCCGCAGCACCGGGTCGCGATGAAATGTATTCGGGGCCTAGCTTCCGGTCCAGGCGAGCCTGCAAAGTCGCTATCTGCATCGCGGTGTACTCGCTCATTCGACGTTCCGGTTCCTCAAAAGGATTCGTGTTGACTGGACCTGGTCCGTTCGGCATTCTGATAGCTGCTGGTCCGCCGCGATGTTGATCACCGACACTAGCAGAGAGGATTAGATGAGATTTATGGTAATTTCGGGTGGGCACCAAGTCAAAAGACACGTCCTTACGCTGGCATAATGTGCGGCTGATCCGATGCACTTAGTTTGATTGTATCAACTGGTCGGGCGCGTCTAACTTTCGACGCGACACATCACGAAGTCACGTGCTGATAAAGCAAGATAAGCTGTCTTTCCGCAGCCGCCCGGCCCAGCCTCTGAAACAGGAACACAGGTGCGAGTATGTAACTAGAAGCGATTTATTTGTCGTGTTCTGCAGCCTTCATGTACCAGAAGGAGATATTGTACAGGAAATACGTTCCTTCTCATAAAAGCCCATGATGAGATTGCTAGACTTGGTCATTATTTGGTGTGCATAAGCTTAATAATCCAAATCATTCCGGGCAGATAGCCAATCGGCGGAGGCAGCCTGATTATTGAGCGATAAGGCTGGCGCTGGGGACAAGGCCAAGGTCCTTCAGTGACTCTCCGAATAATTCTTTATCAAAGATCTTCTTGGGGAAAGTTTGAGTGAAGCTTTGAACATTTACACCGTCCTCTTGCCGAAGGGCCTCGGCGACCTCGAACAGGGTAAGTGTGACTGGCAAGGTCTTCATGATGTTGCCTTGAGACGTTTGAAAGCGCAGACGGGTCTCGGTGTACGCCGAGGCAGGTTTGGATACGACAGGGCCAGTTGTAGTCGGCGCAGGAACGGGTTCGGCGGCAGCTTGGGGAATTGCTGTTCCAGCACGCTCGGCGCGCTCGCGCTCGGCCTTCCGACGGCGTTCCTCTTTATCAGCCTGGATTTGTGCTTTGACGCGTGCAAGATGAGCTTTATCGTCCATCTTTTCTTGTCGCTTCTTTGCCTCTTCCTTCTGTCTCTGCTTCCTCTCCAAAGCCTCCTTTGCGTCCTGATTCTCCTGCGTGTTTTTCCGGCGGATTTCCTACAGTCGCTCGTCAGGACTATTTCAATACCAGAACCCCGACCGTACCTACCTCATTCTTCCTCTGTTCAATCTTATCCTGCTCTGCCTGCGCAGCCCGCTTGGCAGCCAGCTTTTCCCTCAACTCTTGAAGACGTTCTTTCTTTTGCTCCTCGGTCAAAGGGGCGAGCTCCTCCGTAGATTCCGAAAAATCGGTGTGTTCAGTCTTAGAGGCGTGGAACTCGGCCTGTGCCTGGCTTCGGAACTTCTTGCCACATTCGTTGCAGACAAGACTGCGTGCTTCTTCGCCAGGTTGAAGTGCGGGCCCCTCCTCGTTGTCGGCTTCTTCGGCCTGTGACGCTTTAATTTCTTCTAGACTTTTGTCCTGGTTGACCTCGAGCCATTCAAGCGCCCCCTGCACTGTCCAATTCGTCAGCAAGGAAATATCGCATGTATAGATCTTGAGCACACACAGTTTCCTGTCTTCTTGACAGCCAATTCCGCCCTCTCCTTCTCAAAGCCCATTTCGATGAGCTGCTCCAGATCAGAGGCCATGTTCCTGACTTTCAGTGAAACACTCAGACCAAGTGAAGGAAGATCAAAGGCTAGAAAGTGACGTGTCCGTCGATGGGGAGTGATTGAGACTGGATGTAAGATTCAAGTCTGCAAGTGTGAGGGGAAGCAAGATGATCAACGTTTGGAGTATGAACTGAAAGTGTAATCAGAACTGGCGGGGGTCTTCGCAAGTGACGTATCGTAAAGGCGGCGAGCGATAAGCGCGATCTGTTCTTCAGCGGGGAGCTCCACTCGTATACAAAGCACCTGATCGACACCTCAATTGAAGTTACCAAGCCTTGCTGTTCGTTCGTCGAGATAGAGGGAGAGGGAGCGAGAGTCGGAGAATTGAAGACAGGCAAGAAATAGCTCACGATGATCTGCTCTCAACGATTTGTTTCGGGTCCTGTCGGAGAATTCAACGTGTCTTTTTCACTCAACTGTTTCGGAGGATGCAACTCTGTCAGTACTCACTGAGGGTCTGTCCAGTGTCCAGTGGTCCACATGTGCTCGAGCTACTGTGCTGAAATGAACTTAAAACATGGGAATCGAGACAGCGCGTGCTGTCTGACTTGAGCTGTTTCACTCGGGATTTCAATTTGTCTCGTCTCGTAGCGCTTCAGAGGAGAGACTCAGTTTTTGATTGACATTACTGACTTGGCCTTCAAAGCCTACATTGTAAGTTACTACTCACCAATATAATTGTTATACATGACAAACTACGAGATTGGACCTTGGATTTGACCAAGAGACACAACGGAGTAATATTAGCATTGAATACCTACCATGTCTGCCAAACTTGTCTCATGGAGCGACTGTCGATCAGGGAGCAAGGAACAAGCCAACCGTGAACAGCTGAAGGGAGCTATTGACAGGTACATACTAGGAGGCACCTAACTTCCATCCTCAGGAGCAGGTACGGACCTCAGTGTAGTCTGTAATGAATGCCGAAGCTGTCTTCAATTGCAGTACCTATCTCGCGATGCGACAAGATGCTGGATATGGAAATAGGAATCGTTGACCCACAGTTTCTTACTCCACACATTGATTTCTTGGGGCTCGTGGATCTCCAGCATGGACATCCATGATAAAACACTTGACAATTATTTGTCAAAGTAGCGTCACCAAAGCCTGGGCCTCAAGGTGGACGAAACCTTGCTCGTCGCAAGGTCGGATGAAGTATTCCACAACACTACTCGCATGTACCTCGCTTCACGTGTCGGACTGCGAAAGAGGCGTACAATGACATCACCTGACCGCTTACTCATCAAGGTCCCGCCCTGGGCAGGCGCCGGGGCGGGAATTGGATCATCATCAACTCCTGAAGCACAGGCTCCCTTCTAACACAAATCAACTCCTGCACTTAATTCGATTAAGCGAAATCGACAGCTTTTCCCCGCACCCTCGCAGTGCGCTTCGTTCTCAGCCATCACCTTGCATCCGGATCACTTGCATACTCTATCGCCAGAATGTCCCTGGAGCTGGATCCCCCGGAGCTCGGCTTCAAGCGTGAGTGCCATATAATAGCTGGGTTCGCGCATGACGCTGACAGAAATCTAGGACCTTTCACTCAAGAAGTATGCGAAGTGCTTCATTTGCAAAATCCCACCCCAGTCCCGGTGGTATTCAAGGTGCGTTTTCACTATCCACGCTACGTATCTACTAGAGATGTGGGATATGCAGCTGACACGGACCTCGGTTTCTTTACACCAGGTCAAAACAACTGCTCCGAAGCAGTACGTATCACCCAGGCCGCTATTACTACTCTTGACGAAACCCGTGTCTAACTTGCGCTAGCTATTGTGTCCGCCCTAACTCCGGCCGGATTGAACCCGGCAAGCAAGTTGATGTTCAGGGTTCGGATCTCATCCCCGATACAAAGCGCATAGACCATGTCCAGCTGACTTGTCTGGGTTAAACAGTTCTTCTGCAGGCTATGAAGGATGAGCCTCCACTTGAGCAAAAGTGTAAGGACAAGTTCCTCGTGCAATCTGTTGCGGTCCCCGGGGATGACATTGATCAGTCAAATGTGACTGCCGTTGTATGTGATTCTTCTCAGATCAAGACTCGCAACTTGGGCCGTCAACTAATCATGTGCGGAATCACAGTTCGAGAAGGTTTCCAAGTCCGCGATCAACGAGCGCAAGATTCGAGTGAACTGGCTGCAAGCTGATGCGGGCCAGACCTCCCCCCAGCCTGCGGCTCCCCAATCTGTAAGTCACCCACAGAAGGGAGTCGCATTTGATTGTGCTTGGCACATTCGCTAACCATATGTAATCGAGCAGCTTGACGACGAGCCTCCCGCTTACAACTCTCCTGGTGTCAACAACTACGAGACCCCCGCAGTTGGTCTTGCGAAGAAAAGCCACGTCGAACAGTCCTCGCCCATTCCCGCCCCCGACTTCTCTGAGAAGGCCATCAAGAACGAACCTTCGCCTCCTGCTGAATTCAACACTGCCTTTTCCAACACCCGGGAAGCCGTTGCCAGTGCGCTGCCCTCTGGCGAAGATCTGAAGTCTCAGCTGGCCGATGCAAATGCACAGATTCAGCGACTCAAGGACCGACTTGCCGACCAGGGACTGCGACAGCGCAAGACCGGCGGCGAAGCTCCAGCTGCACCTGCGACAATGCAGCAGACTCATGGCAGCGCCGAGTCCGGAGTCTCTGTGCAAATGGTGGCTGGCTTGTGCCTTCTCAGCTTCCTGATTGCCTATTTCTTCTTCTGAACCTGCTGCGAGTCTCTGGACCATGGTCCCCCCAATGATCTGATGGGCGGCTCGGTCAACTCCTTTCACGATCTCAACGTTTTCTCTATCTCCGGCTTTGCCATTGCCGACTCATGTCTAGCCTCCACCTGCCTGTCAAAGAGCCTGTCGTTTTGATTCTAGCATCAGCCTGCTGTTGGATTATTTATTCCTTCTCACCGGGCCACCCCGGGCCCTCATTTGCTTTGCCGGTTCTCCGGTGTCTCCTACCGTTTTTTACTCCCAATATCTCCCATTACCTGGCCTTGTGTTGAGTTCTTTCCCCCATATCCTCGAAACATCTTGGTTCCATTCGATTCTCCCCCACCCACTTTATTCCCTAGTCTCTACAATTTTCTGATTTGTTAACTTATATGTTATGATGAACGGACTAAGCATCTTATCCATTCGATCCTCATGAAAAGGCATCCTCACCGCTAAAGCAATCACCTGTCAGTTTGGCATATCTATTCTCGCAATGTGCTCTTAGTTAAGGCACAAGACGTGCTGTGTCCAAAATTTGGAATACGTTGACCGGTTCGAATATCTCGCACTCTCGAAAAGAAAACGTCGCATCCTGCACCTCAAAAAGGCAGCGGTCACATATTTGCTCAATTCCAGTCTAAGGATTTGAAGATTTGCTGTGAAAAACAAACGTAATCGAAACAAAAAGTAGACTCCACAATCTACAACTGAATCTCACTCTCCTTCCATCCATCACCCTCTTCGCCCGCCGGACCCGCCGACTCAGCAGATATACCTTCACCCGCGCGTCCACAGGGGGTCTTCTTTCCAGAGGAGCCACTACCACCACCTACGACACGCCCGCCCTCGGCACGCTTCACCCGACACCAGAGTCCCACATTCTTGTCCAGGATAAACGTCCAGATCACCCAGACCCAGCTCCTGTGGCAGGGCAGCGGCTCATAGAACTCCTTCGCGATAGAGTGCAACTTGTGCAGTCTGGTCCAGGGGATCGCTGGAAAATCGTGGTGCTCATTGTGCAAGCCCACGTTATATGTCAGAATGTTCAGTGGGCCGTAGTAGGAGTATGTCTCGGGTGGAGCGAGAGAGCTGAGCGGGTGAGACGCGTCCACCTTTGCGCCGGGCTTTTGTTTCAGTTGGGCGAGGGATTCGGTGCCACCGGCGGCTACGTTCGAAAAGAAGTAGTGCTCGGCGATGAAGTGGCCTGCGCAGGGGTGGAGAGAGCCAGCTAGGAAGGAGCTGGCGATGAAGTAGTAGAAGGGCTGCAAGGAGTTGGTGTACTGTGTGAGGATGTAGTCGAATGACAGTTGGACAACCAGGTTGAGCAAATGAATTGAGGTGAAGGGAGGGCTGTAGATGAACATGGGTCGGACGGCGTAGAAGAGGATCTGGAACGTGCAAAAGAACGTTTTGCCGAGGACGGAGTCGAGCAAGAAAGCCTCTAGGGCGGTTGGAAGATCGGTGTCCAAACCATTTACTCCAAGGGACTTGTGGTGGGTGAGGTGGTAGGGCTAGAGGCAAGGGCCATGTATTAGCATCGCTTTCAATTGTTACAATTCTTCGCCGTGGAAGACAGCGATCTCGCTGGGTACTCACTCGGAAGGCGGCGCTGTAAGGTAGTCCGATTGGCAGGTTGGCAAAGATAGCGAGCAGACGGTTGGCCATTGGTGAACGGAATGCTAAATTGTGAGAGATTTCATGGATGGCAAGGAAGAGGTTCTGGTTCGCCGTGGCTCCCACCACGTACGCAGTGGCGAGGAATCGCCAGTCCAGGATCGAGGTGTTACGTAGAAGATAGGCACAAGTCAACTGGATAGAGACGACAAGAAGAACAGTCCATTTGGTCAATGGCTCAGGACCGCACAGCTTGGTGACCTGGAAACCCGGAAGTTGAGTCGTTAGCAGTTGGTCCGATAAGAATGGCAATGAACCGAGGAAACGTGGTGTTTATCTCCGCAGCCGTCGTTTAACGAGACACCAATTGTGCTCTGGACTGCAGCCACAGCACTTGTAATGCTTTGGATATTCTCTTACCTCTGGGTGTGCCTTGATGATGGCTTGCCGCCTTGACCGATGAGGCTCTTCCGTGTAGGTCCAGAAGAAGTGATCGTCGACCGAGGAGGTTTCCGGGGGCGTGATTCTCGCCGACGTCTTTTCTGCAGCTGCCGAGGGTTCTGCTTTTGTGGCTGACATCCGAAGATGCGGAGCCTGCGTTTCAACAACCGAAGGCATGGCCTGTGAACAAAGAATCGACCCAAACGAATGAGTGTCAATGAGAGTGGTGATGGAAGAAAAGAATCAGCTCCAAGGAGACAATAATAATCGTGCCTGGTGCGGACAAGGTGGGAGACATTCTCCACGTGGGGCGACACGGGACAGGACCATTGGAGGGTCGAACGGTCCAGGGGGCGACCCCATCGGCATGCTTAATTCTACGGTTGAAGACCTGCGAGTACTAGTAGTGAGTAGTAGAGTACTGGTAGGGGCAAGACGAGCATTGACTATGAACTAATCGAGAGTTTGAGGTATCAATTAGTAGCGACTCGTAGCAATATCATCAAAGCTCAAAAATCTTTAATCACACCGTGTCACAATTGCTTTAAGAGATGAGCATGAGAACTGACTCCGCAACGTTGGCACTAATCGTGTAATCCTGGAATCTGCCTCAAGACTCGATACACAAATCCTGTCTTCTATGCACTTTGTATATCTATCCAGTAGAGAATGCTCGACTAATGTGCTATTGCATATATGGCTCGAGGTTCCCCTCGAACCTACTATGATAGCTCATAAATTCTGTGGGACGAGTGTTGGCGACTGACAATAATAGCGCTCTGACATTCGACGGTAGGTGAGCAGACGAAACAGCCGCACTCTAGACAATCCTTTTTATGAGACAAGGATAATCAAAGCGTGATGAGAAGTTTGAAGTCTACACTCAGATAAAGGCATTTAGATTGTCAATCTGACTCTACTAAGCTTAACAGTGACCGAGACGGGAATCTAGACAATGCACATCTAGTCATCTACAATAAATAATTTTCCCGATTGCGGTGGATCCGCCGTGCAAACAAATCAAACAGGCTGATCTTATCACCCCAGGACATCATCACCATATCTACCTTCTCTCACTCGAGCTTCCGAATCGAAATTGTCTGGCACAGCAAATAGCCCAAACGGATCCATAGTATGGCTTCGGAGCCTACGCCTTCCAAGGGGGGAAGCTGTCGCTCTATGCGAACCTGCTTGATCCCTCTGCAGAATCGGCGCCAGGGACCATCTCCCGCGCTCCCGTTGTCTTCAAGCATGGCGCCGAGGCGGATGCGGAAACAGATGAGTCCGCTGCGAAAAAGCAGCAGCTCAATCCTGGTACTTTTCTAGCATATTATACGTTTCCCTATGACATGACATAATAGTGACTCATGTGATTCCCTGTTGAACAGCTTTTCTTCGATTCCAGCCCACCAAACGCCCGCAGTTGAACCAGAAACCCAAACCGAAACCGACATTGCCGAAGACAGGGCTACCGTCTAATCTACTCCAAGCGGGTGGCCCAGCTGCAGCTCCGGTCAAAACAAAACTGGAAGACTGGGCGGCCACGGAGGAAGATGATTACTATGATTATCAAATGGGCGAAAAGCGCCAACGCGGTGGGAGGAAGAAGCGCAAGAAGAATCGGGAGCCGCAAATGATGCTGCAGAACTGGGACGACATTTATGACCCGTCACGACCCAACAGCTATGAGGAATATCGACATAGCGATGAGAAGGTTCTAGAAATCCGCGAATGGAAGGATCGCCTGTATGCGCACCGTATGAAGCGCTCACCAACGCCCGACTCAGACAGCGATGACGACAGGCCCGTGAACCGTACGCAAGCCTCAAGATCAAACAAGGTGTGGTCAGAGTATGCTAATGGTGATAAATCAGGTTCATTTGCTCCTCCAATGAGCTTCGCGCCGCCTTCCAACCTCAATTTCACTATTTTCCCACCTCCGTCTGATGCCCCCGATGACCCGACGGGAGAGGACGCATTCGCACGCCGCGCGCGCATGAGCTCAGCTGTGAACAGCGCTCCATCTCGAAGGACTCCTCCTCCATCCCCATCACATCCCTCGGAAGACCCTCTTCATCTATCATCCGGTGCTGATCATCCCGTGCCGCAACCTTCCGACCAACGGCCTTCCGATACTGTCCCTCCACCCACTCTTCCTAGACCACTGGACGCTTTCCAACCAAGTTCCGCAACCATCTCCCGTGCACCGGTCCGCTACACCCTTCCACCCCCACCTGAAGACATACCTGCGTCCCAAGCAGAGCTTGAGGAAATGCTTGCGGGCGAGGAAGCGCCCGAAACCGAAGACAGCGAGGAAGCGCCTCGATCTAAGCGTCCTGGCCAAAAGGGCTTTGCTGAGCGCCAGCTCGCCAAATATGGTTGGACCAAGGGGTCTGGTCTTGGTGCGACAGGTTCTGGCATCGTCAACCCGCTTCAAGTGAAAGTGGAAAAGAGGAAAAAACGACCAGATGCTGAGGGGGGCGGGTTTGTGGGACCCGGTGGACGCGGGAAGATAATCGGAGGCAAGAAGGGGCAAGAGGACGGCGGCAAGTTTGGGGCAATGAGTCCGGTGGTCATTCTTCGTGGAATGCTAGATGGCATGGACTTGGACGAGGAATTGAACCGTGAGGGAGGTGGTTTGATGCAGGAGATTGGGGAGGAGTGTAATGAAAAGGTACGTCGCCATGAGAGCTGCGAAGACCCACGAGAAAAAATTGCTGATGGAATGTCTAGTATGGCCGTGTGGAGCGAGTCTACATCGCTCGTGACGTTGGTCCACCGATGCCTGTTTTTATCAAATTCACCAACGAGCTTTCTGCTCTGCGGGTAAGTAATCAAGACGTCGTCTTTGGATCTGTTAGCCACTGGCAAACTTTGACTAACAGCTCGCATTTCCAGGCCGTGAACGCGCTCGAGGGACGTGCTTTCAATGGGAACACCATATCTGCTCGCTTTTTCGACCCCGAGAAATTCGAACAAGGTGAATATGTTGACTGAGCTTCAAAGTTCTCTGCATATCTACATATTCCATGGCAGACCGAGTTCAACCTCTTCAACACAGATTCCGAATGAAAGCAAACCATGAACACTTGTTCCGATAGCATGGTCCAATAACAAGCTCCCGGCGAATAAGTGAGATCAATGTACCGGCTTGCGTGTCGTAGGTATGGGCCTACTGCACTGGACGCACTCGACGGCACGACCCCAATCTGCAAGCATTCAAGGCTTTCTCGAGGCGCTACCATTAACCATCGACTACCTCTTGCCGCTGTGCTTCCCTAGTGCTTTCAAGGCGCCGTCGAACGTTGCCCCAAAGTCACATCTGATCGAGTTGCTAGCCCATCGATTCTATTGGCACATGATTCTCTCTCCATCTTCCGCCGCAGCTTATTCTCGCAATTGCAGTCTGGACACCTTCTACATAAAGGAAAGACAATTCTTTCGTGCCGGTATGCACACTCGTTGAATTGAAATGAGTATCGAGGACATAGGATGGATGATGCTTTGGAGGGTTTCTCGTGGCCGCATAGTATATAAGTCCATGTCACTTGGTAGCACATCGCGGTGTCCGGCCAATGATTATTTGAATCGCTTGATTCAAGACTTGCAATGCTCGCTTGTGTTACTGAGATCGTTTCTGTAAAACGTGGTATTGTCAAATTGTGGAATTTGTGTCTGTCAGGGGGGTTCGAGTCTGTGGTCTGGATTCAGTGGATCTGATCTGATGCGAGGCATTCATTTATACTGCAATTTTCCTCGAAGATGTAGACACTAGACACACCCTGGACGATGCTAATTTTACACGATGTCGATCTGTGTCGAAGGTCACAATGAAAATTAGAGATCCGATTGAGCTCAAGCTTCCATTTTTCTCATTCCATGGCTGTGTGAAGTGTGAACAAATGAAAGAGCCATGGAGGGATCCTGTTTGTTGGTTTCAGATTCAGCCAGCTGAAGTACTCCTGGTTCGTTCAATCCAATCTCGGATCCTTGGTAAATCTCCTAAATCTCCACTGATGGATTGTCCTGAACTTCCTCGTATCTCAGCACTCAGTGACGGGACACGAACTCCCTAGATACCTGATCCCAGACTGACGCTCTAATTCCAATATTTCAACCGGACCCAAGGAGTATATTTTTGTCGAAGATGAAGCGGCTTGATCTAGAAGACAGACCGCCTGCAGGCAGCCGGCACCTCCAGGATCCATAGTAAAGTACCCCCGGGCTGTCGCAGCACGCTTACCTAAGCTAGCTGGCGGGGCCCGCCAAGCGGATCTCTCAAATCGCTCGATGCGACGGCGAGATGAATTATTCTTTGTTTAGACATATTGCGCAGGGTGATCAATCTGGTGACCTCTCTTTACTCTTCTCTCTGACTCTCCGGGTAACCAAAAGAGAACCATCAATCTACGGAAGAAAGTCTCCCTATCTCGATCATAGCTTCGCTATCTACCAACCGAATTGAGCCTCTCCGCAGCAGTTGAACCGCCGCGATGTCTCTTTGCTTGAATCGGCTTCAGGAGGAACGGTACGAAGCGAAAGCTGTCTTGAGCTTCCAGAATATTGTACATTGGCACTAAGCTTCATATATAGGAAACAATGGCGGCGTGACCACCCCTTCGGCTTCGTCGCAAAGCCGATGCGTACACAGCAGGCCACCTTGGATCTTAAGCGATGGGAATGCGCCATTCCTGGAAAGACGGGCACCCTCTGGGCCGATGGCTTGTTCAAGCTGGAGTTGATTTTTCCTGACGGTGAGCTTTCTTCATACCTCACTTCTCGCAGGTGATTGCTGGTATACTGACGGTTGATGTGTTGTTGCGCCTTCTAGAATATCCCACCAAACCTCCCAAGTGTACGTGAACGACCACCGCGGCAAGACCTATGGATCTGATCCGGGAATCAACTTCTCACGAGACGTTGCCCCCAATTCGCGTGTTTCTGTTGTATCCTTTGACCGTAAGACTGACTCGCTGCCGTGAACTCTACAGGCAAATTTACACCTCCGCTTTTCCACCCCAATGTCTACCCTTCTGGAACGGTCTGTCTTTCTATCCTGAACGAGGAAGAGGCATGGAGACCCGCCATCACCATCAAGCAGATTCTCCTTGGCATCCAGGATCTACTCAATGACCCCAACCCAGAGTCGCCAGCCCAAGCCGAGGCATACAACCTTTATAAGAAGGACCGACCTGCGTACGAACGACGAGTGAAGCAGGTCGTCAAGGAGAATCCAAAGATGTAAGGGAGGGGGTGCGCTACTTCTCCGTGAGGCTCGGCGTGACTGAAACACGGCGACACGTTTCCTGAATTCTCTCATGGAAATTTCTCTCGTGGGTGGTGATCTTCCTCCGTTTCCATTTCTTCTTGTTTTTTTTTTCATAATTGCATGACCTCTCTCTTCTGCACGGAGCGAGCTTCAGTCGCTTCTTCCTGTGCAACCGATCACGAGCGCGGCGTTAGTTGATTCAAATTGGAAGGCGTTTTTGGAATATAGTCAAGACCATACTGTCTCGTTGCGGCTGGTCGTATCACCAAAGTCATGTAGCCTCATATTTGGGTCCGAGTGCCCGTTTGCGAGTCGCATCCTCAGATCAAGAGATCGTTTTCGGCGGCTGGATCGCGCCGGCCTCAGGCAATCGACATTTCCGCCTCGATAGGCCACGTGAAGGTACAGGAAACCCACAAGGCTCTTCTCACGAGTAGCCGTGCACTAGTTATATGCCTCTTTTGCTTGGCTAAACATGCAACCAGGGCAAGGGCCGACCTCGATTGGCCCAGCCAAGTGCCGAAGAAAATGAACCCAAAGAAGACTAATGGGAATGACTACAGCAAGGCGGGGGCAGCCCCGAGGCCGGGCCAAGTGGATTTCGCTCTTATCAAAATCGGTGACTCAATGACCCTCCGGACTCCCGACATTGCCCCCCGCCCCGCCGCAACAAAAAAAGCCAGAATTCCTGTCCAGAACCAGCGATCATCCACACTCTTCTTCCTCTGTGAAACCACCTTTCCCTTCTACACTGTCGTCAATTGCGTCTCTCCTCTCCGACCATCTCCTCAATTGACTCACGCCCATCATGTGTGGAATCTTCGCGTGTCACCAGTATGCAGCACCTGCTATTTCGCTCTTGTACCCCCGCTATGCAGATCTGTTCCCGCCAACACGGAACATCCATTTGCGGCCCAGGGATCACGGACTCGATACTGACCTGAATCCCTTCGCGATAGTCACCCCGATGTGCAAAAGTTCAAGCCAACGGCTTTGCGCATGGCCAAGGCGTAAGTCTTATACTTGTTTACGGAAGCGCAATGGCTTCTCTTCAATCGAGTGCTCGAGTCACTAACATTGCCGTCTAGCATCCGCCATCGCGGTCCCGATTGGAGTGAGTCACACCACAGGATCGGAATCGCGTACAGTTTTCCATCGACAGTCAAAGGTCTATTGAGCTAACCGACGTCTTATTTTCTCTTGTGCAGGCGGCAACTTCATTGGCGGCTCAACGAGTGAGTAGATTCCAGTCCTACCCGATGGTCGTGTGCTCTGAAACTGACCTCAATCCCACTATAGTCCTGACGCACGAGCGTCTGTGCATCGTCGGTGTCGGTACGTACCCTCTCTTGATTCGACCTGGGAACAAGGTCTCAAGACCGTCGGCCAATGCTAATACACACTTCAAGACTCCGGCGCTCAGCCCCTTGTCAACGATGACGAGTCTCTCGCTCTCGCCGTCAACGGTGAAATCTACAACCACCGTATCCTGCGCAAGGCTCTCAAGACCAGCTACAACTTCAAGACCCACTCCGATTGTGAGGTCATCATTCCTCTGGTAGGTCGACATAGCCCAAATAACAAAAACAATAAACCTTCCTGGTGGTATCTGGTTACTGATGAATCCGGCGGCTGTGTAGTATATGGAGCACGGCCTCGACGCCCCCAAGCACCTCGATGGCATGTTCTCCTGGGTCCTTTGGGACAAGAAGCAGGACCGGGTCGTTGCTGCTCGCGACCCCATCGGTATCACTAGCTTCTACCTTGGCCGCTCCTCTCAGACTCCCGGTGCCGTCTACTTTGCCTCAGAACTTAAGTCGCTGCACCCGGTCTGCGACGACATCATCGCCTTCCCTCCCGGTCACGTGTACGACTCCAAGACTGATAAGCTTACGCGCTACTTCGAGCCCAAGTGGTGGGACCCCAAGCAGGTGCCTACCACCCCCGTTGACTACAAGTTGCTCCGTCACTCTCTGGAGAAGTCTGTGCGCAAGCGTCTGATGGCCGAGGTCCCCTACGGTGTTCTCTTGTCCGGTGGTCTGGACTCCAGTCTGGTTGCTTCCATTGCTCAGCGCGAGACCCTTCGCATGCAGGAAGCTGCCCGCACTGCGGCTCAGAACGGTGCCGATGGTAACGAGTTGGTCGGCATCGACGAGGAGAATGATCTCTCCACTGTGACCACTTTCCAGCAGCTTCACTCCTTCTCCATTGGTCTTCCCGGTGCCCCCGATACCGAGGCGGCTAAGGAGGTCGCCAAGTTCCTCGGCACCAAGCACTATGCCTTCACCTTCACCGTCGAAGACGGTCTCAACGCCCTGTCAGATGTTATCTTCCACCTCGAGACGTATGATGTCACTACCATTCGTGCTTCCACCCCCATGTACCTTCTCTCTCGCAAGATCAAGGCGATGGGAGTCAAGATGGTTCTTAGCGGTGAAGGAAGTGATGAGATCTTCGGTGGCTACCTCTATTTCCACGCCGCTCCCAACAAGGAGGAATTCCACACCGAGACTGTCCGCCGGGTGAAGAACTTGCACTTGGCGGACTGCCTGCGTGCCAACAAGTCCACTTCCGCCTGGGGTCTCGAGGCGCGGGTTCCCTTCTTGGACAAGGAGTTCCTCGAGGTCTCCATGGCTGTGGATCCTCAGGAGAAGATGATCACCAAGGATCGCATTGAGAAATATATTATCCGCAAGGCCTTTGACACCAGCGACGAGCCCGAGACCAACCCCTACCTCCCCGATAAGATTCTGTGGCGCCAGAAGGAGCAGTTCAGCGATGGTGTCGGCTACAGCTGGATTGATGGTCTGAAGGAGTATGCCGAGAAGCACATCACCGACGAGCAAATGAAGAACCCCAAGCCCGAATGGGGTAGCGATATCCCCGATACCAAGGAAGCGTGCGTGACTCCCTCTCTTCTTGCCCTCGATCATGCCCACCTGCAAAGCCGATGAAACTAACACTTGTCCCTCTTGATAGTTACTGGTACCGCTGCATGTTCGATGAGCACTTCCCTCCCACTTGCGCCGGCACCGTCGAGCGCTGGACCCCAACATGGTCCAAGCAGTCTGATCCCAGTGGCCGGTATGTGATCCGCCTAGAGTCTTTGTTTATCTGTTTTGTCATGCGTATCGTTGCTGATCTTCTTTTTTAGTGCCATTGCCATTCACAACGCCAAGTACGATTCCGCTTGAGTTCGATCTTGAGACATCACAAAATATTTCAAGGGTGGCAGAGATTAGATTGTTTCTGGCTTGCTATAGACATGTATTTAGAACCAAGTTATGGGGGAAATACGAAAAAAAAAGTAGATACCCAAGTTGAATTCTTCGAAACCTTGTCCACGACTCCACTGTGCTGGTTATTGCAGCGTGTGATGCATCCCATGATCCTGTCTTGTCTGAACAAGGTGACCATAATAATGTACATTGTACCGCGTACCTGCACTGTTGACTCGCTGAGTTCTTCGAAGTTGCTTACTACTTAGCCTCGACCTCCTGCCATGAATATGTAGCCTAAGGCAGTCACTGCTTACCTAAGTTGTTTTCTTTCCACCATTTGTCCTCCCGAATCGTCGACTCCCGGCGGGCTTTCCCGGCAACCGAGCAACGGCCAATTAGGCGGTCACAACCAGCCCGTGGACTGGGGCGCCCTTCCCACCTCTTTCCCCCCCAACATCATCGCACTCCTTCCCTTCATTCCCTTTTCCTCAATCACACCGAGTCCCCCCAGTCTCAAATCATTCAAAATGTCTGCTCCTGCTGCTTTCTCCGACATCTCTAAGGCGGCCAATGACGTGCGTATTCTTTGAACTTAAAGCGGGCTAAATGATCTGCTGCTCGGCTTTGATAACTTTGGAAAATTGAGAATTCGCTCAAGCTGACGGCTTGCGACAGCTCCTGAACAAGGACTTCTACCACGCCAGCCCGGGTATGTCGAGCTTCTCCAGGTTTTTGTGCGATGGTTGCTAATTGACTTTTAGCGTCCCTTGAGGTTAAGTCTAAGGCCCCCAACGGTGTTACCTTCACCGTCAAGGGCAAGTCCTCCCACGAGGGTTCCATCGCTGGCCAGGTTAGTTTTCTCTCCACTCTTTTCATTTTCAATGCGAAAGCAATGTCGTCTCGCATGTCCGACGCGACATGTTGAGGAATATTGCGAGAAATGTGAGTAGAACCATGAAGCTAACTGAGAAATGCAATATCTAGCTCGAGGCCAAGTACGTTGATGCGCCCACCGGTAAGGGCCCCATTCTGCAGAAACCTCCCGATCCCGACGCGTTTAAGGTTCGGCCAATATCGCTTTTTTGGTCTTGCGGCCACTTTATATCGCGTCGGGTGGCCCTGTTCATGTGTTCCAACACATCTTCACATTCGCTCAAACTAATGCTCCTACCCTGCCCAGGTCTTACCCTGACCCAGGCTTGGACCACCGCCAACGCCCTCGACACCAAGCTCGAGCTCAACAACAACATCGCCAAGGGCCTCAAGGCTGAGATCCTCACTCAGTACCAGCCCGCTAAGCAGTCCAAGGGTGCCAAGCTCAACCTGTACTTCAAGCAGCCCAACCTGCACGCCCGTGCTTTCTTCGACCTGCTGAACGGCCCCACCGCCAACCTCGACGCCGTCCTCGGCCACGAGGGCTTCCTCGTCGGTGCCGAGGGTGGTTACGACGTTAACAAGGCCGCTATCACCAAGTACTCTGCTGCCGTCGGTTACTCCGTTCCCCAGTACTCTGCTGCCATCACTGCCAGCAACAACCTGTCCCTCTTCTCCGCCTCCTACTACCACCGTGTCAACGCTCAGGTTGAGGCCGGTGCCAAGGCTTCCTGGGACTCCACCTCCGGCAACACTGTCGGTCTTGAGGTTGCCAGCAAGTACCGCCTGGACCCCTCTTCCTTCGCCAAGGTATGTTTCACACACTCTATCATGTCATCGCCAGTAAGGAAACTCGCCATGGCCTTGCTAATCATGTGTCTTCGTATTTACAGGCCAAGATTAACGACCGTGGTATTGCCGCCCTGGCTTACAACGTTCTCCTCCGCCCTGGTGTCACCCTTGGCCTCGGTGCCTCTTTCGATACCCAGAACCTGAACCAGGCCGCCCACAAGGTTGGCGCCAGCTTCACCTTCGAGGCTTAAGTGTTCTACCCTCCCTCCCTTCATGAGCTTTGTCACTAAGATGTGACACTGGGTTCTTATTCTTCCCTGGAGAACTGGGCCGTGTCTTTTATCTTGCGCGACACGTTTCGCATGTCCTCGGATGTGAATGGTGTTTTGAGAGTAAAGATGTGTTTGCCTTGCAGTATCCGATAATTTTGTGCGTGGTATAAACATATACGTTGAGCGCGCTTTGTATATCAAATCTAAAGACTTTCTCCTTTGTTAGACCGGCTGTTTACTCTTTACTCTATTATCTGTAGTTGTGGCTTACGAAGATTGTGCTTGTCAACCGCGGACGCCGTTGACATCTTAGTCAGAACAAACGTGAAACAGGGTAGTCCTCGAACTAAGACATTTCCACCTCAGAGCAAACACAGCATACTAGCGTAGTATGGAAGAACAAGCTAGGTGTGAAGTCGCTGTCAACGTTCTGCACAGCACACAACTACACCTAGTTTCAGTCCTGTTTAGTGTTTACACTTAAGGACCTGTAACTTGATGATCCTAGTGGGACGGGACCTAGTACACACGAGTCAGCACTCACTACTTAGTACTCGGTACTAGGGAATGAATCCCCTATCAACCCGCTAGCTACTACCAGAACATAGCATTATAAGGATTTCAATGCGTATGTACATGTATGCTGTAAAATACATCGTCAATCATAGATCGTATACCAGGTATGAATCGCCTGACACACATCACACGATCAAGCCTCTCTCACCGAGTCCAAGCCGATCAAATGGAAAGGACTCCAGAGTCCAGAAAACACGTCCGTCTCAAGATGAAACACCCACCCCGTCATTGACACTTACACCCTTCTTCCTCACCTTCACATCATCCGTCCCACTCCCACCCCACGACCAAAACCCCGTCATCGCCCCAGCACATACCAAAATCCCACAAACCACCACAAATCTCACCAGCCCAAAGTCTCCGCCCGCCACAGAAGAGACATCCATATCGGCCTTTTCCCTCGCCGCCATCCGCGCCCTCGTCACCCGTTGCCGCCGTCGCTCGTCTTCGGCCTTTTGCGTCCGGAAGTGTCCGCGCGCATTAAAGTGGCCGAGCGGATTGCGGTCGATGAACCCCAGTGGATCGTCGTCCGGATCATTGGGTTTGGCGTTGTTGGTGGTGCCCGTGGGATTGGGCCCTGCGCCGGCGCCAGCGCCAAAGCCCGCTTTACCAGCTGCGTAGCCCTCCGACGTCCGTCCCGTGGCGCCGTATCCGCCCTGCGCGTAGAAACTCGGCGGGGGACCGCGGAATGTTCCTCGGCGATTACTCAGGCCGCTTGCGGGTCGAGAGCCTGCGTATCCGCCGCCTCCCTTGTGGACGTTGGCGGAGTGGCTGCTGTGGGAGCCGTGGGGGTGTGTTCGGCTGTGGGAGTGGGCGTGGCCGTGCGCGTGGTGGAAGCCGTTGTCGCGGTCGTAGGTTGCGCGCTTGTGGGTGTTGGAGAGGACGGAGTAGGCGGAGGAGATTTTGGCGAAGCGCTGACTGGCGGTTGGGTCGTCGCGGTTGCGGTCTGGGTGGTGGGCGAGGGAGAGGGCGTAGAATTTCCTAGAAACGAGATTGAGGTGAGAAATAGGATGGTCAAGACAGTTAGATTGGGGGGGTTGGCATGGGTGAGGGAGGGCTTATGACAGGTTGGATCTAGAGATGGCGCGTGCTTGGCCCAATTTTTGGAAGTCATGAGGGGGAGTATTACTTTTTGATCTCGACGGGCGAGGCTGTCACGGGGAGGTCAAGGATCTCGTAGTAGTTTTGTTCTCGCTGAAGTCTGGCGCTTGTAGAGAAAGCATGGCAAGGTGTGGAAAGCCGTGTGAATGGGTATAAGAATGGCAGAAAAGGCGACTGCTGTTTAAAAGAGTACGGGGGTCGACGTGCTTGCGTGCATGTACTCCTGCACCGGCTGCGTTCACGATGGCATTTGACGTGGGTTGTGAGCGGACATTGGAATCCCCTTGATATTGACGGAGCTCGGAGATGTGTGCGAGGCGAAGCCATGATCTAGCGACTTGAACCCACACTCAATCTGACAAGGCAAGCAGAATGGAGACAGGGATAGGGCGAAGGGAGACGGCAAAGAGCAGCACGCAAGGTCGGGTTCAAAGAGTGTGTGGGAGAGATTGCGGAGTTGAAGTCGTACTTCCGCTTGAGCCAATCGATCTCGATCGGCGGTCATGCGTCATCGGCGGATAATGCCGTAACGGGTCCGAGGGTTGTGTCTTTCGCCGAAGCAAGCTGCGTAGCATTGTAGACAAGGAATTCCACCAAGAATGATCTCCGAGTTTGATTGTTGAGGCTTAGCCCAGAATCCGTAGTAAAAATCTGTCATCTGAAACCATAGTTTTTATGGTTTCAATGATATATGTGATCAGCCCTTGTACATGTCTGTCTCGATGGCGGAGTTCCCACAAAGGCAGGTGATCCGAGCAACCACCGGGTAAGATGATAAGATTAGATAGAAGGACATCATCTCCGGTTCGCAATAGAAAAACAAAAGAAAGATGAGAAGCATTGGCCCGGCGTGGAAAACAGCTCTACAACACGTTGTATCTACTATCGAGGCTAGGTGTATTTGCTTGAGAAAGGCCAGACCTCTGCTTAGTCATAACGAAGTTTGCAATCAGGTGCAGTGAGTCTTCCGGAACACCGGTGTCTAGTGTCAAGTCTGCAGCATAACCATGGGACGTCACCAAATGGGCGAGGAACACGAACCCTTTTAAGCTCTTGATCAGCGAATGCGTAAAGGTTTCATAAACAGTCGTCTAGTGGGTATAAAGAAGACAGTAATCAGAAGGATTCAAATCAACCCAAAGAATACGTACTTTTCCGGGATACTTTTGCAGTGATGGTTATGTCTGGCAAGCACAAGCAGCACTTTCCAGCAATAGTCCTATTGATTTCGCTCAAGCCCACGGTGAAAGCGTAGGATGCAATAGCATGTGAAAGAGCCACTGAGATAGCCGACTTAACGATCGAGAGAGTGGAGATACGGATATAAAATCACCTCTTCCTGAGCACGGCTTCACCGTCCTCTTCATTCATATTCATCAACCACTAACTTCAGTCTTCTCTCGCTATCCATATCACCGAGCGCGATCTCAAGTACCTCACTACAAATGAAGCACCTATTGTTTCAATCAGCGAAAAGTAGAATGCGGCTATCATCCAAGCCTAGAGAAGTCAAACGCAAATTATCAAAATCTTACCGGACACTATCACGCTGCCGTAAATGTTGAGAGATAATTTTAGTCGAGCCGTGATTAGATATGGGCAAGATCTTCTAATCTCGAGGGGATGAAGACTCCTTATCGGCTAACAGACAAGAGTATCTAGCGATGGTACTGGCGGGGAAAAGAAAGCGTACCCGCACTGAGTTTGCGGGACCACCGTGACTCTCGGTATACGTATGTACGACCAATGTTCTTTTGGAGCTCTGTGCAGAAGCGTCGTTGATGATGAAATATTGATATCATTCAGGGGACGCCTTGAGACTACCGGGTCTTGCATCATGCTGGGTCTTCTTCATTCATGAATCAGTACAAAGATCAACATAAATATCCGCAATGAGAAGTAAGTCCAGCGAAAAGTGAGAGCTACTCAAGGAAGGAGAGAAATTCAGACGAGTCAAAGAAGAGGGGGGCTTAATGAAAAGGTCACCATGGAACCCAGAGTGTTAGGTAAGCTTACTCGATTGACTAAGTACCTTTACTACTTATAAACGTATGAGTACCTTAGGTAGACTCCAAGTTCCTCTCTCAAAGCTCATTGTATAATGTCTCACCAAATAGCCCAAGGAATCCATATCAAGCTTTCATGTGTCGAATATAATTGACCGTTTAATTTCGAGCGAAGTCGAGCCGAGCTATGTACTTCAAAGTTAAGCTTCCTGACCGGACACTTTTTCGTGGATTATCAAGCTCATAAATACAGCTCTAGAAAAATCAGGTCATTGCCTGCAATACTGAAAGTGTGTGTTTGCACGACCTTTCCACTGTCGCTGACGGGAGTCGATGGGGAATCATATCTTGTCATCTGGTTAGCAACCCGACCACAACATGACTACTGTATGAACATAGTATCAATATGATACAATAACACCTAGTCAGGGCGTCATGGCCCAGAAAGTATACATGGTACGCACCTTCCTGGCTGCTCTTGTCGGCCGCAGTAGATATGAAGGGAACAGAAGCTTGACGTCAGACTGCCGGGATGGAGATTCTGTCACCGCCGCTTTTTCGGGTGAAGCGCGCGTCGATTCGTTGACGACCATTGGTGCCCCGGGAACTATATGTCCCGAAAAGGCTTAAAACGCAAAATGAAGTAGGCAATGGAACCTCAGCAGTTCTTGGTTCAACGACTATCGCCATGCAAAGTCGTTTGATTTTCCATGGCACCCAGATGAAGCTTGTTACAGTGATTGCCAGATTCCCGTGGCTCCAGGTGTATAAGTCCACATTGAGCGTCGGCCGCTAGCGTAGATGCCACTATATAGTCACCGTCTATGCCCCCAAGAGAAATTACCATCTCGGCTCTTGACACCTTTCTTTTGCTATCAGATGGAAAGTCATCCTTCGAATATCCATCATCCATATCATCGTGCTCGGCCCGTTCCACTTTATATGCACTCCAACGCCACTTACACGGGTACTGTCTTCAGCGTTATCCATCGCTTGCATGACAGTTACGTCAAGGCCAACCTCGTCTGGCTCAGCATCGGCTTGATTGTAACTCTTCTCCTTGTGATCAACGTTGCCATTCTGGTGTCTCTGGTTAACGTCTTCAACGGAGTCATGGACCTCGAAAAGCAACCTGCCGTTGAGGATATGGAGGCACAGGGCAACGAGGACGTTGCAGCGAGCACCAAGGAGCTTGAAATTGACGATTTTTTGAAGCAAGGTATGGAATGCCACTTCAAGACTGAGTTCCCTGTCTCGTTCTCTCGGGGTCTGACGATATGTCTGACAGTGCACGCGGCGGTTCCTGACCGTTGTGCAGAACAACCTTTTTCGTGGGTTGAGATTACCTGGACCTTGTCACCTGAGGAAAGAAGGGATGCAGTGATCCGCGAAGCACGGGGCTGGAGCAGGTCGCTCAATATATAGAAGACGCCTGTGGCCCTGGGGATTATGAGATGAATACCCGTGGAATCAGCGAAAGGCTGGAAGGGTACTAGGGGCATGGGAAACATGGACGAGGAGATCCCAAGGCAGTTAGAAAGAGTGTCAGGTTCCATTGTGTAGGAATGAAACCCTTTTTTCAAGTTCAATGGACCAAGGTCCTGGTACTGCATTTAGTGTGTCAGGTAAGAACACAGAGCTCATGAAATAAAATAAGTACGGGATGTTACCAGAGCGTCTCTGAGACACCATCGGTCCTATCAGTGTCCTTCAGTGGCCATTCGCTTCCGAAGCATATGATCAAGTGCCCCCTCCGTGATATTCGTCCTCCAATTCTCTTAGTATAAAACTCTGCATGCACGAGGCTCGTTCTAGTATTATCAGAAGGCTATCAGTCACGAACACTGTGAAGAAGTACGACCCCGTCGCTGGTGAACCCTCGCTTCCGCAATCGAGAACGAACCAGCCGTCTCAAATCTAAGGACCTCAGAAAAAGGCTGGTCCTTCGAAGCACACATCAGCTATTCGAGTAAAATGAAACAGCATCGACATGGATATACGTCGAGCTCAGCGAAAAAATTTAGTGAAGATGGCTCTTAGCTGGAATGTGGAAAAGTTACGTCAGATCTTCGTCGAACGCCGGCGGAGCGGGGATGAGGGAAACGGTCATCGTCTCTACTCTTTGTTGGAGACCAGTGCTGGAGAATGGCCCGGCGGGGAGATAGTATGGACAGAAATCGTTGCCTCTCATTGATATCAGGCTGGTAGACCGGATCAGCGAAGGCCTGAGGACCGTGGGAACCGGCGTATGGCACCGGATTGCCGGTGAGGGCAGCGGCAGCGGCATCGAAGCCGTCCACAAGGTTCTGTCGTGGACGCGACATAAAATGTCGGGATCTGTCCAGAAGCATTCCTAGCAGTACGACGCAGAGAGCCTGGTTCTTTTTTCTTGCAAGACTTGAGCAAAATCCATGCAAAGCATGGAGTGCAACCCACTTGAGTACCACGAAGATGGCACTGGACGGTCATGACCACAACGGGTAGTCTGATGTGAGTGAGAGACTGGGCGATTATGTAGAAAGATGCTGACAAGGGACTCATACGATCGACCCCCAGTTCCTAGGTGTTAGGACTTTTAGGAAGAGGCCTCGTGATGAGTAGTTCGATGGTTTTAGTGGGCCATGGGCTCAAGATTCAATAAGACATCTTTTCACCTCTCGCTCTTCCTGAAAATTGGTAGCAAACCTCAATTACGGCCAGAATCTTCTGGTTCGAAAGCATCAGCCAGAGTAAATGGGTTCCCTCGAAGGAGAGCTATTCCCTGGGGTTCTGCGAGGAAATTATTCCGGTACTCGAGTGATGGAGATCGTGTGCCATGATCTCCATACAAACAAATGGCTTCGTCTTCAGGCCATCCAAGGCTTTCGTTACCAAGGGGCTTTCAGCGTACGAGAAGTCGGAGCCTGATTTTCTTATGGCCCCCGCGCCATCTGCAGCTCATCGCGACATCCACTTAAGCCTCATCAGAGAAACGTGGAACGAAGGTCGTGGGGGGTTCTGGCTCGTCTGACGAAGGGAAAGCAGTCTGCGCATCTCCAACTTGGCTGTGTACTAGCCGGTATAGCAGACTACCCGTGGTCATGAGTGTCCGTCTGTCGTGCTTGCAAGGTAATGAAATAAATTTCTTTAAAAAAGCGTCTCAATTGGCGTGGTTTGCGGGCTCGAGCCAGCGGATTTGGATCTTCCCTGGGTAATCCTGGGTTCATACAAAAGCTGGTCATGAAGACGACCTTCTCTCGTGCGTCGTCAGAAATATCTTGGCGAGAATTGCCATTCTATTGTCCACCCGAGATAAAAGATAAAACTGCTGAAAAGCTGCGAAGTCGGAAACCTAAGTATCGTCGTGACGGAAGCAAATTCGACACCGGAGGTAAAGCTTGTTGACTGTCTACTGTTAAGGCCAAGCAAAGTGCTCATGGACCGGAAAGTGCACGGCGGCCGATAAAAGAACCCAAGAAATACCTTGTCGTACATATATTTACTGGTATAGAAACCTAGAAAATTCCAAGTCATCCTTGTAGCTAACATCCTAGATGCATCGTTATTATAATAGAATGTACTATTTAGTTGGCAACCAGTTATCGGACGGGTCCTTTTGGTGGTCTTCCTGGATACGGTGAGCTTCTCATATCCGGACCGCTCCAATGAATATTTGACAAAATATGACCATTGTTCCCGAAATCTTCTGTCGGCCATCGTGGCACCGACGTTCGAGGCAGACATCACGGGCTGGAGCATTGAGTTGAATGATCTGCAGGTAACCTACTCCTGCGTCTCCACCCAATTCGGCAAGACCCGATCCGTCTCGAAGTATTGACAAACAGGTATGAGAAGATTACACAAGATTCCGAGGCTGTAACCGAAGCACAAAGTGAGAGCAACAATAAGAACATGGAATCGAAATCAGTCTGTTCAAAGTATTCGCCACATGACACAGATGTTTACTTCTCGCAGATCATCCAACGGCTGTTCCGCAAATGGAGATCCGTCATTAAGCGGGGCGGGCGGATCTTATCGCGTGAGAAAATCTTTCCCCGACGCCTCCAAACCTGGAACCACCTCCGGTTCGTCTTCTTCTCCCTCTTTCTGCTCACTTTCATCCCCCCCACAATGGCTGCCCAGGCGACCGAGAAGCTCGAGCAGCTCGATTGTGAGTTTTCCTGCGCAAACAAGATTCAATGGCATCGGCCGAAACTAATCAAATCTCTGCAGTGAACGGCCAGAACGGCGCCCAGGCCGACGCCCCCGCGGCTGGCCAGACGGTCTCTGGTGACGCCGAGGATGATTCCGACGACGACGATCAGGTCGAAGGCGAGGGTGCTGCTGACGCCGGAGCATCTGGAGGTATGTTTTCATTCGAAGCCACTGCGTATCCTCATACCCCACGGTTTACCCTCCCCACCATCTTAACCCCGCACCGACCCTTTCTAGACCAAGACGAGATGAGTCGAAGCTAACGAAGAACCTGCACTGTTTAGCTGCCAAGAAAAAGAAGAAGCGCAAGTCAAAGAAGAAGAAGAAGGGCGGTGCCAAGGTCCAAAGCGAGCCACCCCGGGTCCCCGTCTCACAATTATTCTCCAACAACACATACCCCGAGGGTGAGATTGTCGAGTACAAGAACGAGAATTCATATCGCACAACCAATGAGGAGAAGCGCTACTTGGACCGAATGAACAATGATTTCCTGCAGGAGTACCGTCAAGGTGCCGAGGTCCACCGTCAGGTTCGCCAGTACGCACAGAAGAACATTCGCCCTGGCCAGACATTGACGGAAATCGCCGAAGGCATTGAGGATTCTGTACGTGCGTTGACCGGTCACTCGGGTCTGGAGGAAGGCGATAACCTCAAGGGTGGTATGGGTTTCCCATGCGGTCTGAGCATCAACCACTGCGCAGCTCACTACACTCCTAACGCGGGCAACAAGATGGTCTTGAACCAAGGAGACGTCATGAAGGTCGACTTTGGTGCTCACATCAATGGTCGCATTGTCGACAGTGCGTTCACCATGAGCTTTGATCCCGTCTATGATCCGCTTTTGGAGGCTGTCAAGGATGCCACCAATACTGGAATTCGGGTACGTAAAGGCGCGCCAGAAAGAGATGAGAAGGATTGAAAGTCTGACTTTATTTCAAATAGGAAGCCGGAATTGACGTCCGTATGAGCGATATCGGTGCCGCCATTCAAGAAGCCATGGAGAGCTACGAGGTCGAACTCAACGGAACGATGCATCCAGTCAAGTGTATTCGCAACTTGAATGGACACAACATCGAACAGCATGTCATCCACGGAGGCAAGAGTGTGCCAATTGTCAAGGGATCTGATCAGACTAAGATGGAGGAAGGTGAAGTCTTTGCTATCGAGACTTTCGGTAGTACCGGCAAGGGATACGTTCGCGAAGAGGTGAGTGTCTCAAAAGAGAGCTCGAGTGGTCAAATCTAGAAGAACTATGCTGACATATTCCGTCGAAAAGATGGAATGCTCTCACTACGCTATCGCTCAAGATGCACCCAATGTGCCTCTTCGCCTTTCTTCCGCTAAGAGCCTGTTGAATGTGATCCAAAAGAACTTTGGCACATTACCATTCTGTCGCCGGTACCTCGATCGCTTGGGTCAGGAGAAGTACTTGCTTGGAGTATGGCGGATCCTTCCTGAAACACATCCTTGACACGTGCGTGTTTGCTGACTTACTACGCTTACAGCTGAACAACCTGGTCTCCTCTGGCATTGTGCAAGACTATCCTCCACTTTGCGATATCAAGGGCTCTTATACCGCCCAATATGAGCATGTAAGTTGTCTCACAGATGAAGTCTATACATGTGTGGATTCTTGCTAATGTAGAACAGACCATTGTACTCCGTCCTAATGTGAAGGAAGTCATCAGCCGTGGAGACGACTATTAAAACACACAATGTCAATGATGTATGAATCACTGCCAAGGCAATGTCCACTTTTTAGGACACACAACCTGTCAGCATAGTGCAAATGAAACTACTGTTTGATTTACCACGGAAGCAATTTGTCATATTACCGCCCGCACCACCCACGGAATTTGACCATATCACTGACCGAATACCATAACTATGCATGATAGGGTCGAACGATACACGATTCTATATGTACAGCATGCATCGGATAGTGGATACAAGCGTGAGGAAAAACGTAAAATAAATGGATAAGGAAGTTCCATTCCTCAGTTCAAGGCACAGACTACAGAGTATGCTCCAGTCTATTTCGCGAACAACGAAGTTGCTATGTCATTTATGATTTGTGGTCTTCCACGCCATGTCCTCGATCACCACCGAAAATCAAGAGCGTGATCGCCATATGAATCAATCTCATGAATCTCGTCTCCAAACCGGATAGCTCGTCTGATTCAAGCATAACATTCCGTTGCGATCCGTCGGACATTCTCCGCGTCCAGCCGCAGTCCCAAATTGACCAGTTGACCACTCTTACCCCATCTGCCATTGACTCAGGTACCCCCAAATCTCCAACTCAACTCAACCCTCATCCTCGGCTCCAAACCTCCATATCCCAACAACAACAACCCCTTGTTCAAGTAGCATAACTTCGATCCTTTGTACACGACATCCCCCATTCTCAAAAACTCACAGACCGGCGACAGACACCTAAAAATCATTCAATTCTCACCAGCAAACTCTCCGCTCAATCCCTCCAACCCCCCCCCCCCCCCCCCCCATCATGAAAACTATCCTCAAACTTCCCCACCAATTCCTCCCCGCTTCTCATGCCCCCCACACTACAATTACTCGGCATATATCCCTCCGCCACTCATCCAAATCCATCCTCTCTCCTCGTCTCCATTTCTCTTCCGCTTCAAGCGCAAAGCTCACCTACAAGTCTTCGTGCCCTGCACCCAATTGCTTGAGCGCACTCTCATCCACTAGACCGTCTCTAGCTCCGCCTCGGCTTCCACTTGCAAAGCCCGCTGATCTTCAGACCCGAACCATGGCGTCCGCTCCGTCCGCGAAGAAGGAGTTCCTGTGCATTTTGCCGGATTTCCCGGGCGCCCAGGAGAAGAGGTTGGCGGTTCGTCCGTAAGTTCTACTCGTGCAGCATGTGACTTCATCATTCCTTGTTTGGAGAGGATCCTCGAACACGGCGGACAGACAGGCCGAACGCAGGACATGCGTGGATTTGCATAGACAGCACGCGCCTGGGATACCAGGCGTAACCCCCTCACCAAAATCCTTCCGGGTCAACCATCTCGCTAATACAACTCACTCGATGAATACAGCGAACATCTCGAAGGAGTAAAACCCCTCGTGTCATCAGGCGAAATCGTCGCCGGAGGTACGACCTTCACCTCCTGTCCCTCTCATCCACTAACCCAAGCTAACCAATTCCCCGTACTGAGCAGGCGCCATGCTCGAGTCGCACCCAGCCGAGGGTGAACCTCTCAAATTCAAAGGCAGCATGATGCTTGCCGTGGCCGAAAGTGAAGCTGACGTGCGGAAGTTGCTGGAAAATGATATCTACACACGCTCGGGGGTGTGGGACTTGGCGAATGCGCAGATTATTCCGGTATGTGAATGCTTTTTTTGAGTTTCCCCTCGGGAGCAGTGGTTGGAGTGGCGATGCAAGTGGATCTGTTGGGGTCTGGTGAATGAAGCTGACGTTCTTCGTGTTGGAATGGGATAGTTCAAATCTGCTGTGCGGAAGGAGCTGTGAGTTTCCTAAAGAGATGGGAGACAATATTGTACATGTATCGCAGGATATACCCCGAGAGCTGGATCATGTGCTGTATATGCCAACTTTCGCTGTCACCTAGAATACAGATACCTGCTACCTCCACTAGGTACCTGGTGAACACCAGCATCATGTATGATCTACATGGGTGGTATCTATTACCAATGGGCTGCCCGGACCTCGAATCACCGAGTCAATATGGAGAAAATGCGACGGAGCCAGATAGATTCAAAGACCGATGAATTTGTCCAATGCGAGATATTGTTCTGGAGCACTGTGATACTCGCGAATCCTGGGTCAGTGGTCGCTGTTGATACTGTCCCTGCGTAGGCAGCCTGGATTTGCTCTACCCCCCATAAGGCTGGGAAGCGCGAGACGGATGATCCGAAAGCAAAAGAGTAAGTCTGCTCGAGCTACCTACCAGGTAGGCACCATTGACCGGTTCAGTCAGAAAGAAGGGCGAATATTGAGAAATAAGGACCTCGTTGTTGGTGCAGATCAAGTTTTCTAAATGGAAAGTCAATGTCGAGAGCGTGGCCTTGCATGATGGAACTCATTGAGAGAACACGTTATATTGCAGTCGGGATCATGTTCATCAATTCTCAGTTGAATCTTTCATAAGCTATTACGCAGCCTGTAAGAGCTGTAGGGAGAACCGGTTCATGAGAGGACACGAGAGAAGTAGCAGACACTTATTTCAACGGGAAGGACAGGGAATGGAAAAATTGGTAATTGGAAGGTGAATGAAGAGGCATTGTGAATGGAGAAGATGCCCACCGAGGAATGATCTCGCACGGTGGCATGTGATAATAGTGATTGGGGCAAAAAAGAAATAACAATGATCAAGTAATGAATAGGTCTGCGGAGTAGCGCCGACGCTTTCTAAAACCCCTTCTGTTGTCCGGTCAAATAACATTTTCTCCCATAGCGCCAAAGAATAATACAGACCTACACGTCAACGTACCACAGACTCATCCATCCACGCGTAGAGTCTCCGACAAAGACACTCAGACACACACAAAACAATGCCATCTCGTGAACAACCACACGAGCAAAGGAAAAACCGACAAAATGGAATTATGAAAGATCATTAGGCTTCCATGGAGAGATGAGAGAGAAGGGTTTGCCCCCTTTGGGAAAAGAGTTGCAATGACACCGAAGGCCGGGGTCCCATCATGCAACAGTGTATGTCGGAATCAGATCATATAAAGCCAAGCACTCAGACTGTGGACATGATGACCGAAGCGAGGCGAGAACCCGAGTGGCATGGCACCTCCTCGGGAAGAAGCCACTGAAAAACCCAAGGTCACGAAATGATCCGGAGAAGATATCGCGCGAGACAAAGATCAACTTTTGTCTTGCGGAGCGTAAAGCATGGATATGTTTTATAACGAAACGCTCAATAATACGCTTAGTAGGCCTTGCGGTCTCCTAAGTTGCCAGGCTTCTCATCGGTATCGATGTGCCAGACCACATAGTTAGGGAGACCAATGACTTGGTAACCCGCACGCTTGGCCATCTTGGCAAACCCTTCCGTTTCGGCCTGGTTCTCAAAGGAGTACGCAGGGAAGTTGATACCTAGGCGCAGAAGATTAGACCGCGTTTTCGTAGTCCAGAACCGCACAGAGAAATGGGTTGCTTACCAGAACGATGCACATCGGCCTTAACGAGAATGTTGACACCACCAATACCGTCCAGCTCAACCTCCTCATCCTTGTTCTTTCTCCAGTCGCCCATACTGACCAAGTAGGTACGGCCAGTATCATACTCCTTATAACCCTCGGCGAGAATAGTATCGGGGTCGAGAGTCTTGCGCAGGCGGCGGGCCTTGTCGGACTCGATCCAAGAGTTGTAGTCGACTGATGATGGCATAAGCATTAGCATGAGAGATCACCAGACAGAATTTGAGACTGCGACAATGATCCCAGTGGATAAAAACCTACAGCGACCCTCAATGTCATGACCATCACGATAACGGTGGAACCAGATATCTATAGAACACACGTTAGCGCTCGTTCCGCTGCCTCTTGGCGCACCAAATGATGGGGGTTCACATACTGGGCACCAGGATGTCCTTGTCGTGGGCCATGAAATCTTCCAAAATGCGCTCGGGGCAATCGGTGATGTCCACATCGCGCCAGTAAACCCAAGAGTGATCGGGCTTCAAGGCGGAGTAAAGGAGATAGTTGCGAGCGCGACCGATAGCTTTGCGACGGGGTCCTTGAGCGGCAAAGGAGTGTCGCTCCTCCACAGTCATCTCGATCTCGGCGCCAAAGTCCTTCTTGATGACCGTTGCGCTGCGGAAGCGGACTTTTTCATCGGCGTGGTTTTGGATGCGGTCGAGTTCAGCGGCCAGGGTGGCAAGGGTCTCATCTTTGGAATCGCCGACGAGGAAGGCCAGATCAATTAATTCGTGGGGATAGGTCAACTTGTAGAGAAGGTTGAAGTATTGCTCGAGGTAGGGAGCGGCGTCACGCAGAGGGGTCAAAATGAGAACGCGCTCGCGGTTGAAGAAGGCTTTGTTAGTGGACTTGATGGGGTTCAGGTCCACTTCCGAGATGGAGGTGCTGTTGACCTCGAGGGGTTCGTGGTGATTGAATAGAACAGGTGTCTGAGAGTGGGCGTTCCACGCGACCATCTCATTGAGGGACATCTCCATGGGCGACTTGGAGGATCCGTAACAGTAGAAGCTATTCCAGCAGAGAGAGTGAGGGGGAGAATTAGTGATCGGGACTAGCGACCAGCGCGATGAGGGTGGGTTGATGATTCAAAAAAAAGGACATACTTTTGCATTTCAGAGGCAGACTTGCTGACCCCACGCCACAGCAGGATGATGAGACCTGTGACGGCAATAGAGACCAGAAAGCGAGTTCGCGTCAGGAGAACGAGGACAGCCCTCCATGGGGGTAAGCCTGCCCTCGCGGACTTCCAATTCACTCCCCCTTTTGGCAACAACATGATGAAAGGTGAGAGGTGAGGGGAAGACAGGTATATATGGTGTTGAAGGAATGATGGTCGTCGACAGGCGACTCGCTGAGACGGGAGGTAATCGGGTGATCGGGAGCTGTTGAGATGGTCTTCTGGAGTGGAATGTTGTTTTTGTTCGAGGGATCACTAAGGAGAGGGCACACCCATCGAAGAGCCCCTTATCGACCGAACGAATGAGGCCTTAGAGCTTGCGCACACACCGCCAGTATTCTTGGATGCAAAATCAGTGCAGACTGGCAATTTCGAACGTTGAGGATTTGGTAAGGGTCAGTGGAGGACGGAGGGAGGTCTCGCACGAGAAAGAAAAGAGGAGAGAAGTGTAACGGGATCGTCGGGGGGGGAAATTGGCCGGAGTACCAAGCGGGAAAAAGAGGCTCGAACGAGCAGAACGGGCCAGAACATCAGTTCCGGTAGACGGTCAAGCCATAACGGTTCATGAGAAGTATGATCACTTGAGACCTTCTCCGCGATTGAGAACAAATCTATCCTACAGAACGTAAAAGTCTCACACGATGGATAATGCTCCACCAGATTACTGCGTAATTCACCGACAGAGTTACGCGTTGTCATACAGTGATTCCCTATGGGCAGTGGGCACTTGTACCACTACCTGTACCTCTAGCATCAAGTCCCCTTGACAGTTGACGGGATGAGTTCATGTGACGGGAGTGGATTCCCAGAATTTCAGGCATCCATACATCAAATTATTCACTATTGCACTGCATCTGTTGTCAAAACTAACATCCGTAAGTGTCAGTACCAGTGTGGTTTTCACCTGTCGTGCACCGTGTACTTGTAGCGTGTATGTACTCAGTAGTGTGTGCCTGGCAGTGCTATCTGTGTGCCAGAAGCCACTCCAGATCATAGCCATCGTCCATCACCTGTCTTTATTCTCAATCAAATCACCACTATCAAGGTAATTTCATTCTTGACATAGCTAGTTACCTGGCTCACACGTACATAATACTATCAGACTATGGCCTGCGGCTGACAAGATATTGAAAATTACTGTCCGGATTGGTTTTGGTCATAAGTGGCTAAGAGGTAAGCACTATCGGACTGTACTATGGAACCAAGCGCTTCGCAGCTCACTTACAAGATACTGTATATCATAACATCGTCAACTCAAGTTATTGAAGAACTGACCAATACAATACGCAAAATTTCGTAATGAGAAAGATCCTATATCGATAAAGACATTGAGTCATTGGCACCGTGGCACAGCGACTACTTCTTATCGAATATAGACCTGCAGGTGTACTTTTCCCAGTAGCACTAGGAGAAACTGTTTCCCCCAAGCTTGAAAGTCTACCCCAGACCAACCGAGCCCTAATGCCCGTGTTATTCCGACCCGAAGGTTTGACCACATGAGGTACAGCTGGAGTGAATTTCGTGATCTAGGCCTATTCGATTTGGAAGTTGAGCTCGACCTATTGTATTGGATAGCACTTGAAGCCCGTCAGCTAGATAGATGTAGTCGAAGGCTCATTCGATGTTAGCTCCAAATTCATGGTGAGCCGGGCGCTAAATCTACTACTCAGTCATACTTGATCATAGCTGCTAAGTAGAAGGACTAGCGATACATCTACAGTACAGGCAGCGCTTACCTATCTACGCATACACATTAGGCCTACTTCTTAGGTTTGAAATGAAGAAAGACACAGATGGAAGAAGAAACCCTGGGAACTGGATTTTCTCTACCGAGGAAGACAGACCAGAAACCAACCAGGACAAACGCCAGAAAAGAGGCGAACAAACAAGAAAGAGGAAAAACAAAAGAAAGAAAGCCGCCAGGACAGATGCCTGGAAAGGGGGCCAAACAGGCCGAGAGAAGGAGGGCCAGATGGCCCGCGAGAAAGAAAGGAACCAAACGGGCTCGAAGAAGGAGAAGGAAAAAGAGACGCCTCAACGCCGGACAACCGACCTCGAGATGGGGTGGACCTGTGATAGTCCATCACGGCCATCTCAACGAACAAGACCTCGTATCATCCCAGCATTGGCATTTTCCACCTGGTGATGCCACAGGCAAGATCACCACCAGTCTTCCAGAAGAGTCTCCAGAGTTTCCGTCACCCGGGAAGGCTGTAAGCCCGGTACACCCAGGTGTTCCGTTGCCCATGCAAGGAATGAGTCCCAGCAGAACCGGAACCATCCCGCATAGTCCCAATGCCTTTCGCCCAGGATGATCCTCATCTCGATGCCATCGAGTCTGCTGACTTGTTGATCAGTCAGACCCCACTTGGCACCGACCATAGCGAAGATGTCGCTAAGGCAAAGATCATCTGGCGGCGCCCAGTATGGACACACTTCGGTGCCATAGGGGGGGCCAAGCATCCCGCCCAGACTCCACTCCAGGGTGGGGTAGGCCCTACCGCTCGCATCCGTATATTGGAAGCGGAGGAAGCAGTTCGGGTCAACCCGAAACGGACCATCCCCTGGAATGGGCCAGGTAGCCTCGTCGTAAGCAGAGCGAACGTCGCGACGGGCTGGCGAAGGGACGACCCCAGCGGCAGAGGGAGCAGCGGCTGGGGTGGGCATTGGGAAAGCCTCAGTCAAGGAGGAAGGAACAGGCTGGGCGGACGTGGGAAGAGGAGCAGCCGCAGGGGAAGCAGCGGGCTGGAGGGAGGAAGATCCAGGAACCAAAGTAGCAGGTGTCCTGGAGGTGGAGGCAACTGACTCTGCAGTGGTCTCGATCGTGCCGCGGGGAGGGTGAGTCTCCCGACATTGTCGTGCCTTTCGGTTCAGTCGGGCCCGGACGTAAAGTGCATCGACGCACTTGTCAGCATCATGTCTGAAGGCAGACAAGACGCTCTCGGGGAATCGTGACGACTGGCCGTGGACTTCGGCGCTCATGGTGTCGCGGAGGAGTTGGCGGAAACGGACTCGCTCCGAAGGGATGCTGAGCGATGAGAAGTTGTTCTCATTGAACAAGGAGTCAAGAAGACTCACAACTTGATCGCGAGCGCGGTTGTTGACAGTGAGACCGAGGACGCGGTCAACATCACTGGAAGTCATTTGGCGGCGAGAGGAAGACATTTCGGTCTCGGCTTGCTGTAGAGAGAGAAGCGAAGCGGAGAAGAGGCGACGAAGAGACGAAAGTGAGAGTCGGACGGACGAGAGGTGATGATATCTTCAGATGGATGTGAAGATATCGTCCGTGTGCTGCGAGGATGCCGTGGGCCGTGCGTGTGATGATGGAAGGCCGTGAGGCGAGGCGAGGCGAGACGACCCAAAGAGAGAGGGGGTGAGACGAGAAGAACTCGACTCGAAGAGAGAAGAGGCCAGAGAAGAGGCCAGAGAAAAACAGAGAGGATGCGAGGCGCAGATTTGAAGGCCAAACGCAGAGAGAGGAGACGAACGGAGGAGGACGGGGTGAGGAGGAGAAGGAGAGAAGAAGGAGAAGTGAGAGATGAGGGGGCGTGGTTTCAATGCCCTCATGTGTCGGGTGCCAGATTAGCGGAGACGATAGGCAATTGCGTATTGAGAGCGCCAACGAGTGCCATTGCTGGCGTGATTCTGGCAGAAAAACGAGTAGACGAGATAGGAACACCTCATGCACCAATATTGCTCTTGCGTTTGGTCTAATTCGATCCCCATTTCACTCTGATTGAAAGCCCGAGCTTCAGAATCTCCTCCACGCCATCTTTCTTATCACAGTGAAGATTCCACGCTAATCAGCTTACCAGAGAGACAGCAGCCTGTCTCTGCTGAATCAGGTCGAGAATTAGCACGTTGCAATTTGATATCGAAGGTTGACCAAGCTCCCGATATTGGCATCACTGAAATCCCTCACATTGCCATTTGGACTTGGGGATTCCACGACAGAAAGCAACTCTGACAGCTGATATTTTGATATCTCAGAGCCCTCCTCAGTGGTGTCGGAGATTCAAGACTTTGGTAAGAAGACCCTGCGTTCAGATTAAGAGCAAGGCAATCTGACGTTCTCTCAGAAAACCAGGCTATAGCCTCGAAAGGCAATCGTCTTCGAATAGCCATTAAGACACAATTAATGCTTTGAAAACGATCATAAATGACCAAGATATCTCTCTGCAAGTTAAATCAGCATTATTAAACTTCTTCACAGACTCGACAGAGAGACTGACCAGCACCCCTTTTCATGAAGGCCATACGACCCTTTTATCCGATTCATCGAAGTGATCATCGACCAAAGTTGACCTACTCAACGGCAGCAGAGCCATTTTTCGAAGGATGTATTCTCCGGCATGTTACAATTTTGATCGGGTGGCGTTGCGCGAAGGAACAACCATGGGCGAGATGTTGATTGACGTTGAAACCCTAACCGCAACTTCGACCTCGAGTTCCATATCACGTGGTATGCCACGTGGCGATCAGCCTTCATGACGTCAGTATGGTGGACCTCTGAGCAATAAGCTCATCCGGATCATTGGACATTCCGGACTCCGATCAGCACCCCTTACCCGAACAGGACGCCGGAGTAATTGAGCCTCGAGCTTAGTCGTTGGCATCCGCTTCCTTTTGGGAGTCCCTGATTCAGAGCCACCGAGATGATGGTTAGGCTTATCACCTAGTCATCTTGATACGTGGGGACGACTACTCGGTCGCTCGTTCTTACCGCCTGTGTTGCGACGGAGCAATATGATCATGTGCAGCAATGGGCAGCAGTTTTGACATCGTCAAAGGGAACACACGCGCCACCAGAGACTTGCCTTGCTCTATTGCGTAGACCAAGGTGTCATTCGAGGTTGCAACTAGCATCAAGCCCATATCGACTGCCAAGGACATACTGAAGACTCCACTCGAGTGAAGGAAGACAAATAGATGGCTTCTCTAAGACTATGGACGCTTGTGGACGGGCTATGGACTGAGTCACGTGTACCGCGTCAATAACCGTACGATGGTACTTTTCTATTGCGCACTAATCTCAGGCTGGTTCAAAGGTAATTGCAGACCGATTGCATTCACCTTTGCTCGAGTGCAAAGTGTTTTGGCCTCGCTCATGCTCGGCTTGACCTTTCCTGGCATCTTGGCACTGTCTTCCAATTCGATATGGCCAGGTTGACCAGCATGTGCTAATGTCCGCGGATACCAAAATTTCTGCAGCAAAAGAATCCATGCGTCATTGAGGGCTACAGTTGTTCCAAGTGCCGAAACCAGCTTGTTCACCTGTGCAGTTGGACCATCCAATTTGAAAGAGAGGAATAGCGACTGCGATTGACTCACGATGTCATAGACAATCGACCTGAGAGCGAAGTAACGCGATGTAATCGCGTGGACTCCATTGGTCATGGCTCTGTTTGTACATTTACCTTTTGACATCTTCCAAAAGAATCGATTCTCGTCAAATAATAGGGAATTTCTCATCGAGCAACCTGTTCCAGCTCTTACAATTTTGATGCAAACTGTTCAACCAACGCTGCTTCTGCATTATTGTGGAAGGGTACAATCTATGCTACTACATGTGCAGACCACGAGTTCGTTCGAATATATTTTGTCGAGCTAAGTCGGCAAGACTTCTGACAACCCGGATCAGAACTGTAATTGCGAATGAATTCGCCGCGCAAATTACTTCGAAGATGGACAGAAACTCGACTCTCCTTGAAACAGCGAAACAGCTGGCTACTAGGCGTCGAACTAAACAAATTGAAAAAAATAATATCCGGGCAAGATATCCTCCGTATGACCATTGCGATTAGTACACGGGGGGCATTTCAGTCGAGCAAAGTCGAGTCCTTCCACTGACGACGGAGACTCTGGTATATTCATTCTGGATTTCGTTTGTCGCACGGGTATGGACGTCTGCGTTATTCGCTGTATGATGCAGCTTGCCATAGTCCATCCTAGCCTCTGTTTCGATCTTCAGCTGTCTGGTAAAGAGGGATCAAATTGATTGATTCTGTAATATTTTCCCAGGTTCACTAGTACAACTACTTGTCTTCGAATTCGCTCTACCACTAGTGCTAACATCATGACGGCGAATACATCAGATTCGTAGATTCGTCAACGTTTGTATTATGATTCAGATATCCACAAAGGAAAAAGAAGTGTCCCCAAAAAAATGAACAAAGAAAAGACATTTCCAGAAAATCTTAAGTCTGGATCATCATGACGCCATGAGAGAACATATGAAAGGTACGAGATGATGAGAAACAGAATGCACGCAGAAGATCAGTCAGATACAAAGTCAAGATGCAAACCACCCATTTTGGCCATGTCGACTTGTGGCGCCAGGGATACCGAGCGGAAACACTGGCAACAGGGGAAATATGATAGCGAGACGAGAGGATTGTGCCTCAAACTCCATGATAAACAAAGTATCCACATGAAAGGGAAAAAGCGGTGATGATACACAGCCAAGGCGAGGCTGGGAGCAACACATACCTCTGCAAGACCCATTGCTCGAGATAATGTGGTGAGAGAAGTCGATTAAGCTTTGGAAGGTTGCGTAGCCAATGATAGGAGTACATGCTCAGATAGGCTAATGGCAGCAGAGACCGCAGGACTGTGCGCATCGCCACATGCAAGGGATGTGGGGTGGGGAAGCATGATCTGCGGGCCGAAGAAGCATCATGATGCAGCGCGTTGGCATGGTGTTGTTTGAGGTTGAGAGTCACTAGAGCTGATCGGAGTGCACTGCTCTAGGGAGAACCTCGTATGGACTGATGGCGGGACGTTGAGTAGTTGAATGAGGATGTGTGGGATGGAGGAAATGCGGGGGAGGAGGGCCCGGTGACTGGGGGTGTTGAGCCAAGGTATGAGGGACCAAAAGACTGAGATGTAGCGCTGGTGAGGGGGTCATGGAAATGCGAAGGCTGCGTTGAAGTAGATTCAGAGCCCATGGTGGCCCCGATCTCGTCACAGAAAGCTCGCATACCTGGCAGGGCTCTTTTCAGGCGCTTATGCTCAGGAACATTAGCCATTGATGGACTCGTACTTTCAGGCTTGGGCGAGCGAAACATTTGCTCATAGGACTTGAGTTGGAATTCAAGCGCTCTATTGCGATCGGCCAACGTCTCGTTTTCTGCCTTTGCAGCTCGTAGTTGCTGCTGAGCGGTCTGGTTTTGTTGCTGAAGGGAATTCACTAGTTGCTGCAGCTGCATGCAGCGGACCTGCGGCTGCAGTTTTTCAGAGAGCTGGGGGGACACCTGCTCTTGACGGATGAGATGGACGATGATGGCCAGCATAAAATCGATGAGATACACAGCGCCCTGCACAATGTGTTCCTTGGATTGTGGCAAGCTCTTGGAGGGATTCCAGCCAGCTCGCTCCAGGAAAAAGTCATGAATGCGGCTGTCAAGCTCTCGATGCAGTTGGCTGAGATTCTTGCGGCGGTTGCCCTCCGCAATACGATGCTTCTCCCGCTGATCTTCAGGGTCCGGCGACACAGGGCTGCCCTTACGCTTACGACCACAGAGCTGTTGGAGAGGGGCCTTCCGGTTGATATTTTGGGGTGCCACCAAGGCCATGATCTCAGTCTGGGATAGATCGGCAGGCCACTCAGTGGATCCAGCTCGCTGTGCTGCAAAGGACTCCTGCCAGGAGCTCTCAGCGGAGTTGGCAGGTGAGGGAGGTGCATTCACCTGCTCACTGCCCGACCAAGGAGACTTGAGCTGGAACGAGTCATGAGCCCCAGGAGTAAGTGGGCCAAGGGCATCCTTGTTGAATGGGTTAAAGGGACCACGGGGAAGAGGATCCATTCGTGGGAGGGGAGGCAAGCGGCGACCTTCTCCCAATGTGTTGTTGCTGTTGCTGCCGGCGGTGTTGTTCATAGTCGACGTTGACGCTTTGATCGAGCTGGTGGACCGTTTAACAGGGGAATCTTCGGTCAAGATCAATTCTTGAATGCCAACTTACGGAAGCGAGCAGCGCCGCTCGGTGTCATCAGCAATAGGACGAATTCCTTCGTACATCTTAGGCCGTATTTCCAAGTTGAAATTTGACGTGTTCGGGGGTCCAAATGAAGTATGGGATCCTCAGATCAAGCCGCGAGAATATCGTGGGAGGCGGGTTGCCGTGATACCCAGAGATGCGCTGCCGAAACCTAGCAGAGACTTGGTGCAGTAAAGACCAGTGGAAAAAGGCTCTCTCAGTGGAGTGATGATTCGTGACGCTTCAATTATGCTGGTGTACATGCATGAAAGAATGGTCCGACAGAAAATCGAGGTCGATGTATGAATCGAGTATGCAAGACAGAGAGATCCCGACCTTGATGTCGTAGCTAGTTGAATGACGAAAGGCGATTGATGGATGATTTCCGAGGAAACGAAATCAAGGCACGGGGGCTGGACACGATGTTTATATGTCCATGACGGGAGGAGTCTGGATGGAGAAAGGGGATTGAGCTCGAGCAGTGCGTACTTCTGGCTCATCTCAGAAGCCACGCATCACCCGAAACGCCGTGGAGAAAGCATGCGAACGACCAGCTCGGGACCCATGGTCGGCAGGGCCCAGGACAGGGGAACGATCAGGGCCGATCATCGCATCCACCATCCAGCGCGACAAAGTGGGATGTCATACAGTTCGATATTGTGCATGTTGCACGGCGCATCGCGTGGAGCGCATGGCGCATAGTGGACTGTAGCCAGACCCACGATCACGCCGGGGAAGCCTAGCGGACCACCCGGGGGAGGCACAGGATCTGAGCTCGCCGAGAGGAGACGCGAGATGGCCGATCGAAATAGAGTGCATTCTATTATTGCCTGTGCCTCTATTTCGGATCCAGAGTGTTTTAAGCAAGCGTATCTGTCACATTTCGCACGGACAATGCAAGTACCTCGACTCCGATGAGATCGACGAATGAGGCGATCACGATGGATGGATGGTGCAGCGAGGAGAAGGTTACTGGGGCGAAGATCCCAGCTCGTGATTTGTCACCCGCATTGCTGGCGCTCGGATGTAGACTCCGTACAGAGCCATTATGAGAGTACAGACTCGAGTAGTAGAGAGTCATAATAATCATGATTATTTTTATTGACTATGATGTTGTTGTGGTGAACACGGTCCTCATGGGGACATCAGTACCTATGTCTGACAGGGAAAGTGGAAGTCAACCGAAGGTTCCATTACGACTCTATGACTCTATGACTCTAAACTTGCCCTTGCATCAATAGTGCAAAGAGCTTACTCGCAAATGGCAGTATTCTCGATCACCGAACGAGGACAGACGAGCCAGGGACATGAGAATTGAATGAGTTCAGCGGATGGTGTTTGACAACCAAACAAGAGCCAGTCGAGACAATGGAGGTCAGCTACTTGATAGAGACAAACTAGGAAGTATGAAGAAATGATAGCAAGACTGCTTATCGGACTGATAGTGAGCTCGTGAGAGTTCTGTGGAAATAAAGAAGCACGGGACACATGTCAATGGCCACGGCTCAAAATAGAGCAATTTGAACCCTCTGCATTTTCCACGCATCCGATCTTTCGAATGATCCTCGCCTTCTCGTTCGATGTGCCACGTGAGTTAGGCTTGTTGCTTCGCGAGCACGATTGATGGACCTCTTGTAACACGAACGTAATTTAACCCGGGGTAGAAGTGCTGTACCGGATGATTCATGCAAATATTAGCGAAGACAAGTCCCACAGAGGAATCATATTCGTCGATATTCTCACACGTCGATTGTTCCAGTAAATGTCTAGAGGCTACAAACCTAGCTTCGAGCTCTTCCCGATCTACGTTTCCAATACTAAATCGCCCCCCCCCCCCCCCCCCCCCCCCCCCGTTAACCAAACAGAAAATCGAAGAAGCAGTAGAGAGGGAATTTCTAAAACGCTCGAGGAGATAACATGCATCTCGAATAAAATGAAAGGGAAGGAGATTCAGCGCAGATGGCGAATTAAGCAGTGGTACTGCATGGCGTTGATCCGACTTGATAGGTCAGGTACCAGTTTCAAACATCTATGACACGAGGGGTTCGTGCTTATTCTCGCATGTACTTCGAACAAGCTGGACGACAACGGGCTAAGGACTTGATCGCGTGCATAGACGTCTTTGGGACATCGACCTCATTCTAGACAAAAGGGTTAGATTATCAATTTGAGATGTAAAATTCAACAAGATAGGAATGGATGATATTGAACATGTTGTGGGAATGACATGAATGACCAGTGCAACAATCCTGATGTGTCAAATGACTGCGAGTAAAGCAAGGAAGTTCTCCATGATGGTCATCTCAAGTAAGATTCAGAGACGCCATTCAAAAGAAACTATGACATTCATAGGTCGCATCTATTGACTGGAAAGGAAGCATTAAGCAGTGGTGCATTTCATTGAACTGGACGGCCTGTGGCTTCTGGGCTTATTCCGTTTTGAGCAAGTCAACAAAGGCGTGGCGCGGACAAACGGAGCCCCTGCAATAAATGAGGGCCCTCAAGTAGAGCTCTCGTTGCATACCCCAGTCAAATTCATTCCAATAGGAAATAAATAGCGAGGGTTCGCTCTGCGCTCGGATTCTCCCGAGATCGAATCTCTCACGGCGGCGAGAAGTGCCACCTGGCTCACAAGTGCATAGTTCGAACAATCGCCACTCGACGACAAGAACGCGGGGCGAAGTGTGTTGAAACGAGCTAGAACAAATGCAATCCGCTATTGTGCTTGTCGTTGGTTAGGCAAGAAATTCCGGGCCGTGTAGATCGTCGCCCGAGAAAACCGGCCATCTGGGACGCCCTAAGATCCAGCGACCAGGTTCCGTTGACTGTCAGCGATCGTATCAGAGAAGGCGGGATGATTTGGAATCTTAGAATGTATTTTAACACACGGACGTCGGCTTATCGTTGGCCTAGACAGTTTAGACGAGTCATGGGTCTGGTGTATACTCCATAGTAAACTAACGAGGTCGACGCTCACTTTTGAACGTTTCCGAACGGTCAATCAGTGTCGAAAATTGACATACGATAGTAGAGTATTCTTTAACCGATTGAAGTATTGAAATTACCATTTTTCACCGTCATACGGATCATTTATTCTTCCCTCACGCAATTCGTTCGATAAATTCGCCGAAAATAACTGCAATGAGCGAACAGCACCGAAGATATGAGCTGTCACGTCTCCACTCTTTCAGCTAAGCTGAGAAGTTCTCGAGAGGCGAGATACTCCTCAACAATCTGGCCTCTTGACCCCCCACGTTCAATTTGTATCAAGTACAGAAGAAGGCTCTAATGATCCTCGAGTATTGATTGCGTAGTCAAATGTCCTAACGGTGTTGAGTCGTTGACACTGTCACGCAGGCCGAGACAAATCATCCCGTAGTTGTGTGGAATCATCCAACAAGAAGTGATTAGATCGAAAAGCCGATGAAACATGACATGATACTCAGATCTAACGCTGTCTGATTGCTTCTCATTTGCACCATCACTTCTCAATCAGGAAATATGGTAAGGATTGCCTAGAATCTCAAGTGCGGATGCCGCCTCAAATGAAGCAAGTCTATAGACCATACGCCACGCCATGCGATACAGTACAGACCACGCAAGCAGCACCCTTTCGTCGTAGACAGATTCAGACTAGTTTCTCTCTTATCGCTTATCGGTTTCTTGTCGAACCTAATTTTTTTTCCTTCTTTCGTACCTTTGGTGGCTGATCCGGTCCCTTGCAATCCTGGGGATATACCGAGTCGTGTCGTATGTATGGATATGATTCGACCCCCTTCCGTTCCAAACTAAGTCCTGTACATTATTTGTATATATTCATCTCTCTCTTGGCGCGCTACTGTCTATAGCGGCTGTGAAGCGCGAATCGGCATGCTCATGTTGGGCAAATAAGGTTCAGTGACCATCGGTGTTTGAACCGCGTACCTACACCCCCACGACCAGAGAGTTGTAAGGACTATGGAGTGGGTTCCATGGAGCGAATTGCCCAAGGATGTGACGGCCGTATTATGCCTATCTCGGTGCCAAGCCATAAGTTCTGGGTCAGCTATACTTTGCTTGGGGCAGCAACAGTATCATAGCAGGAACAAGTGCAGATAGTTCAGTGTGCTGGTTACACGCTCTGTCCGCGGCTTCAATCATAGGGCGCGCTTTACCCCAGACGAGAAAAAGTCAGGAAAATTGTATTTACTTGGGAAATCTTCCATCTGCCAAGTTTCTGATTTGGACGGTGATCTCCAACTACTATCAACGGGCTTTGTTTACTTTGTGCTCAATGCATCGGAATCTGCATGGCGTGCGCCTCGACCCATGCGCTGTGCGTCTCCAGGTGCAAGGGTTCGGCTCACACAGCGAGCTCGCATCCACGGGGTCAACGACTCTTACCTTACCAGGGCCCTCGGAAAGGAAAGAATTTCCCGCTTCCAATGGATAGAGTAAGGGACGAGATGCGATACGATTCGCGCAGTGACCATCGCTCTGCTCCCAATAATAGCTTTCTTTTGAGCAAGCCCTAAAATGACATATGTCTGCGTTATATCAGTCTGTGGTTGCCTGAAGGGTATTAGATGGATATTTGAGTTCCATTATTAGTGGGAAATTGAAGAGTATATTAAATTCAGTCATGCAGGTGTTGCATTTCATTCAAGTGTGAGAGAGAATAACAACCTTAGCGATGCCCCGACGTGGGTTTGGATATTGTTGAAATTGTGGTGTGTTAACTTTGAGCAATGAGTATGATCCCCCCGGCGGTACTGTAGATTCTGATTACTTTCGTACTTCTTTTAGTAGTACTGAGTACTGACGAAGATTGGATCCACCTTGCTTGCATCTGGAGTTGTATATCCACAAATGAATTCAGTGTCCAGCTTAACGTTTCAGAAATTCTCAGTAATTCATCTACGGTGTCATGTTCATGTAGTTGTTTCATTCATCATTGTCCGGACGGCTGAAAGTTGCATTGTCGATTTTGGGTGAGGATTTGAACTCGGAGCTGATCCGCAATGGCAATTTGCCGCAACGTTCATACGCATTCGATGAGCAGACAAAGGCCCTCGCTTCAAGCGGAGTCATTCCAAGTCCTTTTCGCCTCTCAAATTCAATAAAATTGCAGGACTTGCAGACTTACGCAAGTGTGTGCACTGTGCACTGATCGTCCCGTGCACCTTCGCGAAATACGAATGTACTGAGCCACGGTCCTGTCACTACCAGTGTATAACTATGACTAGAGACCAAAAGCCGGGGAGCCTGATCCAGCACGAATTGAGGGTCGCAGAGAACAGCATGCACAGTGCAGTCTCGTGGTGGCAATCTGCTGAAAGCACGATTTGCTTTGGAGCCTCGAGATCAGACCAGATGCATGATTCGGTGGGAACGACACCTTCAATTCATGCCCGGTACATGACAGGAATGCTGAGCTGCAGTATATAGATCTAGTTGGTAACTTGGTATACATTTTGTTCAACACACGTTCACCGGCCTCGAATGCCGCGAGATACTGCCTAGTACCTCTGGGTATCTACTCAAATCTAGTAAATGATATACCCCAAGTGATCCAGCTAGCCATGCAGAACACACAAAGAGAAAACGCAATTTGTGAAGAAATGAGTGCCCATTCCAGCCGAACTACACTCGGACCGTTCCTGGGCGGAAAATGGTATTTTATCAATGGAGAATAAGCAGGACTGCTATCTCGCGAGACCCTTCAGAGTGGGGTCGCCTATTTCGTTGCACCTGGATCGCTCTCAACAAATCAACAGCAGCATTGTTGATACGCACATCGAGAAACTGATGAGCATGCTTCCAAAGATCTCCCACAAAGAGCATCGACGAGCTAGATCTCAAACAAACTTAATTCCCCGACTGACCAACGCTATCAACTCCGTCCTGCAAGGACCACACATTCAATTCAGATCTAGCAGTCGCCCAGCCCGCAAGAGTTCGTAAATGCATGCGTAAGGACGACGCACCCGTATCTGCAAACTCAAATTTGCCGCATCTGACACGTCTCTTTGACGCTCTTGCAAAGGTACCGTACAGTAAGTACATGGATGCAAGCCACTCCGCAGACTCGAGGCTGAAAAGGTCGTACAGCGTTCGAGTTGGTGGCACCCACCATAATCTCTACATGAAATTTGAGGCTTCCTACATTATGGAGTCTAGTAGATTTCTTGTGTATAGCTCGAGCTTCTATCGGACGAAGTGTTGATCTCCCGTAAGTGTATATCTCCTCGAAAGATTGTTGATACCTGCTGCATTGATGTAGCTAGAAGAAATCGCCCATTTCCAGACTGTCAAAAATCTTTGATTGTCTTGGAAGTAAGGTACATGATCGTCCATGGGCTAGATCAAGCTTGCTGTCTACAATAGCAGTAGCAGTGGCTCACCTCGTTTTTGTCCCTGCGAGGAGAAAGCTTTCACAAATAGGTCAATATTCAACGTCGTTGGGCAGTCAGTCTACCTCAGCTTCTCGCATCTTTGATCAAGTTCGTTGATCCGAGTCTGTGGATCTTTGCAAAATCGCGCAGGAACTGAGAGCATGACTCTCGAGCGCTAAGGCATAGACCACGAGGCCAGGGCACCAGGAACGCTTCCCTTGTCGTGCGTTCCCGATACCTGCGCTCTCAATAAACTTCACCAGCACATCAACACGAACCATAGTTCCCGACATTCGTACAATCTGTCAATCGGCCATGGAGCGGGCGGGAACAATGACCGCCAATGATCAAAGGCATGACCCTGTTTTCTTCACGATTGATCTCGGCAGATTTTTACGTCAGAAACAGCACTAAACACATATCCCCTGCTATGACGAGCCTATCAATGGCCTTTGACAACTCTACCTGGACTGCGAACCATGGTTGTCACCTTGGCTATCGCTACCGACTTCAGACAATCATCATTCCCCTGCGACGTGAGAGCTCGCCAATGACCTACGTGGCGATCGAACATGGCGAGGACAAGATGGGTTGACTTGAGTCGTGGTGAACGGGTCGATGGACCTGCCTAGAAGGTAGAAAGGTGTCCGATCACAGCTCAATCTGGCTTCGAAAGAGCGGGGGGGGGGGGAAGCTCGGATCTGGAATCGAATATGCTCTGCGTTCGAACGTCAGCATATCGGATCTTCGATACGACCGCATGTTGCAGATATGCTTTTTTGCGACATCTCTGACATCTTGCATTCTGGCTGCCAAATTCAATGTCACTGTTTCCAAGAATGACTGTCTCTGTCGTCATTCACTGAATGTCTCTGGAACTTGTCCGTTTTTCTCTGCAACGCTAGGTTTGACAAGTTCGTGTCCAGATGGGTCCGACCGTGGAGGAGGGCCACGGGAGGAGCCCAAAAGCACTGTTGATTGTCAGATTGGGAGAAGTGCAGATTCGATGTGTCGCGCAAAGTTTGACTCAGGTTCTGGTCCCTGGGTATACCCTTGACTCGCGTGCAGGAAGTCTACCGCGAGAGCGCGGCCCATGCGCCGGATTCTCCTGGAATGGGGCTCTGGGCCCGCGGAAGCACATACACACCCTCTCATCCTTTCCCCTCTCCCAAGAACAAGACGAATCTTCCGATCAAGATGACTTCCGCAGTCATGGATCAAGGTGTCAGGTAAAGCCCGTCGAAAACTGAGTTTGAAACTGCCCTCCGTTTCCGCGTCGCAATCACGGGGCCCAGTCGATTCAACCCACGGACAGTCCCTCCATCTAGGCCCACGATGCCAAGACCCACTCTAGTGACAGTTCACATGGCAGAGTCAGTCGTGGCCGCGCGTGGCACCCTGTCTGGATCGGACGAGGTACGTGTCTGTGTTGTCATCTGAGACCCTCGTGCTCGAGGCTATCACCGTTCATCCTTCCTGCACCTCCGTCTCTGTTCCTTGATTTTGTCGCGTGTTCCTGATTTTCGCACCTGCTGTATGCAAGATAAGATCATTTGGCGAACGGAAGGCCTGCTTTCTTATTCTTAAACTGACATCGTCATTGACCGGGGGGTTCTAGGGGGTCTTTTCTCAAGCAGATGCGCCATAGTCGTAGTAGTAGTAGTAGTAGACTAGTAGTAGTCTGAAAGAAAATCGTGTTCGGAGCAGGAGATGAGAGTGTTGCTGTGTCGTTCGAGACTCGTCGACACGGGGGTAATAGCTGGAGAGTCCGCAGATGAAGGACCTGGCAAAAAGTACGACAACTTTGTGCTCCGTTGGCTGCCGTGCTTGCCAATCATCCCGTCTGAATGCAGCACCCGATGCTTTTCCCCAGAGAAAGTCAGAAGTATATTGGCCAAGTACATCGGCTTCAGCAGGTCCTGTCATGTACAAGCCACATCACGATCCCCACCAGCCTCGTCCGCCTCAAGGCTCATCGACCACCCTGTGAGGTATGAAATGGCACCCGTAGTTACCCCAAGGTTGGCTGTGTGGGGAATTAAATCGATCTGGAGGTACTACAAGATCACCTTCACACATCAAGCACCGTGGGAACCCATATCGAAATGATATCCGTAACTCTGCCATCCAGATCCCATGGGGAGCAGCTTCCCCCCTGACTTGATCCTTTGATTCTATGACGAACCCCTCTTGGTTTTCCCACTTAAAAGTCCAGCCCATCTAGATTGACATCAGATTCAAAACTCAAATTCAATCAAATTGACACATCCGCCAGCCCATCAATCTCAAAAGTCCCGGATCGACGACATGACGACCACGTCCTCGGCCTCATCCCAGAAGGGTGCTTCTATTCGTTCGATCTGTATTTCAAATCCGAGTTTCACTTTGTACGATCTGTCGCTCCCCCACGATCAATCATCCGAGACGCACATGGCTCGAAACAAACACACTCTGAGTTTCGAGAGCTGGACGAGTGTTAGCGTCGGCTCTGCTTTTCCGACGCACACACACCAGCCTTGCGAGGGGACGATCGATTCTCGAACTGTAGATCTTTCCGGGTTCGCTTGCTTCAGAATATGATGTACTGAACTGTAGTGCGTTAGTATTGACAAAGTACTACGCGCGATGTACTACATAGATCCCCATCTAGCCGTGGCGCTAACGCGATTTCTGCTGAGAGGGGAAGAGCATGGACAAGATACAATCTTTTACGTGATGTGCGCCACCATTAGCGAAACCTCTAGTGGGATCTTCCCTGTCAATCCTCTGCCCTCCATGCAAGCTCGTTCTTTCTGCAAGCCACGGTCTTTGCCTCAATCATGTCCAGAACCATAGTGGCGCAGGTTCCCGTCTTTGCCTGAATGCACGTGAGACGCTCTTGGTTCGCATCGCCTCCTCCGTGCTGGCACATAGACACCTTCCTTACATCCTCGATCCCTGAATCATTCTCGGAGGCAAATTTTAGTCTAACGGGCGGTTGCCCAACGTACACTAAACCGTTGCCATCACTGTCTGTGATGATAGTCGAATTTTGCTTTTTCTTCTTTTTTCATCTCATCTGCACTCCGTACGGATTACGCAGGGCGTGCGCTCTGGATCTTCAAGGATCCCCTCGAGTCAAAGCAATGAACCTTGAACCCCGCTTGAAGCTATCGAGTATCCGCACTTCGTCCCCTCCAGCGGACTGATCGCTTCTAGGTTCTAATTCACTAAGTAGTAGGTAGTAGGTACTAGGTACTGGGAGTAAGTATCAACTCCTCGCGGTAACCCCCACCACTATTAAACTTTCGGGGCTGGTGTTTGTACCCGCCTGTCGGGTTCGGGGTCTACTTTTGCACTATCAGGCTATCGGTGTGACCATTGGAGATTCGGGCTACAGTCTTCGGGGTCTACAAAGGTACTGACTGGCCATATAGTACGTATGTTCAAAGGGACTTTGACAGCCTCCGTGTGGCAATGTACATTGTAGAATGACTAGAATCTACTATCTGGTGACTACCAACATTCATGATGGCTTTGTCCCACGTTGAGAAAGGATAGTCACGTATCCATCTATGTGTACCCTGACCAAGAATAGCGTAGGTGAGACCCCTTGTCAGTTCCGCTCTACTTTAGACGGAATGTTCGAAGGCGACGACACTTCAGCATTACACTCAAACTACATGGGCATGGTGGGGAGCATACTGGGCACTGGTAGAATCAGATACAATTTGCATGCTGCATACGCCCATGTGTCAAAACACATATCGAGACAAGCAAAAGAAAAAGCGCGTATGGGGGAGTAACAAAAGACGAGGAAGTGATAAGAGGGAAGTAAAAGAGGAAAAAAAAAAAACTCCTTTCCGATGTGACGGGGACAAGGCTGCCAGCTCGAGGATCAAAGTTGCATTTTGGTTTTGGCAAAAGAACATGTCCTCATAAGGCGACGGGATTATTATCATGAGGATCAGCAGTGTAAGGCAAGAATATGAAACCGTTTGCTTGGTCGAACTTTGACATCTACAATCTTCGCAACACGCAAAAAATTCAAAAACACACCCCTCTGGGCCCTAGAAGCATACACGGGCTTCTTACAGAAGCTGGGCAACAGCGTAGAAGAAGGCGGCAACACCAGTAACAGCAACGCTGGCACCGTTGGCGACAGCGGCACCAGAGCTGGTAGCACTGGAGGAGCCGGAGCTGCTGGAGCCGGAGCTGGAAGCGGTACCAGAGTTACCGTTGGAGGTGGTGGGCTTGTTAGTCTTGGCATCACACTTGTATTTTCCCTTAATGACGTTCTTGCGGAGGTTGTCGAAGTGGTTGCAGCTGAAGTTGCCGTCAGTGCTCTGCAGGTTGAAGCCACCCTCAACATCGTTCAGGCCATTCAAGTCGACACTGTGAGATTAAAATTAGTACGTGGACGTCTCTCAGAAGGGAATGTGGTGGAGAGGAGGACAGAAGGCTAGAATCAGACGGGTCGCAAAGAGATGGGAAGACTCACGTGTTGAACTTGCCGGAGAAGTCAATGGCACCAGTGACCCTGTTCAGCTTGGGCAAGTTGATGCTGGAGAGCTTGTCGTTACGGGCAATGTTGAAACCACCGTTGACCGTGGTCAGAACGGGCATAGTGATGTTTGTCAACTTGGAGTTGTCCATGAAGACAACGTCCCCAACGGTGGTGAGGTTAGGGGCGGAGAAGGTCTTGAATTCAGTGCCCCAGAAGCCGAGCTGACCGGTCAGCTTCTCCAGGGAGGGCAGAGAGATGCTGGAGATGTTGCGGAAGGTCATGTTGGTACCGGTACCGAGGTTGGGGAGATCGATCATGAGCTGGTCGTAGTTGCCAGAGAAGTTGATCAGGTCGGACGCGTTCATCAGGTTGTTGATGTTGATCTTCATCAAATCACGGTTGTTCTGAATCTGGAACATGCCAACCTGCTTCAGGGAGATACCGTCCAGGGAGGTCAGGCCAGTGTTCTGGATCATAACATCACCGGCCTGGGTGACTCCAGCGTTGAAGTTCAAAGACTGGAGCTTGGGAAGAGCGTTCCACGAGATGGAACCAACGTTGTTCAGGTTGCCGAAGGCGAGGGTGGTCAGGCGGGTCAGGCCGTTGAGGTTGAATTCCTTGCCAATCTTGATGATCTTGTCGGCGGTGATGTCGGTGATGTTCTCACCACCATCACAAGTGATGGAACCAGTAACGTTCTCAAAACCGCTGAACGAAAGGGTACCAGTGTAGCTCTTGGCGATGGTGATATCACCCTTGATGGTACCGCAACTCGCGAGAGCATCGGCATCACCCTGGTTCTGAACCTTGGCGTCACCACCTGGGAGGCACCGCGTTAGTTTTCGACTGCGGTTAGGTCAAGTCGGAAGGTTGATTGATCGTCACACTTACATGGGTCAGAAGAAGCGAATGCGAGCTGGCTGGCAGCCAGGGCAGGCAGGATGTACTTGACGAAAGGCATAGCGTGTGTAAATGTTGGCTTTAGGAGAAGGTTTTTTCGTAGGTATCCTCTGCTGGTCGGAAGAAATCGTCAATGGGTGGCTTTGGGTCACACAGGACTCGGTGAGGATGGAGAAAGCTTCTTCAGGGGAAAGATAAGACCAGCGGCGAGGTTTTTCAAGACTCGGACGCGTCGAGCTGAACACAGGCGATGGAATGTTTACGTACCAATTGAATGAAGGATGGGAAGGATCAAGGGTTGGGAAGAAAGAGAACGAGTGTATGGAAGATTAAAAAGGTCTCCTCAGCGAAGGGGAGGTAGGTTGAAAAGGTAGGCAGCTCACGAGGAAAGAACGAGTGGACAGGTTTGGGGGAGAGAAGAGAGAGAATAAGAAGTTGGGGGAGGGGGCGAGGGATAGGGAAAGCGGTTGTGACTTGTTAGCCTGTAAGGAAAGGAGGCGTATGCCTGTGGGGACTTCCCGTCGTGTTTTGGGCTGTTTGGTTATTTACATATTCCACGCGGGCCCCTTTTGGCTTTTCAGGTCCCCTCGGCAAGTTATTTTTGGGTTACAATCGGGGTGTATTTTTGGCATTACGATCGTAAGATCAGGCTAATGGACCACTCTCCGCCACTCGGCCTGGCCGGGAGTCACTGTAATCTATTACCAATACGCCGAGTGGTTCGCTGTCCAGGTTGATCACGGACACGATGAGGACTGTCCCAGACACAGACTTCCTGTTCATCCCCTGAGGCTCATTCTGCGATACCCTTGAGCTAGCTCAAAGACATGCCGACACTTAGTAGAGTGTTTTCTGCTTGTGCTCTGATTTGACCACTGCAATGATAGAGAAACAATGTCCATGTCGTGGAGGACTTCCACTTTTCATGGGCCTTTTAAGTTTCCTGATCCGTATAGTACATACAGTTGCTGTCAAGATATTACAGTACATGTATTATAATAAGTTTTCTGCCAGACACATACCTACATCGCGACAGTCCGTGAATACACCACAATGGCACAATCACATGGATATGGAACATTAGACACAATAGACACTGGACAGTAAACAGTACCGATATTTACTGCAAGTCAGTGATGACACTTGAAGTCTCGAGGCTCTCGAAACAAATTTGATAGACAAGGACGGGAATCACTGACTCTAGTTCTGCATAGTCCTTGTCATGATAAAGTCTGGGTGCGGGAAGGCTATGGCCTCACAAATTTTCCAACGGTGTTCTGCTAGATCGTATTATTATATCGCCCGGATAGGCAGAGGCGTATGGTTAAGTTTGTAATGTAGTATCGTCTTCCATGTAATGACAACCCTCCTGTACCTTCCTACCTTATTCTTACTGTATGAAAAACTTGGTCCTGGTGCCTGTTGAATTCCTGCTTTTGCCCTGGCCACTCTCACCTGCAAGTGGGTAACAGTGTTGCTTCCGCCGCACTACACCCAATAGCCACCTGGTCTAGGGAGCCACCCCTTTTCTCCACTTGTA